TTGATAAAAACTCAGATGGAACTCAATAGATATAACTTGAAGGCTATTAAAATTTGTACAAAAACAAATCGAAAATTTATTTTTCATCAAAAATAACAAAAATCCTTCGGTTTTCTTAGTACATTTCTCTGCACATAAATTGCATGTTTGGTTGAACTGTGCTTATACTTCCACCAGAGTGGAATTCGTGATGATATAAGTTTCATAACAAATCTTATCTTCTTCTGAGCACATGTTTTCTGTTATTTTGTATGTATTTTTCCTTTCGATTCTTCGCATATATAGTTTCCTTCTTTCTGTTCAGTCTGAGTACGTTGCTTCTCGCCATATATATATGTTTAGCGGAGTATTTTTCTGTTCTGTTGCTTTCTTTTACTATATGTTCTATGTGTTTGACCATTAACTCCTTTCCTTAGACTTCTTTTTCTATCTAGAGATTATTCTCTACTCTATAAATACTGCTGTTTTGAACTGTATTGCTTAATATACAAGTTTCCTTGAAATACGTACATTAACTTTTACTAGTTACACTGCCTATTTTGAAACAATTCTAAATCATTTCTGATTTTTTATTTTTCATTATGCCAAAATTAAATAAACGTCGGTCTATAGGACGTATTTATGTGCAGAAGCGTTGGTATGATAAAACAGTCTTATCAGAAAATGATAGTGAATCAGAACGAGAAGATATTACATCGGATAAATATGATAAATCTGAATTTATTCGTTTTACTGATAAGATGAAAGTCGATGATATTGGAGATCTATTCGAATTAATTAAAAATAAAATAGGTTTAAAACTTGTAAGCGTTTTATTATATATGACTCTTCGTTATTTTGGTATAAATTGGCTTGAATGTGACGAGTTTTTTAAGAAGATAAATGGACTAAAGACTGAAACAGCTAACAAATGGGCTAATATCTTTTTATCAGGCAGCTTTAACGAATTCATTAGCGAAGGTTGAGGTGGAAAACATATTTCCAGTTTTTATGATCTGTTTCCTGATATTGAATCATCAGCTAAAGCCTATGCTGCTGAACGATGTGCTGCAAAAGCTGCTGATTTTGATGCATTTGAATTAACTAAATTTATTGATGAACAATTTTATATGCTAACTGATCTTAAAAAAGATCCTGATGATTCATTGATTCGCTCAGTACAATCCTGTCGTCTAGACCTTCGAAGATGGGGTGCTCGTTTCGAATCTAATTCACAACGTCCCTACTTTGAAGGCCATGAACGACAAGATGTAGTACAACACCGTACACATTTTCTACAATATTTTCTTCCAAGAAAAGATTCATATTATTTAATAAGCGAGGGGTCACAGCCAAAATGGCGAGTGCCCACGGATGGAACACCAACTATCCTAATCTGTATGTTGAGATAGACCAGAAAGGACGTCCTCTAAAGATTGTTTTGCTTTTTCTGCATTTTGTTTTCTAGTTCACGATGAAAGTACTTTTCGAAGCGGTGAGGTGTCAGCTAAGCGTTGGTTATATGGTGATCAGGCACCATTTTATTCTAAAGGTCGTGGTAGATCGAATATGTTATCAGACTTTTTAGTTATGCATCCATCAGGACCATTTTTTTATCTAAGTCCGTCTGAATATGAAAAAGCATTAGAAAAATATCCCGATCTAGATGAAGAACAAGATATTGATTACAGAGAACGTTCTGCCAGTGCATCTATGAACGTCGGCTCTGATTCTTATTTTGATAACTCGACAATATTAAGTCAATTCGAGCGATTATTTAAATTACTATATTTCAAAAAATGTTTTAATAATCATAAAATCGAAATTATAGTTGATAATGCGCGTACGCATTCAGCTCGTGCCTATACTTTATTCGATTTCGGAAAAGGAATTTCAGCACGTTGTCCTGTGGATCAACTTGAATGGGTGGGTGATAAAGGAACTACTCAATCATTATCATGTTATTTTCAGAAAGGTCATAATAGAGGAAAATCTAAAGGTTTATATCAGATTGCAGTCGAACTTAAGTGTAATCCTTCACCAAAAGCACAACTAAGTCAGCTACATCAGTTACTTGCTCATCATCCGGCATTTCAAAATGTAATTTTACTCAGCTTACATCACAATCTTAGAAAACAGCTTTTCTAATTTCCTACCTTAGATTTCACGATTAGAACAATTGGCCCAAAAATATGGCGTATCTGTACTATTCTGTCCTAAATACCATTGTGAAATGAATGCAATTGAGGGATGTTGGGCGCATATGAAGCAGTTTATAAGAAAGAGAACTGATCAGAAATATCCTACAATGATACGACTGATTAAGGAGTCACAAACAAATTTTGAACAGCAGCAAGTTCATCTGAAACTTTTTAGAAGGTTTTGGAAATGCTTAGAAGCACATAACCAAGGAAAAACCTACAATGACGTTCTACAACTGTTTTTCAGTACAACTTGTACGGGAGCAAACAAAGAACATTTAAAAGTTAGGAACACTAATTTGAATTGATAATATTTAGTCTTTTTTCTCAGTACTATGTTTTTCTACTGTTTTGATACTCGTTTATTGTTGATATAATTGTGAAAATAATCAGGTTATAGATGAACATAGAATAGAACTATGTACATACTATAGATTAACAGTAAAACCGAAGGATTTTTGTTATTTTTGATGAAAAATAAATTTTCGATTTGTTTTTGTACAAATTTTAATAGCCTTCAAGTTATATCTATTGAGTTCCATCTGAGTTTTTATCAATCAGAAGACAAAAGAATGATATATAGAAAAAAAAAAAAATTTGTAAGTTTATCAAAAATTTTTAGAAAAATTCAAATTTCTGAAGAAAAAAATAAAAATTTGAAAAAACAAAATAGGTACTTTTGTAGCCCATGATTTGGCGATTCTAATGAGATGAGACAATTGTTTCTATCACTTATTACAAAAAACTAGATAGCTTTACAAGAACGCTCACTGACACATACTTTTCGTGTGATGCAGCTATTTATATGGGATAAGAAATTTTTTTCTTTTTTATGTCTACATCTAACCAAATAACAATTTCCTAATCAGTTTTTCATGCTGATTCAGAATATAGTACTTTAAAAATGCTCAGAAAATAATTGGAAAAGAAACTTGGTATTTTTTGCAAAAAATTAAAATTTAACATAAAAACAGCATTTTTTCACTCGTTCTAGTTTTTTAAGATTTTCTCAGCCAAACAGTAACTAAATCGAAATAAAAAGTATATATTCGTGATCAGCTTTTCAAGCTCTATCAAACCATATATGAATAAACGAAAAACAAAATTTACTCCAATTCTGCTTTAGCGGCACCTTATATATATATATATATATATCAAATTAAATATATTGTGCAAGTTAATCGATAGTATTAATTCCTCGAGCTTTTAGTTCACAAAAATCCATCTAATTTCTATTACCTTTGAAAGATGTCACTAAGTGATGAACTTTGTTTTTAAAACTAGACTCGTCCATTATTTTCATGAAAAGAACATAAAAATCTATTAAATAATTTTGAAATATCAGACAATATTCATTAACAAAGTGATGAACAATAAAAAAAGTAAATTTCTATTCGTACAAATGGCTTAATATATAAATATTTCATAACCGACCAATACAAATCTATTCTGTCATCAATTCATTCATCTAACACTCATCTTATATTCAGATTTACATATTCAAACTAATACCAATACTTACATATCCATAATCTAAGAGCAAAATTTACTTGAAAAATCGCATTAATATACTTTTTATTGTTGACACAGCTTCATCCATCATTTTGTTATCTATTTCAAATTGTCCATTAACTGTAACGTGATACAGTAGCAAAGAAAAAAAATAACATTGAAAAAAGCCCAAAATGCAACGTCGTTCTGTTCCACGTACAGATCCACGTTACAATCAGATACGTGCAAAAAATAATGATAGTGTTAAAAAATCTCGTGAAAAATCTCGTCGTGAACGTGATGAAACAATTGAATCTATAAATCAACTAGAACACGATAATAAAGAATTAGTTGAACGTATTAAAAAAATGAAACAAGAATATGAACAATTACAAGAATTATTTAAAAAACATACTGGGATAGAAATAGATCAAATTTTATCATCTCAAACAAATTCTCCTTCAACATCTTCTATACAACCAAAACCTGTTGAAGAATCAAAACGAAACTCTTCTACACCTGTACTCACAATAAATACTAGTGAAGATAAAACAACTACAGCACTACCAGAATTACCAATCGATCCAAATAATCTTGATGGTGCTATTGTACTTATTAATGGTTGTCAGTATAAGATTGTCAGCATGAATAAAAGTTAAAATATTCATCTTTTTGTTTTCGAAACTAAGCACAGAATAGAATATATATATATATATATTTATATATACAAGTTACTGTTTCAGATGAATTCTCCTGTATATATTTTATTTACTATCCTCTTTACAATTCTACAATTAATTTCAAGTCAAGAAACATTATCAATTGATAATACTAATATTAATAAAAGGAAAAAACAGGATTTTTATTGTGCAGGTATTAAAACGCAATTTAATTTATTGAAAAAAAAAACTACATTGATTTACCTTTGCTATTTCAGCCTGTAAATCAATGTGTGAAACAATATTTCGTGATATGAATAATGTTGATTCAAACGAACGTGTTCAAGTTGGATCATACCGTGTTGATGGTCATGGGCATCAAAAATTAAAAGATGTAATATTGTTTTTTCTTTAACTTATTGATATACTTTTATTTTCTCAATGAAGGTACCAATTATTGAAACAAGTTATCACGCTGAAAATGTTGTCGAAGATCTTTGCTCCAAATTTATTAATGATGGTAAACTTTTTCGAAAGAAAAATACCAAAATTAAATTTCAGTTTTCTTAGCTCGTGAAGTAATACCTAGTCCACTGAAAAATCTGTATGAACATGCGGTAAGTTTTAGAGAAATTTAAAGCTTTTGTCAATGATCATTCGTAGTAGATATAAGGTATTCATATTTTGACAGATCAATTTCATTCTTGAATTGAAGAACAGTCGTATCACAAATAATTTTTGATTTTGAGATACATTGAGCACTTTTTTATAATTTTAAATTATTTCATGAAAAGAAAATAGTTTGATTTCAAATAAAAACAATAAATTAAGGATATTTCATATACTTGATTGTAATATGTATTAAATATATACTAGAAAGTTATTCATTAAGAGAAACACAAGTATACTAAAGAAACTAACGATCACATCTATTTTATTTTATTTTTAATCAATTTTAAAATGATCTATTTCAATGATTTTAAGTAAGATATTTATTTCAAAGAATTTCTTCTATAGGTTTCTATCAAATAAAGTTAAGCATAAAATATACTACTTGCCAGTATTTGTTTTTTTACTATTAGGAAAGAAAAATAGAGTTATCGTAAGTTTGTCATATGTTTATTATTATTTCATAAAATTTAATACATTAAAATTAAATCAAATTTTCAATTTCAAGGTTTTGTTTTTTGGAAAAGCAAAAAAATTGCGCTCTGCACTTTAAAACTATCTCAGTGTTTTTTTCTTTAATCTTCACTATTTTATGTGTGCTATTGAACATCCGTTTCCTGAATTGTGACCTAGTTCCCTATTGAATCGCTTGCACATATTTATTAGGTAGGCACCATCAAAAAGAAAAAAAATATGAGACTTGCTTTGTTGACATTTCGTTCTCGGCTTGTAGTCGTATAATTAAAAGTAGGCAAATATCTATCGCTCTCTTTCTTGCCTTTTTTCTGTTCAAATAAAACAGAAAGAATAAGATTGACGCCAAAAAAAAGAGAAAACTCAAGTAAATGAAGACTATGTGTCAATATTGGTTGTGTCCAAATAATGATTGTAAACGCTTGCGAAGAAAGATCTCGCTTAAAAAAAATACTGAGGAAAAAGACAAGGATGAAATAATAAAACAGAGCTATTTCCATTTATCACGAAGAATAAAGAAAACGAGAAGAAATTAGCTGTTCGAAATAAACGAATAATATTTATTCCTATGAAAAGATTTATGTAAGAATGATTATCTTCAATTTCAGTGGATTATTTACCAATCAAAACAGAAATAGATAAATATGTCACGCAACCAATATATTTTTAATATAATATCATCCTATTTCGTTGTATATTATCAGATACTATCTAATGAATTAGTAGACCAGATTTCCAATAGAAAGGAATAAATGAACTTCGTATATGAAGATTTATTTATTTATTTATTTATTTATGTATGTATGTTCAAAGAGAAAAAAAGCGTGATGAATAATTATAAACCTTTAAACAATATCTCGCCGTTTATTTATTTACTCAAGAGTTATTCTATAATGAAAAAGACCTTGTGATGACATCTCGCTTTACTGTTTTATTCTTGTAGTGTGACGACATCCTCGAAGAACATCATGATAGCCTTATTGATTTACTTGTAACACAAAATAAAAGTACATCAACATCACGACAATTAGCGGAACTTTTTTGTGTTGAAATGAATCGTAAGAATATTCGTCTTTTTTCTTGCTTATCATTTTTTTTAAATTTTATTTATGAAGAATATTGTAAAATCAATCAGTTAGAAGAGCTTTTTAAATCATCAACAATACCAACACCAACACCATCGCCCCTTGTTGAAGATAAACAAGAAGAAGCAAATGAACAGAACAAGAATGAATTATAATGAAAATGACGTTTGAATGCAAAAGACATAAAACAGAAGCCATTGATTAGGCACATAACTGTCATCAGTTTTATTATTATTACTATTTATTTGTTGTTATGGCATAGCTTATTGTTAATTGTTGCTTCTTTTAAATAAATGAAAAAAACAAGACTAAGAAATGAATCACAGACGTGGCACACTTAGCAAAAAAATATGCACAAGTAGATCTGCTTATCTTTTAATCGAATTAAACCGAAAGAGAAGAAGAACAATATCCTGTACGAATTTAATAATCGATGGCATCAGAGATTCTCGTTTAAAAAATTTATTCTATTTTAACATTGCTTATTTTCATTTACTTTCTGAGATAAGATGAAAGTAATAATCTTATGAAAAAAAAAGAATTCTAAAATATTCTTGAGTGAATTCTATAAAATAAATTCTTCTACTGATCTGCGGATAGAATTCTCAAACTTTCGTAGTGTCTACTCATTTCATTTTTAGCATTTGAATTTTTCCTTGCCCTGTAGAAAAAGCTTTTAGAACAAGTATATATACATGAGCATGTACCTTAATATATATATATATATATATAAATGTTGTTTAAAGTAATATGAGAAATCAATATATAGTTGGCTTTTTGTCTTCTGTGTTTTGTTTTGTTTTTCTTTCAGTATGGAAATACGCTAATTGACACGCATATTTATTCAAGTGGTGATGCGAATAAAATTATTTGTCTTCGTGCATAAGCAGGTAGCGATCGGGACACACTTACTTGAACAGGTAATTAGATAATACATTGATATACGAAGAGAATGTGTTGGGTCAATACACCTGAAACTTTGCTCACCTATTCACGTTAAAGCAAAGGTTTGAGAAAAATTTCAGGCGTGCATTACCAACGCTTATCGATTTCATATTAAATATTAAAAAAATACCATCTGAAATAATATAACATAAAAAGAAAAAGAACAAATCCTTGATTAAGAATCAATACAAACTTGGAGTTCTGACCTTTTTCTCGGCAAAAAAAACAACAAAAAACTAGTAGGTGGCGAAATTATCGCTCTTTTTCTTCATCTAAGCCTTCGAGCAAATATCTACATATACTCGTTCTCTGAATCACCTTCAATCACTGCTTGTTGTTATTTTGGCCTTCTTTTTGGATGTGGCCATCTTCTCGCACAATTTCTTATTGATCTTAGGAAATAGTCCTTAATGATAATCGGTCTATATACCCATACTCGATTTTATTTTCTTCTCTTGTTATTCGTTTTTTGAATGTTTCTTTTTATGGTCTCTCCAGCTGATTCATATGCAAAGCAACTGTCAAACGCACAATTTACGTCAATATGAAGAAAGAAAAAAAAATTGAGAATCGATAATGTTGTTACTACAAACATGCTCTTACGTTTCTGCTAAACATAAGAATTTTTGGATTGATGCCATATTAAGTTGTCAAAAGAATAAATATAGAGAAGAAAAATATATGAATAAAGCATACCCACTTATTCTAGTTACAATGGCGAGCCATTATTAAAATTTTCCTCAATAAAGAAAAGAATATAAAATATTGTGTATATCATTGAATCTATACGAGTGATCTTTCTACTTTCATCCTGATCATTAGACTCTCCTTGCTGATAAATGTCTCTACAGAAAGAGAGGGAGAGAAAGAGCGTTGTTGTGTGTGTGTATGTGGGTTTATAGCACAATGTCACTTTTTTCTCTCTCTCGCTATGTTCCCTTCGTCCCTATCGACTATGTGTTATGTTCACGTCATGCCAGTATTATAAAAAGAAAAAGAGAGCAAAGAATAAGATTTGTGTGTGTGTGTGTGTGTGTGTGTGTGTGCAGTGCGATGTGATGTGTTGGCAAACTCGTCGTCTCTTAGTTTCTCTCTCTCTCTCTCTCTCTCTCTCATTTTTTCGGTTATTTGCTTTCGTCTATGAAAGATAGCGAAAGGGAAAGAGAGAAAAAAAGAAGTAATCAGTCGATATAAAAAAAAAGGAATAGGAAAAAAGTTCTTATATATGTGTGTGTTGATTTATTCGGCATGGTTGGTGCGCATGGTGATAGGAAAGAGGCAGGACATGACAAAAAAATGATTATTAGAATTGAAACATATATAGGCTGTTGATCGTCTCTATAGTGCTATTGTCAATTTCATTGATGCAATCTGAGCGCAACTGTTTTTTTCTTCTTGCTTTTTTTTTTACTAACTCCTGATTTTTTTCTCGCATATTCTCACTCAAAATAATGTTGAAAGAAGACGCGTGCATACATAGTAATTGATACCACTGTGACGACAACGGATAGCAACCATCACAGTTAAGTCAATACAATTAACGAGACAACGAACGTCGACAATTGCTAGTGAAGTTGATGCAAGTTAATGATGGTGACAATGATTTGCTTCTTTATTTTCAGTGACATTTACATCAGAACGGGTGTTTGTATATATATATATATATGAAATAGAGCGGATATTGATCTTTTCTTATGGGTACATGGTTTGTCATCATCATCGTTACATGGCTGATGATGACATTCCTACGAGAGAAACTCGGTAACTTAAACAGTGCCATATGTTAAGATGGATAATCATAGACAGCATTTTATGTACAAATCATCAATAACATTTGTCGTCATTGATTTTTCTATCATTCTGATATCAAAATCAAGAAAAAAACAAAGTATTTTTTTCCCGATAATTTTTAAAATACTGATGACATTGTTTTCGTGACTGAATTATATATTGATGTTAGTGTTTATCAAAAATGAAATAATTTCTTTTGAGAAAAAGTTAAATGCAATACGACAGATATGAATTATGCTTTTTCTATACTAAGAGTTCATAAATAAAGATGAAAATCAAATTGGTTATAGAAATATATTGTTTAGGAAAAATAGTTTACTTACATTTATGTCTATAGAAAAATAATGAAGTTGTCAAGAAAGTTTAAAACACATTGGTCCGAATCGATCTATCATCAGTTGTCGTCGTTTCATTGCACGACTTACTTTCTTTAGATCGATATTTTTTTCTCTTTCTCACGCACAATCCATTTTGCCTCCAACGACGACATTCTATCACGATAGAGAAAAAGAGAAAAATTCCTTACTCTTTTTTTTCTCTACGCGCACAGATATCTTAGAAAGATAGATGGAACTTTCTTTGCTGTATACATGCGCTTGTGGAACCAAACCCCATAAACAATTGAAAGATAGAAAAAAAGAGAATACAAGAGGAAATGAGAGAGGTTTCCCTTATTCTCTCGACGAACACTATAATGATGATCGCATCTTTCTCTTTCACACAAATACACACATGGCATCGTTTTCTCTCTATTCGATTAAATCTGCGGCATCGCGCAATCGTTCGCAGTCTTCATCATTTGTCTACTTAACGTGCATATGCATATATAGCTATATATATATATCTATGCAATAAAGGATGAATAAAAAAATTCATGCGAAGAAAAACAAAACTAGAAGCTCGCTCATTCTAATTTCATCGACCAAAAAAATAACACAGCAGCCGCATGCGGATGATGTTAATCAACGAAGGCAACGAACGCCTACATCTTATTCGTAGATGTCTTCCACTTTAATGAGAGTCCATAAAGGGAAAAATACTCATTTCAACATTTGCTTCTCTCTATTTTATATATTCACAGTAATGATTCATTTATTGATGAGAAAAATTTTCATTGCAAAACTACATAACGACATTTGACGTCATGGAGAATTTGATCTGACTATGTATGTTGAATCAACGCATGCAGACAACTGAATCATGAACTAACACGAGCATGTATTCAACGGAAAAAAAAGCCGAAAGAACAGCACGGCGAACAAGGCAAATTATTAATGTTGGTTGAGTGTAATTTTTTTTACCAGAGAGTAGGACAAACATTTTTTCATTACCTTTGTTTCTATCACATTTAATATTGGAAAGTTATTTAGAACTTTTTTTAAAATGCATACCTCATTGTTTCATTGACAAATTTTGTTTGTAAAGTGTTTCAATTGTACTAATTACTTCTTAATGAAAAGTATTTCCAATGATTGGCAAACTCCTAAAAAAACTATCAAACATGATTAGCTAAATCAGAATTCTATTCGTCTTTTTCAATTAAAAAGAGAAAGAAACGATTTGACTTATTTAAGTCTAAAGGAATACTTGTAGAAAGAAAAAGTTATGAAAATCTATAATTTTCATGTTAGACATTTTTTCTTTGTCACCATCGAACAATTATTGTAATTTGATTCAGTTTTATTCGAACGAAAATCTTTTTAATATGATTCTTTTCCAAAAAAATAATTTTTTTTTTTAAGTAAATCGACACTTTTGATTGTTCGCCATAGATTTGTGTCTAAATCCATTGGAGATTTACTTTTTCAAAAACACATAATTATTTATTCTTTGATAGAGCTCTTCCAAGGCTATCGATATTAGTATACAGATTTCTTATCGAATATCTTCATATCTCATACGTCAAGTCAAAATTTCACCTAATATAATTTTATATGAAAGCGTGCTTTTCTTCGATAGATTTAAATATACTAATACATAAGTAAGCGTCAATATGTCCAACAAAAAAGATACGATATGAAATGATTATTTATAGAAGTAAATATGAACCTTATACGTGTCAAAGCAGTTGTCTCTGTACAATATTTCTATACTGAGATAATAAGGAAGAAAAAAACTAATGAAACACTTGTATTCCATCAGTTGACACCAATAGCTCTCTGTTCGTTCGGTTGAACTCAAGAGTATTTGGATTGCAAGTTAATAGCGCTATCTATGAAATTTATTCATTTTTCTACATTTGAATAAAATTTTAGACTTTTCACAGTTCAATATAGTTAAATAGATTATTGATGACTTTATTTAATTCAGTAGTTTTAATTACATTTATCTTGTATATTAATGAGAACTTTTAATTGATCGCAAGTAACAACGCGACGAAACTTTTATTCAGTTCCATTTCACTAAACTGAACTTATTAGCTACGTCATCACATTCATTCTGATGTAAAAGGTAGATTAAACTGAAGTAAAAATAAAAATATCAAGTTAAACTAATTTTGAGCTAACTACAAAAGGAAATTGAATTCTTTCTCTGAAATGTTTGATATCTTTGAAATTGTGAAGTATCCAGTTTTTCGAATATTGTTGCAAATATTTTTACATGAAATATTTGATAAAAGCTGAGATCGAAACTAAACAAATAGATAAAGAATTGATAGAAGTCTGTTTTTCTAGAATATACTCATTTAAAAAAGATTTCGATAGTTAAACAAAAAAAAAGATTTCCAGAGAAAAACTACTGAGAAAAGGCAAGAGATTTATAGAAAGGACAACATAAACAACAGACTCCATAGAAAATATACCAATCAACGAAGAATTGGATAAATATTATATTCATTTATAATAATAAATAGCTTCTGTGTTCAAGTCTTGAAAACTTATTGATAGAAAAATAGGTGACAAATGATCGTGATACCGTCAGGAAGGAAATTTCTCCTCTTTCTATTTATCGAAATTTATCAAATTTTTTATTGAAATAAAGAATGAACTAAATGAAATCTTTCTAATTTCATAAAATCACCTTACTCTATCGAAACATAAAAGTAAAAGTAACAGTAGATCTTATGCAAAGATGGGAAATAAAATAAAAACTGACAAAATTAATATAATATTAGTGTTGAATGAAATATTCAAACATTTTGAAGTAAATATTTTTAGACTTTTTATTCTTAGATTTAATCAAATAAGAGTGAAAATGAATTGTTTAATCATAAATAATACAATTAATTAAAGATTAAATAATATTTTGTTAGCTATTTAATAAATTAAGTAGAGAAATCAAACTTTGTTTTATGTCTAATATCATTGATTTATGTTTAGGAATCGTTTAAATAAGAAAACATTTTTTGAATTAATATATAACTTTCAACTATGTATATCTTTATAGCGCGAGCACAGTTTTACTGATAAATGCTACAAAAAATACAGTTTACGTCGCATCAAAACTCATTCCTATAAATTTCTGTATGCATGATTTATACGATGTCAACTAAAAATGTTACTCGTAAATTTAATCGCAAAGAAATATCTACACATTCAAAAATGAATCTATATGAAGTCGTAAAGAAGTTACTATAAAATTATTACATTAATTATTTTAAGTAAGATATAATAAAGAGTTCAAGAGACAATGTTAAAATGTTCAAGTTGAAAATGCAGTAAGAACATTGAAAACTCGATTTTCAAAATTAATTATCGTTGAATCTCGATAACTGGGTATTTAGAGTAGAAATAGTTTTAAAACTCAAGATAGTTTTGATGAAATTTAAATAACAAGTTAATTTTTTGATTCTATTTCAAAGTTGTTCTTTATTAATAAAAAAAAGGAACACAATTTTTCTGTAAGTCGCATATGTTACAATAAAAGAGTTGTTCGAAATTTTGGTGTTAACTGCCTATAATGGCATTCCAGTAGCAAGTACATCGACAAGAATACCTCGATCAAAATCGGGTACAATCAGTAGTGCATCAATTAGTTTTATCCAAACAAATGGAAATGTATTGTTATTAGAATTTTTCAAATCATCTATACATAGAAGAAAAACTATGTCTATCAACAAATAAAAAATAAAAATCAATAATTTTACCTGCAATAGCATATTTAGCTGATTTCATTTCAGGTATACGCCAATCTTTAAATTGTATTTTCCATACACTTGATTCGACCCATGCATGATCTGTATTCAGTGGGTGATCAACATAGCCATTATCGAACTACTTTAATCAATTAATAGAAATTTTAAAAAAAAAGCTTAAATATACGTACAACACTTTTATTACATCCTTTTTGTGAAAATACTTCAGCAAATTCTTCTTTTAATTCTTTATCATTTAAAATACGTTTAAGATGTTTTATTGAATGATTCATTTCATTTAATTTAACTGTTTGCAACCACCAATATTCAAATAGATTTGGTGGAAGAATTTGTCCCGAAACAGGATCTTGAATTATTTTTATTTGATTATCATAACGAGCTTCGTGACCATAGAAACCCTTTCAAATAAATATTCGATAGGAAATATGTATAAAAGTAAAGAGGAAATAATAAAAATTCACTTTTGGTAAAACATGAGCGTCACCATGATGTTTCATTAAAACAACTTCTGGATCGTTAATATTTCTTAATAAAATAACAACAACACAATGATTGGGTCCCCAAAAAGGTAGATCTCCTCGACCAGCAATTCCTGTTCGACAAACAGGATTAATTGGAACATCATCATGAACTTGATATTTTCTTTTTGTATCATAATCCATAAAATATGATCGAAGATCATTAACAAATAAAATTCTTCGATTATCTTTTGTAAATGCATATCGTTCATTCCAACGTGTTTCATCTTCGCGTCTTTTTTGTCGGATTTCATTAAATTGTGGCTGCTGAATTTTATCGTATTTATCATTTAAACGGGCAATATTGGGCATGAACTCTGTTGGATTATATGGTTTTTTATCGTCTGTTTCAACCATCCATAATGATATATCTTTGTTTACATGAAATCTTTGTACTTGCGAATTATTACCCTATTCAACAGTAAGAACAGTGTGTATAAAAATTCATTGATAATGTTTTTTCTTCCAACAGAATCTTTATTACCGAAGGATACGGATACAATCCTATTGATGATGCCTGGTTCAGCAATGATGGATTCCAAGGACGTATTAAAGCTTCTCGGCAACCAATCATAGACATTTTATCAAAAACAATTGAATCCATCATATAACAAAGTTTATCATAATCTTTATCAGATTTTTTAATAGCATTTCGTGCTAACGATGCATATTGCTCAAGATTATTTTGTTGAATGAGATGATCAATATCTTTAACATGAATGAAAAAATAAATAAAATAAAAGGATTAATTCGGATCTCCAAGAAGTTTCTTTGTCTGTTTTACTTGTTCCATGATCAAATTCAAATGGTTGATTTATAATTGTTTCAATAATAGATGTAGCTTGTGGAGATAAGTTCGGCCAATTACCACGTATGGATTGCTCGGAAATAAATAAAATATAACGTGATTTTGTTAAATATTCTAGTTGTACGGGCATTCTATTTTCATTTGTTCGATTAATATTATTATCGGAAGTCTTCTGATGTGAATATTGTTCGACTAGATTGTTATTAATGTCAATATTTAACGGGCTCGTATGATTAGTAAAAGTTTTATTTGAATCATTAATTTGTACATTAGAGTTCATCGTATCAATGTCATTATTTAAACATCGATCTTTAACACATTTTACTAACTAAAAATAAATACATATATATATATACGAGAAAACTTTTATAGTGAAAAAGATTCCAACAACAATATCCTAGTATAAAAACACCATTTTTTAGAAGAGCAGAATAATAATCTATAGTTTTATTTAATTCTGATCATCAAACTAAACTCCATCCAATGTACATTGATATATATTCGTTACAAGAAAGGAAATTTTTGTTAGAAATTTCATTTCAATGTCGCAGTAAATACTGATACTAGTGTAATCAATATTCCAGTGTCAATGAGTCAATTTCAGCATTTCAATATTTATAGAGACACTGTCGATTCTTATAGAAGAATAATTGCTGATAGAATAAAAACTACGAAACAGAAACTGCGAATAATTCTCTTAATTGATTTATTAGAAATATAACTGCATAGTAATTTAATTTAAGAATTATATTGAAATCATGTGAATAGCATACTTCTTGTAAATCTCGATCACTTTGAACCAGTGAAGATTGTTCAATTCGTTTAAAATATTGTGGGACATGTTGACATAAAAATTTATCTGAACATTGAATAGTTGTTTGAAGTGTTAATAAACTAGTAAATAGATTTGCTGCTTGAACATCTAATGAAGTAATTGAATTGTTCGGATTTGCTGCTATCGGCTGACTTAAAGGAACTCGTCGAAGATTATCAGCATTAGTTCTTTCATCGTCAGAACTGGAACGTTTCGATGCTGATAATATTTGATAAGGTAATCCTTTTATTGTTTGATCAAGAGTTTTTAATTGATCATGTATATTTTTTATTGCATTAGAAGAATCATTATTATTATTTTCATCATGTTCCTTAAATTTATCAAGTACAACTTTGAGTGAACCTAAAATGAATGTTTTTATCGATGCTTTAATTTCTCATTACGCCATTTAATAAATTGTTGGTAGATCTTACCCAAAATAGGCAAATTATTATTTATATGAGTTAATTGATTGTGCATATCATTTAATAATTTGTTTGCTTGTTGTTGTTGAATAATTTGATCATCTAATTTTCTCAATGTATTTATTAAATCCGATGATGTTTTCTTTGATAGATCATTATTTTGCTTTGGTTGAATTTGTTCAATTTTTTCAGTAATATTTTGAACTTGACTATTTACATTGGATAAAGGAACAATAAATTTATCAATTTTCTGCATGATATCATCATTCTTTGTTTTTATATCAGTCAACTGGAATTTAGACGAAAGAAATTGTTCAATAAAAGAAATTTTGATAAACAACAAAAAAACAATACATCTTTCGATATTTGTTGAGTTGATTCAGTTTTTGAATAAATATCTTTTAATGCTATTTCTAAAGGAGTTTTAATGTTTTGTACAATTTCAGTTATTTTTGATGAAATATTATCAGATATTGTTTGTTTTTCTAAAAATGTTTTTATGAATTGTATATCATCCGACAAATTTTTTATCATTGGATCAGTCTGTTGTTTTTGTTTTAAATTTTTTATTATTTCATTTAATTGATCCATCATAGGATTAATTATATCGGATGTTTGCGGTCTGCTATCGAGAGATTTTGATAGACTTTGTTCAAGACGATCGAGTTTTTTCTTTTCTGTTTGCTGTTGAGCTTGAGATAGTTCAATGTCTAAAACGATTTTAATCAATATAAAATATTCTTAAAATCAAAACATACTATCTTTTAATGTTTTGATTATTTGTGAAAAAGGATGAAGTGCTTTTTCAATATCTTGACTAACATCAGATCGTTTTGGTGAATCGTTTAAAGTTTGGTTTAATTTTTTTTCAATATTCATTAACGTTTGATTATCTCGATCTTTATTTTGTGTTTGTTGATCAAGGCCTAAGTAAGAATAAGTAATAGTGAAAAATGAAAAAACTTCGAATCAATATGAATTTGGAAAAACCATCTTTAATTGCTTTAATTGATTGTGTTAAAGGATCAAGCTTAGCGTAAACATCTTTGATTGTATTCGAGTGTATTTGAGATTGATGAATATCATTAAGTTTTTTAGGTAGTTCATAAATAGTTTCCAGTAATGGCTGTTGCTGTTTAGACAAATTATCAAGAGCTTGTTGAAGAGGTTGAGTACGAAGGGATATTTCTTTAGTGATGTCTGCTGAAAATTAAATTTTCAATTTTGTTTTCAAAGTATAACTAGTTTTTAGCTCCTTGGACATTTTTTTATGAAACTGCAATATATTTTAGAGACTATAAGATGTTATCGATCTCTTGGAAATTAGCAGATTTCATTTCTTAATTTTTATAACCAATGGTAGCAAAACTTTATAGTTAGTCAACAGGGATTCATTTTGAAATTCATTTTTTCATGCAGTTCATTCATAATTCGAAAATATTTTAATGTTTTATAATTAGAAATTATTTGAACTGATGTTATATGACTTTTATATCATCACAGAGAAATCAACGAAGATTGATGTAGCCTGATCATTGTTACTGAACGAGTCGCCAGAGCTGTGGCTTCGTTTTAATACTATTGACATATGTTATATTTTATTGGAATATAAATACAGATTAATTCAACAAAGTATTAAAAAAAAGTAATTAATGATACTATTCCTCTTAAGAATAACTTACTTTGTGTATCTGTTCGTTTTTTTAAATCATTTTCTTTTTCGATATTTTTTGATAAATGACTTAATTTTGAATCAAGATTTTGAAGTAAATCTTGCTGTTTGAATAAATCATTTAATTTTTGTGTTATCGGTTGAAATGATTTATCAAGTTCTCGATTCAAATTTTCCGAATCTTTTTCATGCTGTTGTTTTAATTTATCTAATATTGGTACTAAGCTTTTCATTTGATCCATCAATGGCATATGCTGTTTAGAAATATTTCCAATGAAATCATTTTGTTTTCGTTGTAATTCATCTGACGATGAAAGTTTTGTTTGAATATCAGATAATTTTTTTTCAATATCGCCTAATATTAATGAAAGTCATAAAGAAAAAATACAAATCACTACTTATTGTTTTGTTGAAAGCAAAACAGACTTGCGAGTGCTTGAAGCACATTCACATCAGATAATTTATTTAAAACAGGTATCATTCCATTTATACATAAAGGAACACGATTTGGACTATGACTATCATTATCTCTTTCACTAATATTTGGAGAGCCTGACAAAACAAAAATAATTTCACTTTCTTTTTCTTTCAAGTATCCTTTGTCAATCGAGTAAAAAATATATATCTCATTTTATGAGTCTTACCTAATTTTTGTTCTCCATCATTTTTTGTTTGTTGTTCAATAAATGGATTTAATTTTTCATTTAAAAATTGTTTCATCGGTTCAATGATAGAATAATGTTGCTCTGTTACATGATGATCAATATCATTCAATTTCTTAATAATATCAGGATGAAGTTTCATTGCATCAACATGTATAGCTTTAACACGATCATTAATTTTCGATAATGTGTCATTTGTTTGTGGTATTGTTTTATGTATTGGATCAATTTTCGATTGAATATCTTTCATAAGAGTCATATGTTCAGGATGGGTTTCTTTTAGTTTTTGATCAATGACATCCAATTTTCTAGCAAGAATATCTGGTTTTGTTTTTTCCTTGTCAAAACATATTTGAAGAGCTTGAACAGCATCGCTCGTAGATTTTAAATCAGTTTTAGTTGGAATTTGTTGTTTTAAATATTCTAATTCAGATAAAATATTTTTCTGTTCATCATTGTGAGAAATTTTCAAGATTTTATCTAAAAAGATATTTTTCTTTGAATTTCTTGTTTTACTAGTTTTGTTTTTCTTGTTTTAACCTACCAATGTTATCTATCTTTTGTAAAATTTTATCAATAATATCTTTTGTTGGCACAATGTTTTTTTGTTGTTCTTTAAAAATGTTTACATCTTGTTTGATTTCATCAAACTTTTTATTTAAATCATTATGTAATTTGTTTAATCGTAAATGATCATCTCCAACATATTTATTGACTTTCTGTAGTTGATCTTCTAATGGTTTCAATTTTACTGCTATGTCTTGTAGAGCATTAATCATTTCTTTTGGTTGTTGTTGTTTTTCTTGTCCGACTAAGAATTGATCAACTTCACTTTTTAAACTATTGAAACGATTTAATAATTCTTTCAATATTTTCTCTTGTCCAACACTTTCAATTTTAATAACACATGATTCCCCTTCTTTGTCAACATGAATTTGGCAATCATCTCTATTAGTATTTCCGTAATCTTTCGATGACGAAGTCATTTTTATTTTATTGAAATTAACAGAGAGTAGGTTGAAAATGTAACAGAGAAATGAAAAAAAGATTAAATATACTAATTTCTTTAGAACAATAAAACAGAGCGCCTTTCATTTTTATAATAAATATGAATATGTGTTGATATTTTCAACACAATAAAATCGAATATTTTGCATAGTCAATTACTGTGCAACATTCAACAAGCATATCGCTTTTGTATATGCTCATTTTCCTTGTCCTTGCGTTCTATTTTATTAATATGATTGATTTTGAATTTTATTTTCATCATTTGGATGAGAATCGAAAGATACCAAAATACAGTTTTTCTTCTTCGTTGTCTTCTTCTATACTGAATGCCTTTTTATTTGACAGTTAAAGCATGAAAATTTATATGTTTACAAGATTATTAGTTCGAGAAATTATGATACCACCTATCTTTCTATTTATTTCTATTATTAGATTACGAAGAGTTTAAAATTTTCATTTAACAAACGAGTACACTCACAACAGTGCTATAACCACCATTAATTCCCTTCTGTGATATATCGAATTGCATTTCTAGAAGCGTATTCATCGTTTACCCTTAGCCACGAATATTCTCCTAGTAAAATATATTGTGCTTGATTCGTCGTTCTATAATTGCTGAAAGTTTTAGCTTAAATATTCCAGAATTTGTTTCTTAATATATCAATCTTGATATGATATTTATGGTAAAAATGCTTACTCAAGTTAAAAAGATGAGCTACATTTGAAAAATTGATGTAACTTCCGAGCCTAAATGCTGTTTATCACTGGAAAAGTGATTATTATTAGACAAAAGTAATTTTTCTAAACATAATCCTATTCCTATATACTTTTATAGATGCTAAAGAAAAAGATGAATACGTTTTGGTACTCTCTGATAAATTTCTCAGCGAGCCCTGCGAAGTTTCTTTTATTTTTCCCACGCTGTACAATTCGAAGACTTTTCAGGAATTTCTCAAGAGATAGTTCACTAGGGATAAGATCTGAAATATTTTTTGTCTGAAACAAATAAATCTATTGTAGACGAGTCCTAGTGGAATGATCATAGTTTATTTTTATAATAGATTTTCATTTTAGCTTTTACACTAAGAATAGTAAGTATATCAAATGTTTGATTAAGATTCTTATAAATTTAATTGTTCATTTTCTTATTTGGTTGAAGATTATTCCTGTAATATATTTCAAGAATTTGATCGATATATATATATATAAAGTTTAATTGAACTCCTAGACATTTAGGATAGAATACGAAACAAAAATGACACGGCCAAGACAATTTGAAGGATAAGGTAAAAGTGAAATACAAACAACAACAAAGATTATGAATGAAACATATATCAGTTTTAATTCAAGAGAAAACTATCGTTTACTAAATTTTTTACTGTTAGATTTTGAGAAAATTGAATCCAATCTTAAAAAAGCGTAAATAGTACATTACTTGAAAGTAAATAATCGAAAAAAAAACATCCTATTACATTAAATGAAGAATAAATGACCATTAAAAAACAGAGCCACGCTTAATTGCATCAATAGAATAGGGAACGAATTAATGGAGAAGTAAAGTACGATGGATTGCACGAAAACATTATTGTACAGTATACAAATGCAGTTATGATTCGTTCGCCATTCTTCTAAAATAAGTTCGTCTATAATGAATAAATATTGCAAAAATGTTGCTTCAAGAGGTAGTATTGTTATTCACAGTATGCGAGAATCCAATATCGTCAACCAATCGGTCGCCTCTAGTAACAAATAGACTTGATTATTTTACATTGGTGAAATGAAACAAAACTTCTGACAAGATATGATAGCACAGTAAAAATTGATGTAGGTTATATTGGATAAAGAACGTCAATTATTTCATCAGCAATATCATAAATAACGATGAAATTATTTCCAATCAGGATTTACTATATAAAATCCCTGAAAATGTTCCCAATAGTACCAATCGACGAGATGATCCTAGGACATGATCACATAGATGATAAAAGATTCTTTTAACTTTAAGAAATACGTCGATTTTGTCTGTCTTTATTAGACCCATTATTCAGTACACACGGTACTACGAGTGGAAAGGGTATCGATCAATTCGATTTTATGTAGCACTTTAGACTAAATTGAAATGTGTGAGGCCTTTGTTCATATATGAAATGATCAGCAATTGCTAGTTTTCTTCGGTGAATCTGGTATATTTCACGATTGGCGTCAAAATTCAATATGAAAAACAAGAAATGTTTGAAATAATTTCCAATATATTATATATATATATCCATGCTTCTTTTACCAGAAGATACAGGGCACTTTGAACTTGTAATGATACAACAATTATCTTTCTATAGTGTATAACACGACGGAGAACGAACAAAAACAAAATAGAATTTTCAAAATTTGGATTCGATTTATCTAAATAAAGTCGAATTCTGTGATGAATTTCTTTCTGAATAAATGAAATTAGAATGATAAATTTATATTGATTTCATCGGTTGATATTCAGAACATAAAATTCCTGTCTAAATACCAATGTTTATTTTTCGAAAGAGACTAGTACATAGATGAGCATTATGAAAAGAAATAGATGATAATATAACGTTGCACACTAATACAACAGATAAAAATATTGATTATATACTAAAAGACTAAATATATAGATTTTGAGGCATCCTCGAGTATATCTTATTATGTAACTGTTCACGCCTGTTTCTGTGCACCTGAACCAAATCGACTATTCAGTTTATTAATTATGGCTGCCAAAGCCATAACATCAGTTAAGTCAAGCTCACCATTTCCATTTTGATCAACAGCTTTGAATAAAGCTTTAGAAATATCTAAACATATCAGTACATTAGAAATAAATGAACGAATGATTGAATGGCACTGAAAAACAATACATACGTGGTGAAACAGAACCAAGTCCTAATCCTTGAAGAAGAAGTTGAATGTCTTCAATAGTAATTTTACCGTCACCATTTTTATCTAATTGTTTAAGAAAACCTTGTAGATTTTGAGCATTTTCATAAGTTGTACCTTATTTAAAATATCATTATCATACAAAAAGAAGATAATTGGATAACATACCAATCGTATCGAAGATATTACCTCCACCACTAGTGCCACTTTCTTTGCCACCAGAGAATGCTTTATAAGCTTTCATGGCACTATTCATTATATCACCCGGATTACCACCGCCGCTAGCACTTTGTGCACCTTTTTCACTGCTAGCTTTGTTTCCCGAAAACATTTTGTAAGCACTCATTGCTCCACTCATTAAGTCTCCAGAGCCTTTGCTTTGCCCTTTATTATTTCCACCACTGAGCTAAACAGAAACCATCGAAATATTTCATAGACTTTTATGTTTTAAGAAAAGAATTGTTTTTTTCTTCTGAAACTGTACCTGATTAAGAAATGATGATCCCATAGACATAAAATCAGGCTGTGAACTACCGGTTGCTTGTTGGCCACTTGCATGATTTATATTTCCTGTTGTAGCAGCTTCTTGATTGACCTTATTTCGAAATTGACTCACAAACTTATTTACATCATTGATACCAACTTGTTGAAGCATATTGTTCAGTGTACCATTTTCTATTTGCTCACGCCCAAAGTTCATAAGATTCATTGTGTTGTTTTACCTCTGTAACAGAATATTGAAAAACAAAATCACAATTTTGTTATTATTTAAGTTTGATTCATTCATATTATCAAATGAATCAACCTTTTCATGAGTTTAGATGGCAAAACAAACAGTCAAAAGAAGATTAATTTCATATGCATTGGGCAAATAAGTTAATTTTTTATATTTAATTAATGTATTTTATTATAAAAATGAATAGGAAATGTATCAATTTATCGTTTAATTCAAAAAAATGGAATTCTCTATAACAGATAATGAATGATCTATCAACATATCGAATCTCTTCGCAAAACGAGCATATCACGTTTTAGTCTCAAAATTTTTGTCTTATCAACTAACACTGAAGTTAATTGCTAAACCGATCATTTACCCATGAATGTTTTCATTGAAAATATTAAACGTTTACTAACAATTTTAAGCATCAATACCATTTATGAATTTCTTCATTTTTTCAAAATTTTGCAATGTCAAAAAGCTAAAAAAAACACAAGATTACCCATAGAAACTGAAGTAAATGAAAACAATTTTGAAAATGACGGAATCTATATCTACTGCAACGCGTGAAAAAATAATAAAAAGTTAGATCTCTTAACAATAAGATCATCTAGAGTAAATCGTATATAAAAAAAATTGATTCTATTTATTTAACAATGAAAGAAAATCAGCAATAAATTATTTTATAGAATCTAATGAATTTTTGACGTTTAGTCAGGAATCTTCACAGTGACAAAGATATCTCGAATAGCCTAACTTGTCTCTAGTAACTTCTTTACATATTTGCAATTGAGATTTCATCGAATTTGATTAAAATAATTTTCGATCTATTTATTGATCCTATAAAGTTATTTCATATCAACACTTTTTGATACGCTGGAACGATAATAATAAGAAAACAAATCCTTTATCACAGATACTAATCAATAAAATTGATTAAATCGATGCATTAATTAAACCCAGATAAACGTCGTAATAAGATAGATCTTATGAATTATAGAAACAAAATGGGACTAAGCCGAGAATTATATTCAGTTTGGATCGGATCCGAAATCTCTTTTTTCTTTTAGGACCCAAACACACCGAGAAAATATGGACTCACTTAAACCGAATGAAGCAATGATTAATTCAGGTTAAGTGAGTCCATATTTTCTCGATGTGTTTGGGCCCTTAAACCGATCGATCATCGATCATAAAAAATGTAAGCCAAATTGATTCGTTGTTTGCAAAGTACCATAAATTATCGCTATCAAAAGATGTCGTTAAAATATATCTGCAAATCACCTGCATAATATCTATTAAACATATGATAGTGAACATAGTATAGCGAAATGATTTTTTTCGTACTGTTTTTTGCATCATTGAAGTTGCAATCAAAAATGTTTCAAAGAGATAAGTTGTCTCCATTTTAAACGATTCTAATTTATCCTCAACATAATGACACTATTCGGTTGACAAAAACAAATTATTCGATTATCTCGCCACAACAAAGAAGTTAAAGAGTCCGGAGTAATACTTACTTGTATATGCACCTAAATATTCTTGATAATATCTTACAGATTCAGTCGAGTGCAAGACTTCGTTTCCTATACAGTTTGGCATTGCCAACGGGCAAAAAGAATTTTGCAATGTTTCATGCAAAACCTGTTCTAATCAAAAATATATTAAGTCTGTTCAGTAAATATAAAAATTTAATGGTATGATCCAACAGCAATATATTTTGTTGATAATATTGATCAGCACTCATATTGTTGAGACATTGTCATACATGATTTCACTTGTTTGTCGATAAACAATGCAATAACAAATCATTTTCATACGTTATATCAACAATCAAGTCACTAGCTACCTATGCTTGATTTTACATTTATTTTGTTTACGTTAATAATATTTCTATGAAATGCGACGAAGTGAATCTATGTTTAGTTTATTGTAGCACATCAATAGACATGGGTTGACGTCAGAGAACGTGGTCCACACTTTGTACTTCTCAAGTACAGAAGTTTGCTTTTCCCCTCCTTATTAAAATGTCTATTGTGTGATAGATAATTATTACACTATTTTATGAATAAAAAAGTCATTTAAAGTTTCAGATTAATCTGTAATGAATCCTTATATACAAAGTGTGATATTTTTCAGCTAAGTTTCGTTTTCATGTGTGCTAGTTCAACTATTATTCGATCACTTTTTAAATATCCAGAATATTTTCCCTCCGATTTCATATCCATTCTTACATTGGTTATCAAACTTTATATTTTTTTATTCATTTGATTATGTATCAGTTAAAATGAAAAACTTCTCCTACTTTAAATCATACCGTATGAAACAAAATACAAATATACAAAAACAAAACATGAACATGACTTTTACTGATATCATTCAAGGTAAAATCATATTTTTAATTATTTGTTACTTATACTATTTTTTCAATTTAATTAATTTTATCGTTTTGAATTTGTATTACATCGGCTGATATTTGGTTTTAGTTATATAATTCATTTTATATTACATATAAAGAGATTTTATTGGATTCATAAAAAACATCATGAATTTATTGATGTTGATGGTTTTGTTGCTGAATATAAATCATTAATTTAATCAACTATAATAACAACAAGTGGTATATTGCCATTCATTGTATTTGGTTGTGACATACATCAATTTCTTGCTTGGATTATCATCAGTGTTTTGTACAATGTGGAAGGGCATAGTTCAATGGATTCATTTTTTATTAACAATGATTTTCATTACAAACATCATACACATTTCACTGTTAACTATGCTATTGGACAATATTTCGATCGAATCTTTTACACTGATGGGATCAATTGAATACTTTTTATTTAAACAACATCAAACTCATTTTATTTGAATCAATAAATATAATTACTTTTCATTATCACAATACATACCTTTTCATGGGATGTTCACTTGACTAAATAAGAAAAGCGTACGAAAACCGAATTATCGGGTGTCCCAGAATAAATTAGACTATTTGTAGCTTTCATATTTCTTCACTTCATGCAGATCAATATTATCAATTATTTTATTTTATTTCTGTCAAACTTATAAACGAAATTTATTTGAACATTCATTATTTTCCCATATATATAAAACTTGAAACTTGAATTCCAGTTTCACGTTTGACACTACTGAAAAGTCAAGTTCCATGTGAGGATTTCTTTTTAAAAATGTAGAATTCGTTTCAAACTTCCTGTTTCTTTATTATTAGAGGAATCATATTTGATTTAATGATTTACAATATGATGATATCAACTAGTTCTATATAAAAGCATCTGTTCTTCAGGCATATCGTTTTTTCTTTATAGAAATCTGTTTCTTCAGAATATTGACTATTCTGTATATAGAATACCTTTTTTTTTGTTATATCGTTTCATTTTTCTATCTATACATTCGATCATGATAAATGGAAGCCATAAGTAAATATTATTAATTATCAGCATAAGAAAAGTCTGCTTCCATCGCGATTTTTATTCTATTAAAATATTTTATTTCATTCTTAAAAGACAATAACATGTGGATCTATGCTACTTTTATTGTAGCTATCTCAATTAAAATAGTTTATCTTCAAACTTGTTCAAATTTTGAAGACGGTATTGATCGTTCTGGACCATGGTATGCTTACGTTCAAACAATGCTATCTACCGACTCATGCTGTAATCTCTGCAATGCTGAAGGTACAAGATGTCAATCATGGGTATTTGTTCGTGCAGGAGGTAGTTATGCACCTGGCTGCTATCTTAAACAAAATATTCCATCTATAAACGAAACTTCTACGAATAAGCAGTATTGCACTAGTGGTTTTAAGCAAACATCATTGATCACGAGTGGTCGATGTGCCTATCCTGGAGGAATATTTGAACTGGGTATTGATCGGCCAGGTTATAATTATGCTCGCTTGTTAAGTATAGACAGTCATCCGGCTTGTTGTGCTATGTGTCAATTGGAAGGTGACAAATGTCGAGCATGGACATTTATTCGAAACGGAGCTGTAGGCAAAGAAAGCGGATGCTTGTTGAAAAATCAAATACCACCAATTAGCAATGTTCCTTGTGTAGCATGTACATCTGGTACAAAATAAAGTTTTTATAAGAGCCTCAATGTTTAACATAAAGAAAAAAGAATACCTTATCATCATAATAATTTTGGTTTATTCATATTTTTATATGCTTCATAAGTAACACTTCTTTTAAGCGAAAGCATATATTCAAAGTGTTTTTTATTGCTTTTGCTTTTAAGTAACGGATAATTTATACAAGCATTGTTTTTGAAGTTAAAATAAAAATGTAATCTATTTTCAGAAGAGTTTTGTTTTACAAAACCTTTTCTATCGAAATATTTTTCTGTTCAAATGTCACTTTTTATTGTCTCTATATATTCGGTTGCATTTGAAAAATCCTTCATAAGTGCACGCAAATAATCCTTTTAGGATTTTATTTTTGTCTATCATAATATCACTAATCCAATGTTATATTCCGTGATAGTTATACTATTAATTTTCAATGGATACAACGATGCTCGAAAACTTATTGGCACTCATATAGTAAATAAATTACTATTAATATAAGATGCTTTTATTTTCAATAAATAAAATAGATACTTCGTCATGGCGAACGTACACCGAGTTATTTATATCCAACAGATCCTAATGATAGTCATTTTTGGCCAAATGGTCTTGGACAGTTGACTATTCGAGGAAGATTAGAACATGTTACTTTAGGGCAGTATATTAGAGAACGTTATTCGGATTTACTTAATTCTACTTATGTAGCATCTGAAGTAAAATATATGAATATTTGCTTTTTGTTTCTCTATTGGTTTTGTCGACATTTATTTAGATTACAATTCGAAGTTCAGATTATGATCGAACACTTATGTCAGCTTATTCAAATCTTGTTGGACTTTATCCTTCAACAAAGAATTTTGAATTACCAGAAAGTTTTCTTCATTCAAATACTTGGCCTGAGTCATTACCTTGGCAGCCAATTCCTGTACATACTGTTCCGAAACCTATAGATCATGTTTGTTATCATTCGAGTTCTTTTTTTTTAGTGAAAAATCAATCGAAATGAATTTATTTTCAGTTGATGGCTGTGAGTTCTTGTGGTCAATATGAAGAATTAGTTGAAATATTAAGGAAAAGTTCAAGAATTCAACGACTCAACGATGAATTTCGAGTGAATTGCAATATTTTCTCAATCAATGTTGACTTAACTTCTTTTCTGTCAGGATTTTTTTACGTTTCTTGAAAAACATACAAATCAATCAATTGCTGATATTTTTATTGCATGGGATATTGCTGATACAATCCTTATTGAGGTATTCATGAATTAAAGATCTCTTTCTTTTAAGAACTACAAACAAAGAAACAAAACCTATATTTTATAGGCCATCTATAATGTAGCTCCTGCATGGGTTACTCCATCAATTCTTCGACAACTTCGTCAAATATCCGATCTATGCTTTTATCATCTTTTATATTCATATCGAATTAATCGATTACGTGGTGGTATGCTTCTAGTTTCTCTCTTCGTTTATTTCTCTATTTTATTTAATAAAAAATATCTAGGACCATTGATTCGTGATATTTTGAACAATATTGAAAAAATCACAACTAATAACGAACAAGGACGAAAGGCCAAACTTTATTTTGGAGTATTTTAAAGATTGAAAACAAATACTAAATTATTTTCTTTTCGTTCTTCTTAGCATGATATAACAATATCGGCTATTCTTGCTTTTCTTGATGTTAACTACGTTCATCAGCCACCATTTGCCAGTGGATTATTTTTTGATTTGTATCAGCAAGGTTTGTTTATCTTACATAAAAATGAATTAAAAAATATTATTCACCTAGATGATAATTCGTACGCTATTCAACTTGAATATTTAAATAAAACAAATAGTCAAGATACACAGATTATTACATTACCAGGTAAAAGTAAAATATTTACTACATTATTTTGTTTTTATTATTAAATATTAATATATTCTTTAGAATGTTTGAATGCAATGTGTCCATTGGAGAGATTTATTGAGTTGTACGAAGAAAAATTACCAGGTGACATGGATAAAGAATGTAAATCAGCGAAAACCAAACGTAAGAAATTTTTAAATCTAACTGATTTTTTTTCTAAAAGGCATTTCTGTTTTGTTTAGGTACATATTCCCGTATTCATCATGTTTCTTTTGTATCCGAATCATGAAGTTATGTTTTCTCTCTCTATTGAATTCATTCAAATCAGTTTTTCTTCTTGCATTATCTTGAATAAATTAAATGTACACCACTACCAATGCATATAAAATTTTTGACTGACATTGAAGTCAATCAGATAATATAACTAGATAGTTATAGAAAAATAAAAGATCATCATTGAATTGCTCATAGTCTTTTGAAATTTGATCAATTAATGTCTGTTTGAAAAAAACAAAACATGTCTCTAGTAGTATAGACTATTATTTGATTAAGAATCATCTTTATGCATTTGTTATTTGGTTCTTTTTTGCGCTCTAAAATCTCACTTTCATGTTGCCGTGCAAATCAACATAAATCGCTTTTTACTGTAGTTTTTGCCTATGGTGGGTTAACTCAAATGCATCTATGTGTCATGCTATTGTGTGAGTAAAATATATATATATATGTTTTTCTTCTTTTTTTTCTGTCACAGGGACGAGGTTGTCCATGGCAAAGAAGCGTGAGGGCCTGCCACACACTTCATTCATTAAATAAAGCATTATTATATATAGGTTATTACTGATTTCACATGATTTATTTTTCTTCTTGAACATTATAGAGAAATGCTGACATAGATAAATCGTTTTTTGACTTCTTGCTATTCGATTCAGTCAATTTAATTTTCAATCATTATCATTTCTATTAATTTTTGTTGGAAACCTTTTTTATCACTACAAACTGCATCAATTTCGATCATCGTTTTATTCATTTAATACGAATGATTTATCCGTTGAAGAAAAAACACAAGCGAGCATTTTATTGACATTTTGATTTAAACAACAGAATAGAATTATTTGAATAGGTATTCTTCTTAATCTTGCTGTTCTAGTTATAATCACATATACAGAGAATAGAAAGACTCATATTGAAATGTCAAGAGTATTAATGCATTAAATGAAATCGAATCGAATCGAATTAAAATTTGTTTATCCAAGAATATTTACAAAATATTCGTAGTACTTATCATCAAGAATTATTCTATTACAGTTTATTATAGAATAGTTGTCAATTGGCAGTTTTTTCTTGAAATTCATATTAAAATGATACGAAACTGAAATCGAATTCTTTTTAAGGAACAATATTATCCATGTATCTTATATAGATATTTACGTTACCACCATTATTTCATTGAAATAAATATACACCCGAAGGAATTGGTTTGATCGATCACTTAGTTCACACATTCATTTTTCTCTTACTTTTACATGCATTTATTTTATTCCATTAGTTGCATTACCAATTATTGATTTCTATGTTTATTTTAAAATTCGATCTTTACTCCATAGCGCAATATGAACAAAAAATCCGATATTTTCTTAAATATATCTTATGAAAAGCATCAATCAACTTCTTTTGGTTCATCACCAAGTGCTAGTACAGCTATGAAAGATGAAAAAATTGCTTTGACTGTACCACCAAAGTCAATAGATGGAAGTTCTCGATTAGCTGCCCGTCGAACAACGTATAATTTACAAATGAATAATCTTATGCGACTGAACCGTCTAAAAGTTGATCGACGTTTTGCTTTAGAAACAATATTCTTGGCCACTGAATATTTACTTAGGTGGACATCATATGCTGTTGTGGTTTTATTTTATTTATTCAACGTGAAATTTATTGACCAACAATCAGTATTAATGACAATATGTGCATTTATTGCCAAAATTCCAATGATTTTAAATCCATTTATTTATTTAGCAACAATAAAAACTAATCAGTTCAAATCAATGTTGTATTGCAGCAAATGTTCACGTTCTTATTGTCAAATGAGAAGTATTTTGGGTTCATAACATTGTAGCTTGTTTGTTTGATATCTTATTAAACAGTTGATTGTCTTTAAAATGTTAAAAATAGGAGTTACAATAATATCTAATTATTGTTGAATGATATAAAAGCATAAAATCCGATGACACGTCTAATAGAACTATGTGATCTTTGTATGCTTAGATATTTAGCGTAGATTTGGTAATGAGTAATAGACAAATAAGTATGTCTGGCGATAAAAACTTCTATTATTCTTAGAGAACAATTCATTAGATATTTATCTTCTTGCCAGATATTTGCTGCAGAGTAAATTAGACTTCATAGGAAACATTCTAAACTTGTGCTATGATAAAAGTATGTAAAATACTTTCTGTTTTCTTTCTGCTACGTACGTTTTTTTCTTACAATTTTCTAGATTGGAAAATATTTATATTTACAGAATACATACTATATATAGAGATGTTTAGTCGATGATCGACTTCAACCTTTCTACTTATTATGATGATAGAAGTATAAGTATTACCAAAAATAATAGGAGTTTTCGAATTAGCACCGCAACAAATATGAATGAGAAACATTTTTTTAGGCTCCATCGCGCATTCATAGCTAGCAAGTTTTGTTTTATTATAACTATATAGCTGTTCAAGGTAACAACATCATAATGAGAATTGGACAATGAGGCACAGTGCGAAGAAATCGAGAACATTCACGGTTGATAAATGTTAATAAATGATGGTAAGAATATTGAATCGATTGAAACCACTGATAGATAAAAGTAGAAAACATATTTATATTAGTTTGGTTTTATCCGTTGATAAACATTGAAGCTAAATCAAATTGCATTTCTATTTGAGAGAATGGCTACTAATATGCTCGTTCTAGTTTTTATTGATGATATGGAGCGAAGGCATGCAAATACTGTTGATGCTAAAGAATCGTCAAATGTCATTAGTTTTACGGTCGTGTCTAAATTCAAGCAAGATATTGATAAATCGGGAAAAGGCAATGTTTTGTACTGAGATTCACTAGAATTTTCAATCTTCTTTTCACACTCGATCTCGTATTTATTCCAATTTTTTCCGACTGTATAAACCAGAATAGTTCATAGACAATGCTCAAAAGTATTATATTCGAAGTACTACTTCAAAACTATGCCTATAAACAGATGGACTCATGGGCTTCTAATTCAAAAATAATTTCTTCGTATAAAAATGAAATGGATTCTATGCATCTTATCTTTCATACAATCCTATGATCTCTATGTCAAGAGAAAAAATATTTTAATATTCTCTTTTATTTGACATCAATAGCGCTTGTTCATAGATTCAATTGCTGATATACAAAATGAGTATGTTAAAAATAATTTTCTATTACTAAATGTTACATAGATAGTGTTCATAGATCTTCAAAGTCTCTTTGTAAAAATTAATTCATTAATCAATACTAAACGTTTCGTGAGTACCTTTGCTCATTGTGTAGACTTTTTAAACTTCTGTTATTCTGTACAAAAAATTACTGAAATGTTGACTATGTCGTTGACTGAAAACAAAATCTCCATGAATTGTATCTAGGATTAAAGTATATATTTCTATTAAAAGAAATTAGGAATAATTCGCACAGTATTAAAAAATCGTCTATTTCATAGATTTCATTTATGCATTTTTTACTAGAAGAACTATTTTAAATCATCGAATAGCATCTGTTTTATTTTGTTGTTAGTTGTCAGCAAAACAAAAGGGAAATATTCAACATTTTTTGGAATTTGTATATAGATCAGTCGAATTTTATTACATGAGTAATAAGTTTCGACAGAAAACTTTTCCTTTGTAACAGTATGTATCTATTTGATATTGAATATCTAATTACATTTCACAGGATTTCATAAATATTATACTACGACCGCAATAATGAAAGATTAAATATATTTTATTGTACTGCCTTCGAACAGCCCTGCACACTAGCAGATCCCTAGAGTCATTTATATACAGTTTCCTCTCTTTCTCTCTCTACCTTACGCTAGATACTAACCCCCCCTCGACCTCACAATAAAAAAAGCTCGGGTCTTCTATTATATTCCAGCTTAAAAATTTTCCAGGTGGGTCTTCTATTAAGAACCGTATTTTTTTCTAATATTTAATTTAAAATGTTTTCTAGAAAAGTAAGGCGACTGTCAGGAGTCCCATCAGGACTTTCAGGGTTTTAAGGGTGTCATTATAATTGTCAACACATTCTCTTAATATTTCCAGCTTAAAATGCTAAGAATCAAGCATGTTTTGATGGAAAAACGCTAATTAAAATTCGTAATTAGCAAAAAATTAATTAATTAAAGGGAAGTCTTCTGAAAGGGGGGGGGAGTACACACAGCTTTAATGTAATTTTGAAAATATTTTCATACAAAAACTTTGCATGTACATTATTCGGAATTAACAAGATATTCTTAGTATGTTGTGCACCTGTAAACCAATAGTTTCCTATGCAAAAATTGATCTATCTCATACAACCTATACTCTTATGATACCCTATTGTGTACTACAGACTAGAGATAAGATTAGTATATATGGAATAGTACTTAATCTATCATATTCGTTTACGCAAACTCTTCTTCTAGCTGTTTTTATCCTAAATGAATGATTTCTTACAATTTTACTTGTGACTAATCTTTATTCATTGAATAATTATTTAAATATATAATAAATCAAATAGAGAAAAATGAAAATTTTCAAAATGATTGCTTAAAATATTATCATCATCTCTCTCAATTGAGAAGAATCTTCAACTATTGATGACCGAACGAATGCATATATAGATATCATGCCTTCAATGCGCACTAAACATTGACACATGTTATTAAAATTCATTTTTTATTTAAAATGAAAACATAACACAATTCAGATATCAATTTATATTTTACATGAGGCAGGTTTTTTTACCACTAAATTAAATAGATATCTCTATGATCCATTGTTAAACCATTGGGAATAATCTTATAAAAAAAATAACGTTTAATCAGGCTATATAATTATTCTGAATTATTTTCTTATAGAGATATTCTATTTATTAATTCAACTGTACCGTTTGAACTAAATATAAAATATTTCCATTTATAAATCGAAAAGAATATGAATAAATTCTTTTGGCTTATTTTCATTCTGTGTCGGATTTTAGTCAATAATAATTTTAGTGTCCATTTTAGAAAATTTTCAATGGTGAATTATTGATAGAGAATTAATGAAATGAATAATACGTAAAGATTTGTTGTAGCAACATCTGAAGGATAACAATAACATCAGTTGTTAAACAGAACGGAAAAAAATGATTTTAGTTGCTGGTAAAAAAAAACTTGATTTTGTGACAAGCGTTTCTTTTTTTCGATCTAAATATTATAAAATATATTTGAAAAATAATTGTTGTGTAATAATTGATGATAAAAATCAAATTTAATATTTTTATTTGAAAAATGTCCAACTATTCGTTTAATTTTTATTAACATAAAACTAAGAAAAATAATGAAAATATGCAATTGATTTGGCTCGATAATTCACCTTGTTCTGCTCATATGAAATCAAAATTATTTGAATTAAATCCGACTGCTCAGTTTTACACTGATCTTAATCGATGTATCACATCAATAAAATCAATTAAAGATGAACAAATACTTCTTATTGTTTCATTGGCGTTAACTAAAAATATTCTTTGTCAAATTCATTCGTATCATTTATTAATGTCTGTATTTATTTTCTGTTCCAATATTAATGAATATCAAAAGTTAGAATTAATGAATGAATACAAAAAAATAAATCAAATTTATTCTGATAATGAGTTATTAATAGAATCGATTCAGCAAACAATTAATATTATCGAACAACAAATTTTATCTTTTAATGTATTCAATCCAAATAAAGATTATACAAATGATTTGTCAAAAAGTTCAGCATCATTTATTTGGTACCAAATTCTAATTGATATACTTAAACAAATACCTGATAATGAACAAATCAATAAAAAGATATATGAGAATTACAATGAATTCTATAAAAACGAAATGAATCAATTAAAAAAAGATTATACAAAAGAAAAAGCTATTCAATTATTTAATGAAAAAACTTCTATTCATAAAATATTAAATAAAACTTTAAGAACAAAAAATATCGAATTTATTTATTTGTTTCAATATTTTATTATCGATCTTTATGATCAAATTCAATATGAAAAAGAAAGTTGTGAAAATAGTGAAATATTAAAAGTATATTATGGAAAACGAATGTTAAACATTGAATTAGATCAATTAAAAAAGCATATTGGTTATTATATTGCACCAAATGGTTTCCTTTCGGTTTCATTTGATAAAAATAAATCAATCGAATCAGCAAAAACTGAAATATTATCTGATGGCTATCAATCAACACTTTTTCAATTCGAAATAAATCCAAAATGTCAACAAGTAACATTTGTAGAAATTTATGATAAACAAGAATTACTATTTAATATTGATACAATATTCAAAATCCATTCGATTAATTTTGATTCTTCTATTCAATTATGGCAAATAAATCTTATCAATGATGATATTGGTAAAAATAAAATTCAAACATACTTTCAATCAATAAAAAAATTCAGATACGAAAATTCTTTTTTAATATTCTTCGGTCATCTATTGAATGAACTTGACCAATTACAACAATCAGAAATATATTTTCATATTTTACTTGAATCCTTATCGTCTAATCATGAAGATATCGCTTCAATTTATAATCAAATTGGTAATTTCATAGCAGACAAAGGCCAATTAAAGTTAGCCTTAGAAAATTATCAACGTGCTTATGAAATTCGTTGCCAAAGACTACCCAATGATCATCCACATATATCTATATCGTTGAATAATATTGGTTTAATCTATAAAGACGAAGGTAAATTAGATGATGCACTTAGCTATTGTCAAAAGGCATTAACTATTGATGAAATAAATTATCCAAAAGATCATGTATTAAAAGCAATGACGATCGAAAATATTGGTGGAATTTATAAAGAAAAGTATCTATTTTCCATAGCTCAAACTTATTTCTTACGCGCATTAAACATGTATAAATCTGCTCTTCCTCCCAATCATCATTTTCTTACTGATATATTAAATAGTTTAGGAAAAGTTTATTGTGATCAAGGATATTATGATCGAGCATTAACATGTTATCAAAAAGCGTTTGCTACTAGTGAAATTAATTACACAGATGATCATTTACAAAAAGCTCAAACTATTGAAAATATTGGACTTCTATATAAAACCAACGGTATGTTACAAAAGTCTCTTGAAGAACTTTTAAGAGCCCTTGATATGTATCAAAGAATTTATTTCAATGAACATCATGATATAGCTCGATGTTTTGGTCATATAGGACTTGTCTATGAAGCTAGTAATGATTTAGATTTTGCATTGAATTATTTTAATAAACAATTAAATATGGATGAAAAATGTTTATCCAATGATCATCCAAATATTCAAATTGATATTCAATGGATTATTGATATTTATAAAAAACAAGAACAATTTAAAAAAGCATTTGAATTTTGCCAAAAACAATTTCTAGAAAAGAAAAATCTACTTGGAGAAAATCATCCAATGACATTAACTATCTTTATGATGATGATAGATTTATGTGAAGATTTTAATGTTAAAAGTAATTATTATAAACAAGCTTTATCTATACATGAAAGTTTAATACCATTTGATCCACATGCAACTATTAGATGTCTGGATACAATGATTAATTTCTATTATAAGACTAATGCAGTCGAAGAAGCATTGAGTTATCAAATCAAAATGGTTGATCTTGAGCGACAAGTATTAACAGATGATCATATTAATCTTGCTTTATCATTACAAAGATTAGGTCAAATATATGAAACTTTATCTAAAACAGATGAAGCAAAAATATGTTACACAGAAAGTAGAACTATGTTTGAAAAATATGAACATAATCAGAGCAATATTGAATCTTCTGACAGGAAAAGTTCTTCTGAATCGAATGCATATCAAGAAGAGAAAGAATTAAATTTTACAAAAAGTAGAATATGTGTTTTACAATAATATTTTACAATCAAGTTATTTTTATTTGTAGAAAAAATATTCTTACTCGTTGTTTTTATTGGATCACATAGAATACCTTGGTATTCTGTCTCAGTTAATTTATATTTTTGTAAAGAAAACACAACATTGTCGTAAATAAATATCTTTCTAGCCTTTATTTTTCTCAGCACTCAACATCTTGTGACTGTGATAGATCTGATCTCATTTAATAACTAATAGGAATTACACGTTTCAAGTTTTCTGTTTTCCATATTTTCTCAGGTGAAAAATATCACGATTGTACAAATAGAGAATGACGATAAATGATTACAAGTCAAAAGTAAAAAATAATATTCTCTATTAAATAAAAATATTGAGACTCTAGTCACAGATATTATACAGCAATATCAGGATCAGTACGATCAAGGGAAAATTTTAGTCTACTAAAAATATTAGCCTTTAACATATTTATTTTGATCGAATTTTTATACAACATATGATCACGAATTTACACTTTCTATCAGAGTTCTATACTAAAATACATAGCATCACTTTGATTTAGCTTCATAATATCCCAATGAATAAAGATCATAGAGAACTGTAATTAATTTGATCGATTAAATGCAATCAATATTAATAGAATTAGTCTTCATCTTTCTATTTTCGAAATCTAATTATATTGTGTCTATCCAATATCAAAGAAAACTAAAAGCGACTCTTTCTACTTTTCTATCCAAACGATAAGATAAAAACGTAATTATAAACATCATGGATTTATATATAAATATACATAAAATGTATAAGGTAGTGCTGAAGTACAGATGATATTTAGTTTTGTTCATGTTTCAATTTTCTCAAATAACGTGAGTGAAATGATTTACATACTTTTGTTTGATAAAAGAATGATTTGCTTTTTCTACTTTCTAAAAGAATCGATGATAATTAGATTGAGTTTCATGAGAAAATATTGTTTTTGATATCGAAATTATTAGAGATCATAGACATAGCGTTGAGTAGTGTCTGTGGAATATTTTTGAAATGTAAATCGGAATGTCATCTTGTGAAATAATTATAATTAACTTTGTTGAAAAATCTTGGAATGATTCAAAGTTTTCCGTTTAGCTATGCTTATGCAACAAGCATCCAACAGGAATCGTATGAATGAAGCTTTAATTCAACTCGGCAAAAGTGAACTAGATCAATTTCAGTTTAGATTTTTTGAAAAAGACGATCGAATCTAATCGAATAATAGAGTAACATGAAAATATCGTAATTTTGCTTTTTATCTTGAAAGTAATACAAAAACTGAAAAGGAACATTCGAGATTAGAAGACGAAGCAAGATATTCAATCAGCCTGACAACTTATTCCTTGGTAAAAGATAAAAGGAATATAGAATTCTAATTATCATCTTCTAGTTGCTCTACTTTATCATACGCACGATCCTATTTTGACAATAATCGAGCAATAGCTGAATGCTCTGACACAAGAAAGCGTAGAAATCCAGAACTAAATGATAAATGTTTCAAGTTCCAAATGGGAATACCACTGATTAAATTCACATTTTAATATTTGTTGAAACTGAACCATTGGCTCATCTAAGTAAAATAGAGACAATAGAAAAAAAATTGATGTTCAAAGCAGGATGGTCAGATCTTCTGAAGAGTAGGGGAAAATTTCTGAAATTTGAAGTCCTTTCTGAATTTCTTCTGAGTTTCGTACCATATTCTGATTTTTCCTGATTTTAATACTTTCTTCTGATTATTTCAGAATTCGAAACTATTTCAGATCCCATTTTTGCTAGCGCAGTTCAGTACAATTATAACACATTCCTATTATAGATACATATTTCGGCACCTTGATTTTCTCAATTATCCGTTGGTAATTTCTGACTTGTATAGACAACTTCAGCTACAGCAATGCACTAGAATTTGATAAATTTCTTTTCTTGATTTCGAGAATCTTATCTAGTTGAACATTCCACAAATAAAAACAAAATTATCTATTGGATGATATTAATATGGTTGGATTTAATTATGAAGAGAAACAAATCGAAGTAAATCAATTCGTCACAGCATTACCATTTCGATATATAAAGGAAAAAAGGAGTTTTTCGTAAAGATTCGTTATCGATTGATGAATATTCATCTTTATGGTGACAACTCTTTGGAAATGAAATACCAGTCAATGACATAGAAGTAGTGGAATAGTTAATGCCAACATCTTATACAGAAGTCGCTATTTCACAAACAATGATCTTTCTAATAAACTTCTGATTTTCCTGAAGCACTTTCTGATCGTTTTCTAATTTTTTGCAAAAAAAGTTCTGAGCTTAATTTTCGATCTGGCCACTCTGGTCCAAAGGCACAAGTCATGATCATAATTTTATTGATAAACTGATATAGTTTTCTCAAAGTTCATCGAATCAACTCCTATCACTGGTTTAAATAATGAATAGATACAGTTTGAGAAAATCCATTGTGCATATAATGACACTGAACGCTCCTTGGTAGCATACATTCTTTTTTATTATAAATTTCAAACGACACATATCGCACAATAGGAATCTCACAATTTAGAACAAACAAAATACTTATAATATGGTTGATTAAAATCATAATAGTCGTCTGCTCAGATGCTGAGCTAGTAACATGCTTTCATGGATGTTGGATTGCATCATTGAGCTGAGCATTGTAACGAAAGATCAAGTCGTTCAATTGTCTATAAACGGACCAATAAAGTTGACCGATGTTAATGAAATCTTTTTGAAGTAGGGTTTTGGTGTTTTCTGGTAATTCAAAATCAATTTGAACGTTTTCTGTTGGAATACTTGGCTCATTTCTACTATACCATCGCTTAACATTTTTAACACCATGGTAAACTTGTACGATTTTCTCTTTAAGATCATTCTCAGCTATATTCGTAGAAACATCGTGAACAAGAACTTTATGAGTGACTTGGTCTTCTTCAATCAATATTCCTAATTGATTACCGGATTCCTTGTTTCTCTTGTTCTCCTTTTGTAAGGGTATAGTCGGTTTTAAAGCTTTTACGCGACACTGTAAGCTACCAATAGTGATCAAACCATTTGCTATGAATTCTTCAGCTTGCTTTGTTGATTAAAAATGAATTTGAACAAGTTTTTTGGGAGTTTTAAGGTTATCCTTTGCATCGATGCATCGGTGTACATGTATAATACCTTTATAACTTGTTAAAAGTTGTTTTCTAAGGTCATTTTCAGATATTGTAGTATGGACATCCAACAAAGAGCTCTATCGGTGGGCTCTTCTTGATTCTCCGTCATGATCGTAATATTGTATTCAAATTTTAGCTATTAATATTAACATCACTACCCATTAGTATGTACTGGTGGTGTAAGGACATAGTCATGACAAAGTTATTTCCTTTTATGTGTAATACAGAATAATTGCAACAAACCTGACGTGAATTGGTGAAAAACATTTCCCAGTGTTATGAAAGAAATATTTTTGCATATACTTTGTGTTGCTCATGGGATAATTATAATGAAAAATGCCTATATGCCATTCAATAGAACATAAAGCAGATTTTTTCAGGTAACATTGCTCGATGCATTTTCTTCTCGCTATCGTAATTTTTATGATGATGCTTTGGCGTCATTTTTTCGAAATGAAAGAACAATGACATTAGGTGATGAGATGTTTCGTGTACTTCGCGGTAACTTTGGAGGACGAGGAAAATAGTCTAAATTATACAGATGTGTTTATGTTAGACCTTTTTGTCTATCGAAGAACTAGAGGGTAGTTTCGACTCCTATAACATTTAAACAAGCAAATTTCCAACTTAAATAAAAACGTATACTACATCGAATACATTGAGAAAAACAGTTAACTATTGATAATAATCAAATTAATACATTGTAAATGAATTTAATAAAAGAATTTTAGATGATACAGACAGAGCAGTTACAAAAGTGAAACATAAATGTACTTACTTATGATATATACATATATATTCTACATTAAATAGCATACTGCACTAGGAAAACAATTTACTTCATCAAATCTTTTCTTACTACGACATTAATTTGATGAGTCTCTTATCGAATGCACGTAGAGTTGGCTTGAAATTTATTAGACTTTTATTTTTCAGTTGTTTTTTTTTCTTTTTTTGATCAAATAGCTTGCTTAATACATGTTGTAATCTTAGTTCTATTTGTTATTGACTAGTCAACATAAAAGAATTCCTTTTTGATTTTTTGAGAACACTTACTAATATCTCTATGCACATTTTAACCTGACAAATAAATTTCAATTTCGTAGAGACAATATTTAAATTCTTTCGAAGCATTGGACGAGATTCATTCACCATATTAACTTTGCTTCTTGTTCAAGTTGATACTTATTCACTCGGTTATGTGCATATGTTGTTGATGCTTTTCTCAATGTTACTCGAAAAATATGCACTCGTTTTGACTTAATTATAGATGATGAATTGAAAATAATTGTAAAAAAGAAAGATTATAACTTGTTTGTATGAATCTCATGACTAATGGAGATGCTTATACTTTTCCATTTCATATTGTATGAATCGAGCAACTCGGCTACAAGTCTAGTTGAATGTGCTATGAATCACTTTTCAATATATTAATTATCAACCACAATGAAACAATCAATAATATATATTGTGGAATGCATCATTTCAGAGTGAATGAGAAGTTGAAATCACAAGACGTATACTATGGAACTAAGAAAGCTCAAAGTTAGCACAAATCATTTAGATTACAAGATACATAAAATTTATACAATCTAAACGATTTAATATCAATAAATCAAACATAAACACTTAGCAGTAAAATCTACTTTATCGCTTAAAACAACATATCAATAATTATAAACGGACATATGTTGACTAAAGAGTAACATCGGTTAAACGTATAGTTCTTTCCTTAGATTATTTATTACATCATAATTCAAGTGGACGCGATTCTTCATTATATCAAAAATTTTTCTATTGCACATCAATACCGAAGAAAAACCATGTCTATAATTATATTCGGATTGTTTTTTTCTTTGAATCCTTTCATTGATAGTTGGTAGTTATATCTATCATTAAATAATTTGAAGTAGAAAAGTCAATTATCTATGTTTTTTATAAGAATTAAAAATACAGATATATTTTTTTTTGAAACAAAAAGAATGAAATGTTCACTAGTACATTCTTTGATTGAAATAGTTATTCTTAATAAAAATAACCTCTATTGCTTTTATAGAAATTGAAAGATGTTTCTTTGATCAGGATTTTAAAATATGATTTCTTTTTCGGTACGATATGTTTAATCATAGTTTTTTCCAAAAATCAAGATCTTGTCTAATGACGTTAATTAAATCACCAACATGAACAGTTCCAGAAATAATCTCCGAACCATCAAATTGTCCTAAATAAATACCAAACAAAGCTTTGATGCCATACTGATTGGGTTTAAGTCGATAACTAAATTATAATATTTTTATTTGTCTTAAGAAATAAAATATTTCAAGTTACCTTCTCAATGTTTTCCAGGGTTCTTGGTTGGAATCTTTAATACCAGTTTCTTGATCTACTGTCGGCAAAAGACATCTTTAATGCAACAATATTCATACACAGATTTTAATCAATTTTAAAACAAAAACCTTAAGGAAGGTGAAATCCATTTTAATTTCACTTGACCAATATCAACATCTCTCCAGCAATCCTATCACGAGAAACAAAAATCTCTTTTATTAAAAGTCATCAAGTTTACTGTACTTCTGAATATGGTTCACTTCCATTAGTTACAATAATATTCGGTCGAAAATTGTATATTTTAATTTTCTTTTCTAATCGTGTATTCAAATTGGTAACAGATTCCAATGAACATAAATGTATTGGACAAACATCATGATACACAGCAACATGATGATCTTCTGCTACATTTGGAAAATCTGGTTTATTTTTACTTGAACGTGTTTGAAATTGTTTTTCATCAAAAATAACTAAATCAATTTGATCGTTACTTTGAAAAAATCTTCGAAACCAATGAGATATCGTATCGTCATAACGTAAACCAAGTATTGGTTCGTCCCAACAACTATATGTATTCAACTGTTTTATTGAAACAAATATTCAAAAGTAATTGACTTACTGGCAATACATTATTTCTTTTGGTAATGGACTAACAGATATAAGCAGATCAGGCATATTAGGTGCTCGAAGTAAAAGTCCATTTTCAACAAATGATGGTTGAATAAGTGCCATACTTGGTAAAACACGTTGTGATAAATGTCGGCCATCTTTGACAATCATCCATCGTCTATTTTAGAATGGATTGAAATTGAAAATTAGTGATTGAAATTTGTTTACCTATCGTAGATTCGTGGATCGGATGGAAGAGCTAAGCCATATCTTGTAACTAACGCTTCTTGAACTCTAACGCCACCACAAGATTTTATTGGATAAATGAGTAATTCTTGTACTTGCATTATTCGAATTTGATTCCTGTAATCAAAGATATATGCTCGTTTAAAAGAGAATTAATTTATTGAGATAATGTAGACATGATGGATGAATATCTATATACATTCTTCATCTATATTATTTTTTTCGTTTCTGTGCGTCTTATTCTTCTTTCGCAACGAAATAGATCATCAAAAGGAATCAATCATACCTTCTCCATCCATATTATTTATTTCTCTTTTTCCCCTAGTATTTTGCTTTGCTTTTTAACTAAACCAATCAATTACACAAGTTAGTACGTACGCACGTTTCATATTCATTACGATTTTTCATACGTAATATAGATGACACCATCTGATCACTATCGTAAAAACATACGCAAAAGTTGTTTTTGTGTACTCCAAAGAAAATGAGTACACTCTAGATTCGGTTAGTGTGTCCGGCCGGCCGTTAACATGATAACTTGTGAAAGCCTCATCCAATTGCCATGAAATTTTGTACACAGAATGATCTCATCAATATCTCAGTCGAGTTCGAAGATGAGAAGGGTCCGTCAATAAATGTCTGAGTTATTGAAAAAATTGTCATTATTGACCAGACCATCCCTGAGGGGGGGGGGTACAGAGATTTTTTGAAAAAGAAAGTTTTTTTCTCAGAATTATTCACAACATGTATAAATCGATTCAGTTTTTGCAGTACACATAACAATCGGATGCGAATCCGATGTTTCCGCATTTATTTAACAATATCTTTGTCATTGGTTGCATTCAAAATAGATTTAAGTATCGACTGGATATGGATTTGTGTTATTTTCCTTTGATTAGTATCATTCGATGTTGTATACATCTAGACAATATTGACTGATTTGACTTAAAAGATTTTGCATTTCTACCTAATAAATAAATAAATTAAAAACCTAAGATAATTACGCATGTAGAGAAATATGCTATTGCTTTCATGTTTTGTTTCATTTACACTTTATAAAAAATGGATGCGATATAAAGATAAACAGATGTAAATAGAGAGATAGGATCCTCGGTTTATTCAGAAAATAAAAGTAAATGATATTGATTAATATCTACTTATTCAATACTAATATTAAAGGCATATTCCAAAGATAAGACTCGTAGAATGAAATCGAATAATGTTGATATATGAACTTGTTTTCTCTTGATTAGAATAAAGCTCAACTAATTTGATTGAAATTCAAATGATAAGTTAAACTTTATTCATTAGTATCCAATTTCTTTTGTTTCAGAGGTCATGTTTTTCTTCTTACTATTTGTTTTATTTTGAGATTAGTTAAACAACGAAGGAAATTAATTAACTAAATAGATTCCTGATGACTCAAAACTTTAAGAGAAACTTATAGTGCAGAAATGATCTGTTTTAAATTAAGACTTGATGACATCAAACACAAAAACTATCCTAATCCACATATTTATGAATAAATAGTTTGCAAGACCGAAATTTTAATTTTTTAATTTTGTTCATGTCATGCCATGCCATCCGCTATATGTCGTAGCTAAAAAAATGTCGTGTTTTTTTCCTAAGATGATTCAATATTCTTGTTGCATACCTTAGTAAAAGTAGATATGTATATTGAAAATCAAGTACAATTTAATCGACATTTCTTTAGTTATTTTTTGTATAGAATAATTTTAAATTTAACCTTATTACCGAACGAATCGGAGGGTGTGAGTGTGGGTGTAGGGACAGCCGACATCCACATTCACACCCACGCCCATACCTTCAAAATTTCGTGATTTCAAGTGATTTCAGATGATTTTAACTTGATTTCAGAGATTGCAGTCAGTTTTTTCCCTCTTGACTGTGCGTCATGAAATTAATTTTCTTATAAATATAGTTACAAGGAAATATTTTTGTAATAAGAAATGAAGATCAAATAGTAAAACTCGAGTTGTTTTCATACAGAAGGAATCCAATTGCCTTTCGACGTAAGCTATGATCTTTTGTTTTTTAGTAAAAAAAATCTTTGATTACAACTTTTTGTTACATCTATCGATCCTTGTAGAGTACATCTTCTTCGATTTAATCTAAGAGTTAACTTTGTCAGAGCAGTTGCAAAATATGATCATAAAAAAGCATGAAGATATCATATTTGAATGTTTTTCACATAACCTTCAAGGCACACAAATGACCTTTTAATTAAAAAAAAAGATGGAATTTTATTTGACTGAGAAAAGGATTTCTGGCTTTTTAGCCAATGGTTTTAGTATTTTAAAAATTTCCACTGACACCTTTTATATTGACCAGTGACTAGCTGAGAAACACTGAAGAGGAAAGAAAGCGAATTTTTTTCTCATTAAAATGCAATTGTAAATAAGCAAAACGATTGTGTAATATCCATCAGCATCAATTAGAAAAATTAAAATAAAAAATCACTATTTTTGCTTATTTCACACTCGTTACGTACTAAATCTAAAATGAAAGATTTGAATATTAAAATTAAAATAAAGGTATACACAATATTTTTTCATTAAAAACTTAGATCGATGATTCTATCTTTATCCTTAAGTTTATTTCTCGTAAGATATAAAATTGGCATGAATTAAACATATAAATTCGATTTAAAATCGATTCGTTTCGATCAAATGAGAACGAAACCAAAGGGCCAATATTAGTATTTAGTAATGAAATACTTCTAAATCAATATCTTCCTAAATTCCGACAAAGCATAAAAGTATAAACGTAACAAACGACAGATCTAAAGAACAAAAAACCAAATAAATAATTGACATATATCTGTTAGTAAATGATAAGTTATTATAATAATAAAATTCCATCTAGACAATTAGAAAGAAAATGTATTCAGTCTTGTAGATATGGCACATCTTATTGAAGTTTTAAGGTTTTTAAACGGAATGAAAACGAAACTAATAATATATCTACATAAAAAATGAATCTTGTACATTTTGATTGCAGTTTGAAAATAAAAGAAAGTTCAATTGTTCTCTCCTAGAAAATCATTGGAAAACTGGGTTAAATTTAACACTAAAATAGTCAAATCAGGCTACTTAATAATAATCATCTAGACATGAGAAAAATAATTCTTTCATAAGGTTATAAAGGTAAAATAAAACAAACAAGAATTTTCTCACCTAAAGACTAAACGTTCTGTTTATCTTAGCGTTGCTATTTTATGGTAAATAAATAAATGTATTCTAAGTAGAATAAAGTTTTACCAGAACAAATGAACAACAAACAAAATAAATTATGTATAAGACTAACGTAAGTAATCCGAATATAATTGTTTGAGTAGTTGACAGAAATGAATCATCAACAATTCTAAAAAGCCTACACCTAGAATATTAATAGACACTTATGTATCAATATAGACCTTGTTTAGACTAGAAAATGTAATGTTAAATTAGGACATACGATCGGTCGAAATTTTAATTCATATTTAATACACGTTTCAGAAATAATTCAACTTTTATCCTCCAATCGAGAAAGTACTTAATCGACTAGTTAAAATCATAAATGAGTCTCGACCAAGTCGCTGAATATCATTGATAAAAGATATGGTCAATATGATGAACTGAATAATATTGACGAATAGGTATAGTGCCGTAAGAACTCAGAACACTAAAATATTACAAAGGTCTCTAGCTGAAAAAGTGAGCTAAAATAGCGGAAAATAAGTCTAAAAGTTTTACTACACACTTATTGGTTATTGACTAGATATAGAAGCGACATTTTGTTGCGTAAGTGCATGCTAAAATTATGCACTTCAATTATATTATAGTGGTCATGTATCAAATCTGACTGTTGCATCAAAGTCATCAGTGTGAACGCATATGGATTTAATTCACAATTCAAACTGAGGTTTTTCTCTCCAGCATAGACAATACCATATACATATAAACAAGACTATCACATCGAAAGAGTTTTTTCAACAAGATGGCACTAAGAATAAGAAAATTTCTTTGAAATTTTCTAAACAGTTGAATCGTTTTTGTGTACTCAAAAAAAAAAGAGTACACTATAGAATCGGTCAGTGTGTCCGGCCGTCCGTTTATTCGATAACTCTTCACAATTACATTCGATTGAGCTGAAATTTTGTGCACAGAATTGTCTTATCAATATCTAGGTCGAGTTCGAAGATGAGAAGGATCCGTCAAGAAATGGCTGAGTTGTCGAAAAAATTGTCATTTTTGATCAGACCATCCCTGAGGGGGAGTACAGGGATTTTTCAAAAAAAAAATTTTCTCAGAATTATTCACAACATATATAAATCGACTCAGTTTTTAACGCTGATTCTAAATCTGATATTAGTTTTGAACTAAGTCATAGCTTTCTAACGAAACATCGCCTGAAAAACGTCTCAAAATTCACAAAAACTCCATCCAGAAATCAAATTGTCTAGTTTCTCATGATAATTTTCGTGTTCAGGCATTCTAGAATGACTCATATGTCGCATGCACTTTTTGCAGTACACATAACTCTCGGATGAAATCCGAAGTTTCCACATTTTTATAATAAAAATCGGACTAAAAAGACAGTTAATGTTATTGAAAATAAATATAACATCATCTGTCAGATATTGCATTCATTAATTTTCTATTCGCTGCAGTTATCCTACTGATTCAAGACTGGATCCTATGTGGATCTTTCTTATTCATATTATTCTCTATCAAAATCGTAGATGATAGTGAAAAAAATTAAATAGAATTATCTACATAAATATAGGTATAACTTGATCTTCTGTATTAATTCCGAACGCTATAATGTTGGATTTATAAAATCTACCGAAATTTGAATATAAATAAAAATAAAAATAATACCATTAACTATTAACACTGATAAAAATTGATCTTTTTCCTAGTTAGTTCATACAGATAATCAACTAAGTCAACTAATCTATTCATATATGTTCATATGTTTGATCTTTTACAGCTAAAAACTATTTAGCGCGACTATAGATTTAATTGAGGATAACAACTAACAAAAAAACAGAAGAAATACTTCCAATTAAAAAAACAATTCTATTTTTATCAACGAATTCTACGATCAATACAATAAAATCAAAAAATGCAAACTTTTTAAATAGTAAAATGACAGAATATATGCTGATAAAAATTGAAATCAGGTGAAGATCAACGATTATTGATAGAAAAACATTTTTAATACATCTGAAGGAGTATAAAATACTATGTATTTGAATGTGTCTAAATATATGTTCGTTAGTTAACCCTTAAGAGCCGGATGTCCCTTCCAACGGACATAGTATAACTTCAATAAAATCTACTATAAGAATTTTTGTGCGAAGCCTAACATTTTTGTGAACTAATATAACCTTCATGATCATGAAGAGATAAAAATATAATTATGAAGTGACTCATAGACTGAACAAGGAAGATGCGAAGACTCATGATTTTTTTAAATATCATGGAGCATTTTTTTATTCATATAATCGATGTGTGACTTTGATTTTTTAAGCGATATTGCTAAATATAGTGTTAAAATATCTCAGGAAGCCACTCCGTAAATTATAAACTATTTCACTAACGCAGCATACCATAATAAGCAAAATATTCCGTGTATAAGATATTTCCAATATTTCTCCTCAGGAAAAAATCGAAACATGGGAATTTCGACTTGAAATTTCGCTCATATATAGCTGATATGCTATTTAGATTGCCCTGAAAATTTCAGCAACAGCTGTTATTTACTTCTGGAGATATAGCATGTTGAAGAAAAGCCGGATTTTGTCAGTTTTTGCATAATTTTGTTGCAGTTTTTCTGCATCCAATATCTCAATAGCAAAGCGTCCGTTTTTACTGAAAATTTCAGGGCAATTTAAGGATCATATAAACTGATTATGGGGGAACTCAAATTGAAATTCCTTTCTTTCAGGTTTTTACAAGGTTCAATATTTCGACTAAAGGTCGTTGTGTAACTCGAGAAGAAGAAGGAGGCAATCCGTTTTGGCTATAGTATGAGCATATTGAGGGTCCATCAGCTCCATTTTTATGATTTTCTTCCTAATGTCTCAAGAAAAACCCCTTCGGCTTTTAAGGGTTAAGCGAGCCGGAACACTCAAAGAATAATAAAGATACTAAGAAGGTTTCTGATAGTTCTTTTCTGCTAATTGGTTTGATTTTTATCTACAATAAAGAAGATATGCTCAATGTATCTTATTAATCATCAATATAGTCATACAGATGAAACATTATCATCACCTTCACCCTCAACAAATGAAAATTTAATTGAATTAAAATTATCTAAAAAATGAAAATTTATTTTTAATAAAGATACGAAACAGTCAAATGAAGATGACGATGTAGCATGTAAATCTCTTATTGCAAGATCATCAATAAACGAAACATGTCGATCATTGATTGTCAATTAAAAATAAAATAAAAGTTTTCTCTCTTTGTGTCTTTTTCTCATTAGTCATTGTATTTTACTATTAGCCAGAGATTTTTTTCTAAAACAGTCACCTTTAAGCTTTCCATTTTTTATTTTCTCTGCTTTTTTTCATCTGTAGTGTACTTCATCTATGACAAAAAAAGCAGAACAGATTTTGTGAGTGTTATTCATGCTGATGTGTATTTGCATTTTTTGTTCTTCGTTTTTGCTTTTTGATGAAGTATGTTCAGATTTCGAACAAAAGCCAATTTCTGAAATATCCATGATTTCCAAAAACACATATACTCAAAGAAAAGTATTTTCGGATATTTTAAAAGGTACGGAAATTTCAGGAATTACCCAACCTTTCGAACTGAAGAGGATTTTGGAAGTATCACTTCCGAAATTTTCGAAATTTTCTTTGTTGTAAATGTGAACACTGCTATGAATAATCGAGAAAAGAGAAACATATTATAAGCGTCCACAGCTGTAATAAATTAGGCATAGTCAAAAAAAACGGCAAGAAAAGAGAAACATTTCTCTATGAGCAAATTCGACTATGTATTAATATTATATTTTTCCGTTCAACAAGGTCAACCGTTTTATTCTTCAATGAGGAGAATATTTATAAGCAAAGAATCAATATATATCGTCTTGAGAAAAGCGTTACAATTTCAGTCAAAGATGGCTCTACATGATGTTCATCTTCTTGATTTACCTAATGAAATATTGTTTCACATTTTGAAAAAACTTGATAATATGGATGTTCTTTATTCTTTATTGGGCATCAATAATCAACGATTAGACAATGTAGCACAAGAGAAAACCTTCACTACTATTTAAAATTTTGTTTCGATGTCATCAAACGATGATATTTGCTCAATTTCTGGTCAAATACTTAATAGATTCTACTGCGATATATTACCAAGAATTCATTATAATGTAAAATATCTCATTTTGGAATCAAATTCTATGGAACATATTCTTCTCGCTGGCAACTATCCTAATCTTACTAGCTTTAAACTTTTCAATTTCAATAAAGAAATATTGTCACGATATTTTCTAGGTAAGAGATTCATGTTCAGTAATCTGTTCAAAGATTATACGATATCTATGATTTTGCTTAGACGATTCTCTCTTTCGACATATTTGTAAACAACAAATTACAGATCTTACTCTTATCAGCAATGAAAACAATAGTGAAATAACATTAACAGACTATACGATGAATGTTTATCTAATTATCTTGTCTTTCTTTAAAAATCTCAAACATCTGTCTATTTTATCATCATCCATTGACGGCTATCCACCTTTGTCACTACATAATTTGCCATCAACAATTTTTTCCTCTTCGACACTTACTAAGTTATGCATTAATGTGAATGATTTTGGTGATTGTCTTGCTTTACTTGATGGTCGTCTAAAACAATTAACTACATTCATCGTTCAAACAAAATATATCGAAAATGTATCATTGCAGTCGTACGACATGGTGAGTTTATCCTAGATGGTGCTATGGTTTTCCACACATTAGTGTCTAGTATCGATAAAAAAATAAAGTTAATTTGGAATTCAATAAATAATCAGATTTATGCATTAGCAAATAGAATAATTTTATTTTAATTATTAGAAATTTATTAAAAATAGATTGTTGTAGTTGGATTCAAGATAAGTTCATAATTAATTATCAGTTATTTTAAACAAATTAGTCAATTAGTTTCAAATCATCCCGTTGAAAAATAAGCATTCACTTATAAAATAAGATGAAAGAAAACATTTTTGTCGTTTATCTTTTATATTAATTTGAACTTATTTTAAAATATTTGAAGAAAAATGAAATGATGGATTTTAATGAGAAATCAAATATATTTATGTAAAGCTGTTTTCCAAAGAACTACTTCAATAGAACACGTTTTTTTTCTTGTTTTAACACACATCAACACATGCTAGTTGAATGAGTGTGCTTAGTCATTAGAGTTTTATTAGCTTTCAGCATAAATATTTAGTGTAACGGATATATAGAAAATGTTATCTAAGGTTTTTGAAACATGTTGAGAAAATTGATTTTTATATGATATTTTATGGATTTTTGAACTATTCATCAGTCTTTATGCATTAGAACTTTAGAAACACAAAGTAATTGTCTTAAATTTGACCAGTAGAGGACACATACTTCATAGAATTCAAGAAACATTTAAGCTCCCTTCCCTGTCAAAATAGAATCTCTAAGCCAGAACGTCCTATTAGGCTGAAACTTTGTACATATGTTGGGGCTGAATATATACATACACAAACAAATTTTCAGTCTTATATCTCTTTCTTAACATACGTTAGATTCATTTTAGTAGCCATTTTGGTTTTCTCCGGATCTCCAACGTCGTTAAACTACCTCAAGACAGCTGATTTTATTTTTGTTTTGTTTTAAGAGGACACCATAATCTAGCGACTATCGTCGTCCTTGTTTCGATTTTCTACTTTTGTTGTCCATCTGTCAGATCAAGATCTTTAGAAAACTTGCAAAACCCTAGGAAATAGCAAAGTTTTGAGAGAAGTAGTAACAGATATTCTTTGCTTCAGTCTTTTTTTAAAAAAAGGGCCACGACAGCCGCTAGCGATGAGTTTACTTTTTCACAAGAAAAAAAAAGTTTTTTCGCTTAACTCGTGTAATAACAGAATAGCGTTGGAGATTCGGAAATTTTTGACCTTTGAAAAGACATAATTAGTAAAAATTGTCATATATCGGAGCTCTAAAGAGGAATCCAGCTAAAGTGTTGGATGGCGTGAGGGAAGTCATGACCTAGATACCCACAAAGTTTCAGCTCACTTATATGTTAAATATAAGAAATTACATTATACACCATTATACATAAACCAAAATTGCTGATCTCGGCTCTTTTTATTTTTGATGGAGAGCGGACGTGTGTGTGTGTTTAAGAACAGATTTAAAAAATAAGTGATATCTATGAATTAATTTCCCGTATTGAATTTCTACCTTAGTTAAATCGATTAAGATGTATTTATAGATATTTTTTTCTATTTTCTAGGATGATCTACCTGATTTGAAATCTTTCTCATTAATATGTTATAGTAAAATTTCTGAATATGACAATCTAGTTGTACGACTTCTTCACCATATGTCACATCTCGAAGAATTAACTCTATATCTTTGTATCAAGCATCGACCTAGATTCGTCGATGGCACTCATATTCATAATGAAATTCTTAGTCATATGACACGACTTCATACATTTACTTTTTATATTAGTACTGAAAATTATGTCAACGATTCAACTCTTCGCCTGTCTAAAAACGATATCCAAGAAACTTTTAAAAATAGAGAAAATCAACAAGTCGATTGTACTGTAGACTATGTTGACGATGTCTTTGTCTTATGCAAGGTGTTCTCACTTCCATTTAGATTTGATCGTTTCGAATGGATTACGAATAATTTTTCGCCGATGATATTCAATTCTGTAACTTATTTGACGTTGTTTGATAGAGTTTCATTCAAACATGAATTCTTCGTTCGGGTTGCTCGAGCTTTTCCATTACTTAAATATTTATCTGTTCACAATGTCAAACCACCATTTTGGAGATTCCCGAAGCCTCATCCTGTCGACAACTATTCACCAATTGCAGAATATCTTCATCTTATTTCACTACACTTTGGTTTTGTCAGTAATTGTTATGTTGATCAATTTCTCAATGAAACAAAAACAAGTTTGCCTCGTCTAATCAAATTAAAAGCCAATTATAGACAATTGGAAAGTGTGACAGAGAATTTTACAAGAAATGAAACGCAACGCAATTGTGCTATGGTGAAACGATTACTTATCCCAGGCTTAATAGTTTTCCCAGAAGATGTTTATCGCTATTTTCCTTCATTGTAAATTCAATTTTGTTCTGATATTATTTGAATAGAAATCCATCTCATTTTCCTTTTTATAAACGTAGATAGAATGTCAAAAATAAATTTTTCATGATTGAGAATTGTGTTATGTTACAGTTTTTCACTAAAAATATATTTGTATCATTGTATTGATTTATACTCGTATGTAAATTTCCATGGTTCAATGAGATTTGTAATGGTATAGTCTGAAGCATAATGAATTTGTTCTGTTCTGTTAATGTCGGTAAATAATCAGTGCCAGGAATGGTCGGATTTTTTATAACGATATCTAGCTTTCAGATGAGCAAACATAAGTTACTGCGATTAGAATTTACTGATCTACTTACAGTGACGTCGACTGAATGAATTGATCAAAGAGAATCATTAGCTTTTTACGATTTTCTACCGAAAGAGAGAAAACAATCAAATAGTGTTCATAAGATTTATGCTCGACATCAGTAACTTTGTTGGCAATATTTTTGACGACAATTAAATGTGCCAATTATAAAACAGATGAACACATTATAATAAGAAATATATCAAATGAATTCGTTACTCAACTAGAGTATATCTTGCGTTGATTGGCTTATAAACTATAAAAGTCTTTGCTTATAGAATCCAACCTGTACTGGCTCGTACCTTTTTTAAATTGCGTCAATCTTGCCTTGACCACATACCTCTTTGAACATAAACGCAATCTTTTTTTTTCATATAAATTATTCACCAGCCGTGCATTTTATGAAAAGAAACACATTTTTCGTGAATATTTCGCTAATCTTCTGCAAAAATATATTGTATTAATTTTACATATAAATGAGGAATATTTGTTAGGTTACTTTCAATTTATCTTATATCTTGCTAAATATTGATCCTAAAATGTGTAGTAAAATCCATTTGTAAAATTTAGCAAAATGTAAATATTTCTTTACTCTTCCACTTGCCAATGTTAATATATTTTGTTTTATTAGAACAATCTGCTTGATCTCTTAGTAAAGCTGTAATTAAGAATTGCTTTATACTTTATTGTTAATTCTCTCTTTTCATTAATTATTTTCTTTACTCTTTATAGTAATCTCCACCGAATTTAAGTTTTCATTTCTCTTCCAATCGATAACCACTCCAAAATCATGACCGAAATTGCTTCAATGTTCAAATAAAACAAACATCTGATATATATATATATAGGACAGCAGTATTTTTGAAAAACAAAAAACTGAAATTTACATGGCGTTCAGGATGAAAAATGACCGAAAGATCTTAACAATGAAAACATGAAGATGGTAATGAAAAGAGGCAGGATGTTCGTAACTATGTTGGGGAATGGGTTTGGGCTTTAATTAAGGTTCGCGCACACGCCACACCCTACGATCACCAGGTAAAATGAGTTTACGGACATCCGGTCATTTTCGTCCCGATTTCCTGACAGTATTTTACATATTGTCGACCATTTCATTCCGATTTCCCTGTATTTTTTTTAATTATGATATCCTGAGCAACACGTGTTACGTACTCCCAGTAAATGTTTTTAAAGGCAAAGATCAATTCCGAACACCTCAACGGGTTACCAGGTGTCCGAGACACTAGTACGAAATGTCTTCGTCCCGCTTCGTTTACAGTTTATAATCTTGAATAATACTATAAAAGCTTGTTAGCGCAGCCCCTTTGGGGCTAAAATGTGGAACTCACATATACCCCTTAGATTTCGTATGCCAATACAAAATAGCTCAATTCAAAAATCTATTTTATTCTTTAAAATTTATAGNTAATTAATGTCTGTAATGGGGAGGGGGGGGGTGGGGAGCCGCAAAAATCTCGCTTTTAAACTTACACTCACCATTTTCTTCGAAAATATATGTGAGTTTCACAAAAGTAATATTTGAGAAATGAAACGAAACAGAAAAGAGAAACATGAGAATAGAGATGTTCAATCATGACGATAATCGGCATATTATTGGGGGAAAACAGAAAATTATGTTAGTCAATATCTATATATTCGAATATTCACATTACATTGGTTTTCTTGCATATTTCAAAGATAAAATTCATAGAATAAGAACCAAATTTGACTTATTTGATCGACGATTAACTGATCTATTTAATACTATTCAATAATTCGATTGTTGTTGACTCAAGGTGAAAGATCTCGAGAGAATATTGCAGATAAAATTAATGTTTTTTTCAAATAAAAGCTGATAACATCAAATAAAATTGTCAGCCTAATTTACACGGCCATTAAGTGATAACTTAGCTTACAAGACATATTCATATAGTAATAAGACATGTTATTATTATTTTCTTTAGTTATTCTCGATTCGTCTTAGAAGCAATATCATGCCTAACAACTTTCCTATTTTTTCTAACAAGAGACTAACTGTCATGATGTAGCATGAGGCATTTACAATAGTAATGATGGAAATTTATTTTGCTGTATCTGAAAGTGCATAGGTCAAGGATAATCTTGAGATCTGTTCTTTGAAATCCGATCGATATGCAACTGTTTATTTACATTGGCTGTACACAAGGCACAATCAACTATGACTTCATATTTTTCTATTGCTGTTCTTGGCTATTCTGCATATGATATCGTTCGATTGAACAAAAATCACGTGGATACTAGTTATGTTTTTTAGCATTATAGTTCTATGATTTCATTCAGATATTCCAGCAGTGTTCAGACTTCCAAAAAAGGAAATTTTGGAAGTTTTGGAAATTTCAAGTACTTGTGTTCTAAATTGTTTGGTACTTCCCAAAATTATACAATTTCCGAAATTTCTGAAATTTCCAAAATTCTGTACAAAGCGAAATTTCTAAACTTTCAAATATTTTCAAAAAATTTTCATCTGCTTTGCTATGTAGTAATCGAGTTGATGGAAGCTTCGGAAATTTCTGTAATTTCCTTTTTCGGAAATCTGAACATACCTCAGATATTCATACTTAAACATGTTTAGTGCATCGATCCTAGAGAGAAACTTGTTGAATCGAGTTTTTGTAAAGAAAGAAAATATGAAGTAAAATTCCAATATGGCATTCTATGGGGTATGTGGAAACATTCGAATGTTACATCATATCTCTAATGATGAAAATAGATGTTGTGAAAAGATAAGTGTAGGCGAATTAGTTTAATCAAGTGATATTTCAACTGTTAGATCAATGTCTTCAAAACCTATCTCATTGAACAGATTTCTCCGACGTTCATTGTGATGAATGTGAAATTGTTTGATCAAGAAATTGAATATGTGATAGATAAATATGATATCGATTTTTTCATTTCCCAAACGAAAAAATACACATGCCATCAGAGTATGACTGTGGGCGACGAACCTTTCATATGTCATTACAAATAGCTTTCTTGTCGCTGCTAAGAAGATTTAATATTTTTATTTTAGATCGCATCGAAAATATTCTCTAAATCAGATATAATTAAATCAGTTTTTTCACGGTTTTTTGTTCCATAAAAAGATTTGTAAATTTATTCCTATAATACTTGAAGATGATGCATACTTTGATTCTTATATACGTAATAATATATACATATTATTTATTTATTTTTACAATAAAACGAGAAAATATTATAAGTGATCTATTCATTCATATATTTGTACCATGACTTATTGGATTATTATCAAATAGATATGTTTCTCTTTCTCATTCCTTATTGATGCGTTTACTTTTGATCTACATCATCAAAACATTTACCGATATGATGTCATGAGTCTTGGCTATTGATAAATAGACGATTTATACATGGAACATGCATTTATATATATTATATATGAACGAAAAGAAAAGTATTAAACCTTCTTATTTAAGAAGAACAACTTAATAATGAAACGTATAAAAGTTAGTATAATGACATTGGTGATTGGCATAATTATTTATTTATTCATTGAACATATCAATCGTCGAGCATATCAATTACTCAATGAAATTGAACGGAGGAGCAAACATTCAATCAAAGATATTGAACAGCGAACACATCAATTAATAAATATTACATTATTTGAATTGAATAATCAAATTATAGAACACACGAATTCACTAGTTGAAAAAGGTCGGAAACATATTCCTTTACAAAATCCATATGGTGCTACAACTTGTACACAATGGTTTGGATGTCATAGAGGTTATTGTTGGGCTGGATGTGCCGGTGCTTTTCCATCCGTAACGGGACCTGAATGGTGTTATACAGAAGCATTAAATGAAAAAATGACTTGTTCACAAGATAAACACTGTGATGGTTGTTGGCGGTGTTCAAGTCCATGTAGTATTTGATTAAGAAACATCATTTTTTACATACTTACTCAAAAATATATGTAAATAAAACAAATTTTTACGACAGATTTGTCTGAAAATATCATGATTTCGAATCTTTTTCACAGTAGCTTTCTTTCTTCCTTCTTTTCAATTGCATATTATTGAAAAAACGAACGAATTTGTTTTTTCTTCTTCACCAACATTATTTACTGAATTGATTCATGCAAAAAAGGCAAATATCTAAATTTATTTGAAAAAAAAAAAGATATGACTCTTTTTATTTCATCTTAAAGGTGAATGAAAATACTATTACAAACTAGACGTACAAGGAAAGAAACAAAAAATTCTACTAAACTAAGGGTTGTTTTAAAAAAAAAGTAAATTAAGATAAGACTAATTATTCATGTCCGTGAGCGCTTGAAAAAATTTTCAAGCTTAGTTTCCGTGATCTTTTTTGGCAATGTATCTAACAAGATCAACAACACGGTTGGAATAACCATATTCATTATCATACCTTAACATAGAAGAAGTTCATTTAATGGAGAAAAATATAACATAAATAAAGGCCTACCATGAAACAAGTTTAACAAAATTGTCATTGAGCGAAATGCCAGCTTTAGCATCAAAAATTGATGAGTGTGTATCGCCAATAAAATCAGACGAAACAACTTCATCATCAGTATAACCTAAAATACCTTTTAATGGGCCATTAGCAGCTTCTTTAATTGTTGCACAGATATCTTCATATTTAGCCTAAAAAATTAATTTAATTCAAAACTAAAACCTAAAACCTAAAAATGTCCCTTACGCCTTTGCTTAAACGAGCAGTGAGATCAACAACAGAGACATTAGGTGTTGGAACACGAAAAGCCATACCCGTCAGTTTTCCATTCAAATCAGGAATTACTTTTCCAACCTATTTAAAGAAAAACAAAAAACAAGTCAAATTTCTAATATTTCACGCAAATAATTAATAAACATACGGCTTTAGCAGCACCAGTTGATGATGGAATGATATTTTGTGCAGCTCCACGGCCACCACGCCAATCCTGTCAAAATAAAATACAAATAACGATAAATTCTTTCTAATTTAATATAGTACTTTGTTTGATGGACCATCAACTGTTTTTTGTGTTGCCGTATAGGAATGTACGGTGGTCATTAAAGCTTCAACGATACCATATTTTTCATGAATAACCTTAGCAAGCGGTGCCAAGCAATTTGTTGTGCATGATGCATTTGAAAGAACTGTTTCTTTTCCAGTATATTTGTCTTCATTGACTCCCATAACAAACATCGGTGCATCTGCTGATGGTGCTGTAATTATAACTTTTTTAGCGCCGGCTTGTAAATGTGATTGACATTTGTCTATTGTTGTGAATACACCAGTTGACTCAATGATATATTCAGCACCTTTAGAAAAAAAAAGAAAGAAAAACAGTCAACCAATAAATCACCCTTTAAGGTCACATAAAAAGCGTACCGAGTTGACCCCATGGAATGTGAGACGGTTCTTTTCTAAAAATAAAGCAAACATAAAACACTGAAATTTGTTTATTTCAAGTATTTACTCAGTAAAAACACTTATTTCTTTTCCGTTAACAATAAGTTTTCCATCTTTGGCTGAAACTTCACCTTTGAACCGTCCATGAGTTGAATCATATTTGAACATGTAAACCATGTATTCAGCCGGAATAAATGGATCTGTAAGGTTATATCTTAATAGATACATCATTTACAACAAAAGAATCTAAATACTAACCATTGATACCGACTACTTGAACACCTTGTTCAAGTGCACATCGAAACACCAGTCGACCAATACGACCGAATCCATTTATACCGATTTTAGCATCAGACGAGGACATATTTTTCAGTAAGAAAGTAACGAGTTTGTCTTGTTTTGTGAGAGAAGAACAAAAAAAAAATAAGAGTGAAAAATACGAGTAGAGAAATAAACTTATAAAGACTGGCGGCCGACAATTATTTTCTGTTCATTGGAAACGAGACAGAATTTCGAAATGTATAGAGCGACCTCTCTGGAACTATTACTATACTTTTATATATACATCTATTTTGACTACATTAGATTTCTATGAATTATTTTATTAAAATTCTATATAAAAAGATGAAATTTAACCCCATTTCATGTATCCATGCTCATAATGGTTATTGGTTTGAACCATTGATTGACGCTAATTTATTCATCATCAAGCAGATGAACTCAAAATGAACTATTTTTTCATCAAAAAATGATAAATGTTCGCAGAATATCACTTTTTCATCGTTTAATATCTGTCAGAGTTAACGCTAATCGTTTTCGATCAGCACGGCGTTCGTCGCAATCATTATTAATTGATGAAAAGCATATTGTGACCGAAACAAAACCTGCTTCACTAGAGAATCTATCACCTGTAGTTCGTCAAATTCTCTCTAACGATCCATCATACGCCCTTCGTTTTGGTGGTCAATTATCGGAAAATAAAAAGTATCTTGTTCGAAAACATTCACGAACAACAGGCCGAGCAGAAACGCTCTTTTCACAAATACCTAAAGATCATATTATTTTCTCAGCAAATGAAGAAGAGAATGACGTATCACATTCCCCTATTGTTGCGTTTCCATCTGAAGAAAACCAATTTGAAATGGATTTGGGAACAGAAGATAAAACAATACCTATTCATGAAACAGCTCGTTGTTTTGGTTGTGGAGCATCACTTCAATGTGCTGATAGAACTAAACCGTAAGAAGTATTATTTTTGCTAATTATATTATTAACTTGTAAAATATATTCAAGAGGTTTTATGCCAACTGAAATCTATAAGCATTTCCTTTCAACAAGTTTACAAAAGCGAACAAGTCAATGTCAACGATGTTTTCTGTTTAAATACACAAATGATATATCCCATTGTGAAGTTAATGAACAAGTTTACCAAGATATTTTAACAGAAATAAAACGAAAACGCGCTTTAATTATTTTAATTGTGGATCTTCTTGATATACCAAATTCAATTAGTCGATTATGGGCAAATCTTGTTGATCAAACGGCAGAAACTCATAAAAAATCATCCAACATTATATTTGTTCTGGGCAATAAAGTCGATTTACTACCAAAAGGTATGTTTGTTTTTACTGAGAGCTATTTTTTAGCTACAAAAAGCAACTGCAAAACCGTTTTTCTCATCGCCAAGACAAAGCGAAGGACCAATAATTTATTTTTCGTTTAATCTTATATGTTTGAATTTTGAGACGAGCAGTTCAAGTAAAAGCTATCTAAAACCAAAAAGAGTTAATCTATCGCATTTTCAGATATTAAAAATTAAAGATACAATTTTCATTCTTACTCCAAAATGTTTCTCTGGGACAGTATTTTTATGACAACAATTATTTCTTGATCTCCTACGAAACAAAAATTATCTAACTTGATCGATGCAATACACAGTGTGTCCCAAAGTTATCTTCGTAATTTTTTTTCGTTTATCTCTCCTACTTTATTAAGTTTATCAAACCGTTTTGTTTTCAAACGACACACAAATAAATTCAGTTTGCATTTTTACGAATAGACCTTATAAGTATCTGTTAAGGTCAAGATTTTTAACAGAAATATAAAAATTAAGTCTATGTTCGAACTCCAGACGAAAAATCACGCAACATCTGCTTTTTAAACTACTTCAAGCTATTCACCAATCATAATCTTTAAAATCTACAATTATTGAACAATATTTTGATATAATTTTAATTTTGCCAGCATTTAGAAAAATAAACTCGAATATCATCAATATAAAATTCAAATAGTCAAATCAGAGATCATCCATGAGTGTTTCTGAAACTAGATAACGTGCTAATTTGTTATATCTGTACTGAAAATTCTACATTTGAGTGGTAATTACGATGTGTATACGTCTATCATCGGACACACGTGTTGATCATCTTAAATAATATGGTAGTAATAAATGAAAAACCTTTTAGCAAGAGATTTCTAGGATAGCCTATATACTTAAATAATGACATTTATTATCTATTATTATTAGGTTATTGTTTTCCTCTATCCATTACAACCGTTTATACAGATCTTTGGTCTAATGAAACTATATTTTCATTGACGAAATTTCAATAATTCTGACAAAGTTAGATTAAATGAGTTTGTTTTTATTGTAGTTCTATTTTTCATTACTCTCTTCTTTCTTGGTTGATCAATTTATAAATAGTTCGCATTAATTGAGAAAATAGAAATTTGCAGAAATTATTCTATGGATGCATTCAAATGAATAATCATTCTTTTTTTTAGATAGCGAATCCTATCTGACGACTGTTCGTCATTGTCTTGAACATGAGTGTACAAAACGTGGTTTAGGAAGACATATTGTTAAATACTATGGCTTAACCAGTGCTAGAACTGGATATGGCATCGAAGAACTAATTTCTAAAGTATTTCGATATTGGTCACAACATGGTTCGTCTTTTTTATTTTTCATGTCTGCTATTTACTTTCCGATGAAAATTAGGTGGTGTTTATCTACTTGGTGGTACAAATGCCGGAAAGAGTAGTTTATTTAATAGTCTTATTGATTCCGATCTTTGCCATATCCATGCACTTGATTGCATTCAACCTGCAACTGTATCAAATCTTCCAGGTAAAATATTTATGCGTCACGTGTTTGATGTTTATTGTATTATTATTATTATTCAGGTACAACAATGAATGTTGTTCGTTTTCCAATTCAATTACGAACAGGAAAAAATCAATTCATGCGCGAAGAACGTTTAAAAGAGCGAGAAGAAGAAATTGAACCTAAGTCAGATAACGATTATAATTCTATTGAAAATGAAACAACTGTTGATCGTATGTTCCATTATTCTTTTTTTTCCAATGAATTAGATATCAACTATATAAATTGTAGAAAATGTGGAATCAACAGTAAAATGGCGACGTCGATTTGAATCAGAGATGAATTTACCAAAAAGTGGTGTGTCATACACATATTCATCCGGTGAAAATTCATTTAGTGAGGATCGCTCATTTGACTCCAACGAACAGAATTATATCAATTATCGACAAAAGAAAATACGAGCTTTTAATCCGGATTCGTATAAAAATGAAAAATGGCTCTATGATACACCAGGTGTTATTTTATCTGAACAAGTAAAAGGAATTCTTTTATCAAATTCTAATGTTTTTCTTTTTTTCTTCGTTCTAGATGATTAATAAATGTAGTAATCGAACAGAACTTGCATTTTTTGATCATCAACCAGCGGTTATTCGTCCAGTGAATATTTTGCTAAACGTTGGACAAACAATATTGATTGGTGGTATTGTCAGAATTGATGTTAAACATGTAGATTATTGATCGTTCCCTTTTTTACATATTGATTCCTTTTTTCTCCTGTAGATTACAGATAATGGTCAAGCTACTATTTCTTTGATGACAACATGTCGTTTGCCAATAAATGTGATACAAACAAAAGATTTTGAAAAATTCTATGAAAATACTCTTGAAAAGAATCAGCTTGGAGTTAGTAGACATCATCTATTTTACTTTAGAACATAAAAGAATGATTCTTTTAGGTACCACAAAATCAAATAAATGGTCGTCTTCAAGATCCACCTCGACTTATAGGACCAACTATAGAACTTCTTGGCATGGGAGAGCAAGAAGCCGCTGGAGATATTGTTTTATCTTCTGCAGGTATGTGTTTTACCTTTTATCTGGGATCGATCGGCGACATAAGGATAGAGGTGTCTGCCGTACGGCTGAGCCGCCGCAGCGAGGTGAAAGCGTGACTTCCGTACTTCACGTGCGTCCATGTACTTCACTCGTACTCCCTTGTACTTCACTTTTACTCCCTTGTACTCCCATCGTACTTTGCAGTACGGAAGTCGCGCTTTCCCCCCTTGCGCCGCAACCACCAAATTACTGGTAATCTTTGGGGAGCCGCCGCTGCAAGAGATAAAAATTTCTGATAGCGTCATCAGCCGCCGCTGACATCAATACATATCGAATCGAATCGAACATTTTTCTTTTAATTTTGATCAGTGACTTTTTAACTCAGCCGCCGCCGTCACTTAAGGACTTGCAAGTATCAGCCGGAGCCGCCACTGTGGAAAAAATTTTAAGAATTTGTAGCAGCTGCCGCTGAAGACATTACTCATTCAAATAACGAGCCGCTGGAAATCTTCAAAAATTGAAAATTGTTGCCCGCCGCCGCCGTTCAACTCTTCGGCTGACACCTCTACATAAGGATATACGTATTTAAGGTTAACTCTTTATATTCGTTTTTCTTCACAAAACGTATCATTCGAGATTCTTCGATTACAAAAATAGTCCATAATCATCATTTGATTGATTTTCTTTACAGAAAGGATAAGAAGCAGTGATGAAGAAGATGAAAAACTTCTGTGCCTATTCAAATTTTACTGATTATCATTGAAAGTTTATGGAAATTTTTATTTGAATTTAGGTTGGGCTAGTGTTCAATGTAGTCGCGATAAATATGTGATATTTGATGTGATGACACCAGATGGCCTTGGTATTCATCTGAGACAACCCGCACTCCTGAAATATTTAATTCATTTACGAGGTTCACGAGTAGGAAAAACACCATTCTTCAATAAACATGTTTTTAAAGAAGATCAACAGAAAAGTAAAGATCAAAGTCAATATCAATCGAATGAACTTGAAATGATTATCAATGAAAAAATATGGAAAGGAGATATAAACAACCGTCGACGAAATGCTGAGCATAAAAGATAATCATTGTTATTATTGCTATTATTTTTTCGAATAAATGATAATTAAAGAACATATCTAACTATAATTTCAGAAATTTTAAACTGAATTATCATCCTTTTCATATTTGTACGTGTTATTATTTCTAATAAGAGATTATTTCATTTACAGGTTCATAGAAGAGCTACTTTAATTTCAGCTAAAGTTTCTTCGTCTGATAAATATCTCTAGTTTAATTAAGAATCACAATTAATAGATAAATGAAGTAACCTTATAGAAAAAGTTTTGTCTAATTGTATTTTCGAGTTTTAGTGTGATTGTTATACTGCAAGAGTTCACATAGTTGAAAGAAAAAAATACTGATGATATTGTTCTTCATCGTACAATCGGTACAACATTGTCATAGGTTAGTGAGATGATAAGTCAAAACAAATCAACTAAAGATTGCAAACTTCAATTTTGAAGAAAGTAAAGTTCGGAAATATTAAATTCTATTTTACACAAATTAAAAAAATTCAATATTGTATTACTACTAATAAACGAGATATGCTTCTTCATGTTAAGATATTTCTTATCGAAATTCATAGTTTTCCATTTCTCCGTAGCAATTTCATTCTTTATTGATTTAATTTCAATTGAAATCAGACTAGTTTTTATTTCACGATTAAATTAAAGTAATCATAATTTTATATATGGTTAAATTAGATGTACAGCTAATACAAATGTAGTACGATGATTTCAACTGACTCTGATAGAGACTTCGTATTATATACGACAATATGAATCTAAACACTATTTTGAGTTTCAACTATAATATCACTATATTTATTCGGATAAACAAGTATTCTTAGATCAAAATAAAGTTATTAGCTAATCCAAACATTCATTGAAGATGGCTGCACAAAAATAGTTCTTGTTAGAATGAGTTGAATATTCCACAAATCTTTTTCTATTTTACTTTCTTCCATCAACTAGCGATGGAGAGTTTTAAATATTCAATCTTATTTTGTCTACTGTTTCTAACAATATTGGTATTGTCTCGTTTGAGACTTTTTAAACCTCATTTCTTGATGCCATCGAGCTAAATTTGATTAGAAAGAAGAATTCTAAGCTCACATCCAACTCAATATCTAAGTACGTATCGATAGCAGTCACCGAGATATCATGACTTAAATTTTATCTCTGTGCCGCAATAGTGCTCAAATTATTCATAGATATCTTGATTTGTGATTATTTCCATAAAATGTGAAATCTTTTGTTAACAATATTGTATTTAGATCTACTTATCCCAGTCAACTGTTTTGGTTAGGTATTAAACACCCAAAGACAGAAGAATTTTTCATGTTTGCCTTCAATATTCAGGTAGTCAACAAACATCACATGTTTTCTCGATTGATATCAAAATCAGTCAATTTGATAATCATCAGAGAATCACTGATAGATGAGCAAAAAATTAAAATAGTCGTCTGTGAACGTTCGAGAGTATTGATGGCATATCATTTTTTTAAATAGAATAATAAGTTTAACCGACTTTGCTTGCATTTATAATGACTAGCAACTAAGATGCTAATGAATTGATTCACTATTGAAATAATTGCTCCGAATAAAATTTCAGATCTAGAATAGATCTATTAGAATCTTTAATTTTTAATTTATTTGGTAAACTCGGAATTCACGGAAAACAGATTGTCTAAAATGAATTAATTCAAGTACAGTATTGTGTCAGAGATATTTTATCAAAGCTTCATGCAGTTCGATAAACTCAACGTGAACATGAATATATCAGAGAGTGTCAATTCTTGTTTCCACTACGAATAATGCAGAAGTCAAAAAGACTCCTAAGAATATTACGCATTCAATATTAAAGAAAAAAGTTAATTGAGGTGTTTATAATTTGAGCTGATCAACCTTTTCTTGTTTTCATACATGATGGAGAAGTTATCTTCAATGCCACTAAACAATATTTCCTGTCGACACATCAATATATATTGAACCAACTAATGTGATTAAAATAAAAACATGACTGTACTTATATATTAGCCACATAGTTATCTGTATCCTCATTTTTGTAGATGATTTCAAAGTACGAGCAGTAATCGATATTGTTTTTTATTATGATGTTTTACTCATTGATTCTTTCTCTTTCACCAAAACTACAGTCTACCATTCACAAGCGTCACTTGTTGCTTACTATTACATAGATAAATGCTTTGTTTTATTGAAGGACAATGGAATAATTATATCACTTTTGCATGTTATACAAGCTGTGTACGTTTTTATATTATCATGTATTGTGCATCGGTATATACTTAATCCTATCATATTTACTTCTTGAATACTCATTGACGGGATAAAAGAAAGTAGACAAATAAGTAACGCGTGAAACATTTATGTCTTTTCAGAAACAATAAAAATATTATGAATAAAATGATTTTAACAAAAAGGAACTTGAAAAGTTAATATAAGATAGGAACCTATCACTGATACACGTCGAGAAGACAATAACATCAAAACTAAGCGAGTAATGGAATTTTTGTCGTTATACTTTTGTTTATTATATAATATTTCATGAGTCAACTTGTTTATCAATATGACTCAGACTATTTGACTATTGTAATAATAGAACTCCGATATAAGCTTTCACAAAACTTTCTTTCAATAACTTCAACTTCACCAGAGTTGAAGTCAGAATCAGATTTCTGAGTTCAATCCGATACAGATGACTGACTACTCTGACTCCGACTTCGATGAAACATAGAATCGGGTTCCGGAGGCTGATAGAGCTCATTATAGCAAACAAGATATTCTATTCAAACAATCCGAATGCCGAATATACGACAAAATTTGTTTGATTGTGTCTAGGAAAAGTTTCTTTTCTTTCATTGTTTGTTTGGTGAAAGAAAGTTTCAAATTCTCTTCCTGTTACTTTTTTTCATTCAAACTTGAGAAAATTCATTTGCCTGTTAGAAAAAAGATATTCTTTTACTTCATTATTTTGCATAGGTAGGTAATTATTTTCATTGGATCTTTTTGTAAAAAAAACGTACTATGCTTGTTCTGATTAGGTACTTGATTGGTCTCGACTTTTTTTAATCCACAAATCAATAATTTCTCGATCTTAAGTTTTAAATGCGATAGATTACACCCGTTAAGTGGTCTCGAAAAATAAAAATAAAATTTTTTATCAAAACTATCTGATTTAGTTGGATAACAGCCGACGTTTGGTCTATTTTCAATCCTACAGAATATAAACTATATTTATATACGATGCCAGAAAGTTTCTTTTCGGTCAATCTACAATGGTGGATGCGCTTACTATTGTCACGATTTTAATTGAAATCGAAAGGAATCTAATTCATCTTAAATCAATGCAAGATGTAAAACAACTTGATTTTTTTCTTAGGAAATATGTTTCTTTTTTTGAATTCACATGAATGTGAAGCTTAACTCACACATCTGCATTCATATGCATTCATTCTCAATCATCTAGTTAAAACGTGTATCTCCGTGTCGTATGCGGAGAAATACGACCATATACTGTTTAAAACGGAGATCGTAAACGGCCGTTGTTTTTCTCTCCGTATATGATCGTATGTCTCTGTATGCGATACGGAGATATATGATAGTAATACTGAGTCATGTATTTCTCCGTATGCAGTCGTAAATGGCCATGCTTGTTCGACCTGAGCACTATATTTTTTATGAAATAATATAAAGATATACGGTTTAAACTATCGATCATTCGTACTTGACTGATTGCTGCTGATATTACTTTGAATTGCTTCACATTTATTTTTCAATATCAATTAACTTTCAAGTTAAATTTTAGATAAGAATATTATGATGTTACAATCAACGAGTGATTTAAAAAAGATATACCCGCACAGTAAAAATATCACGAAATCTCGTACAGATATGCTTTTGATGTTGCAACATGAGCAAACTAGAGGTCTGATGGTGAATAACATGCGCAATATTCATATAGAAAAGTTACGAATTCGCGTAAATAGGTTAGCTCTCATGCGAAACGAGGAGATCATGAGAGTTTATTCGAATATGAATCTAAGCAGAAACATATCAGCATCACCACGATGTCGATGTCACCCAGATATCTCAACCAAATCAGGCAATCGTCTAGAACTTCGCAACGACAACGAAGACCAATAACTGCAATTGGAAAGAAATCGTCGACACAACGTCGATCATTGATACGAGCACGATGGTCATCGTCAACATCGCCAGGGCCAGAATTAGTTAGAATGTCTCGATCGCAAGCATCGTCACCATCGCCGCCATTGCCTCAAAAATCGATAGCACAGCCAAGATCACTATCACCTATTACTTCTCTAAAAGTAAAGCATATTATTGTGGAATCTAGCAAAACTGTCATTGGCATGGTACCAGTTTCGCTTGAAACCAATCACGAGATAGATAACAGCGATTCCGGAAGCAAAAACGAAAAAAAAGATGATATTATCTATCCAGAAAATATTACTGATCTTTATCCATATACAATAGTTGCACGCTACCGAAAAGCTCTTGATGAAACGACAAATTTTCGTCTTAAACCAATTCTTGTAGGCAAAGACTGGCCGGAAACATTCATTCTCGGGATAGAAATTTTTGTTCAACAGCATAGTTGCCACTTGAATTTTATCGGCGAAAAGTAACAGTTTGACAAGAGCATCTACCGTGCAGATTGTGGGCTGGTTGATTTAGGTAGCATTCATCTGCTGACTACGGACTTAGTAGTAACAGCAAACTTTCAATTTGAAATCGATCTAGACTACGATAATGATATCACACAATCGAAAGAGAACAAAGCACAATTTGTACTTGACTTTTGCAAATCAGTATCGAAAGTATTGTCGTGCGCAAATCATAATGTACGTGTGTTTTCTATCGATAAAATGGCTAAAAACTTAAAAGCAAGTGATATAAACTTTGGTTTGATCACACCTGATCGACAGACAGCCGAACAGCTTGTGTTCATGATTTACAGGTATCGTTTCCACAGTAATTTTTTTGTTTCAGTGACTTTGATATCTCCCTTATAAGTAAGGATCCTAATGCAAAACTCAGAATTCATAGTATGATTATAGAAATGCTTTTCATTTTTAAGATTTGTAATAAATCAACGATGAGTTAAGCTTCCAAAATCTTAAAAAATCATGTTAAAATTTTAGGATAAATGTTTGCCTATAATGATCATAAATGAGATAGACAATGGGGTATATTCAAATCAACTAGAATTTCTATTGAGCACACTCGGAAAATAATACTAATGTTTTACAACAGTTTTCTAGTTAGATTAACAGTTATTAAATTTTACTGATAATTTTCACGGAAAAATTGACATCAAAGTTTATACTATTAGAATTTTACTTCGCGCTACTGTTAAGGTAATCTAAAGAGGCAAATAACGAGATGATTTTCTAAGTCAACCAGTAATATTACTATAATTGGATCATGATCATATCTTATTTTTTTGTGGTAATGGCTTTGGATTCTTATAAAAAACAATTCCTACAAAGTTTTATATTATTTGAAACATACTATATATATATATAACCAATATTAGTACTTTCTTTGAAGGTCCAAGCTCGTTCAGGCTTCTTGACCGATAAGATTCTTAAACATGTCAAACCCGAAGAATATGAATGTAGATGGAAACCCGTACTAACTCACTTACAAATAAATCCGGATGACTTAGATTCGCAATTTAATTTTGACTAGAGACACCAGGTTTACCCGACGTACTTAAGCGTGGAAGCTATCCATACTATCTTTCACTTGGTTGGTATCATCATGCATTTAAACTTCTTGATAAATATGAAGGTAGCAAAGCCTGGCTTGGTTGTGTTAACGCTGAGAGAGAATGGCCTGTAGCCTTTCATGGTACGCATTAACGGCAGTGCGGAGCATTGCTAAGCACGGTCTCTTATCCAGCACTACAAAAAAAGACGCAATGCTTGACGAAGCATTTGAACAAATTGGAGAAGAGACGAATCATGTTGGATTTTACATCGCTGCACATTGTGAAGGTGGGTCGTATCCTCAATATACTGTGCCATTTACTGTACCGCCGTTTCCAGATAAGAGTGAGCGGTTTAGTATTGTGTTTCAATGTCGTGTAAAACCTGGAAAATTTACAACTCATAAAAGTTCTGTCAGTGTTGGTGAAGCGTGGCGTATTGTTGATCCAAGTGCAATACGACCATACGGTATTTTACTTAAAAAAGAAGATTTAACTGAATAAAAGGAAGAAATCTCAAAATAGACATATTCAATCAACACTGGATCAGACTTGTCTAAGTTCATTTTTTCTGTGAAGGTTTTTTCCATGTTTTTAAGCTTTATTGTGACATTTTTCGATAAACGTTAAATTTATTATACTGCCCTTGTATGCTATCTCACTTAGATAATATATACGTATGCGTTTAAGACCAATACCTACTAGAATATTCGACTTGGACGAGAGAATCGATACTATTACATTGAATGAAAGTTGAAAACAGTTAAGGATTATCGAAAATGGAAATACACAGTGGCAATATTCATATCAGCTAAAGATTATTAAACGACTACAAGCTGATAGAAGACAAGGCGCAGACCTTCAAAAATGCTTGCAAAAGAAATGGAACTAATATGGATCATCAAAAATTCAGACTGATTTCATGTCACAACCGAATGTGAAATAGTATGCCATAGAGTGTTTATCTGCGAAGCATTTAAAAATGGAAAAGTTTCGAAAAGTTGAAAAAATTGAGAACTTCCAGAGAGTCTCAAACAGTATAAAAATCTAGTCAAATCTTAAAAATGAGCAGTTCTTCATAATCAGTTTAAGTATTATTTCAACATCTTGAAAATACTTGAACTAAAATAGTAAATTCAGGTATAGGGGCTTGTACTTCTTTTGAATTTGTAATTCGTCTTTTTCCGATTGACTTTTCGTGTATTTTATACCGATGCTAATATACTGACATGTTTACCTTTGCTTGTAATTTTACAGGAGCAAAAGACGCGAAAACTCTCGAGGACTGACTCTGGTATTTCCTAGAAGCATCCGTGAACTGTTAAGTAGACTCGAATCTGAAGACAATACTCGGAAATATTTTTTAGTGACATTAAATCACGATAAATTCTGTTGTCAGATTCAGCTTGTACGGCCGTATTGGGACATCTTGACCAGGTCGAAAACATAGGAGCATTGTTCATCGTCTATAGTCGAAAGTCAATCATTGGTAACGTATTCGGAAAACCTTTTCTGAACGGAAACTGTATCGACGTATCTTTTACGGTATCTAGCAATGGTGGTAAATACACTGGAAACGGAGATCGAAAATTGTTTTAGGAATTCTGCCTCGGAAATTCAATGGAAAATCACCGGACCAGACAGCTTTCCGCAGTACATATACGGATTTGGTCTATTTTTAATATTTAATTATTTTTTTTTACGCTTGCTATTCAGAACGATGCTCTGAAGCTGACATTGAGTATAAACGAAAGCCTGAATCCACTTCTGGTAGGACCAATCAAACTACTCGAAGACTTGCACCAATCAAAAGGAAAATACAAAATATCATTAGCACTCCACAAAATACCAAAATATATGCGCTAACACTTACTATGGGGATGTCATACCGTTGTGCCGTGTTTCTGATGACAGATGTACATTGTGCTTAAATGTTTTACATGTTCTAAAAATGATGCTAAAGCCATAGCTACAATATTGTGACTTTTGGTTTTGGTTTTTCTATGTGTTGTCTGTTTGTTTATTTAGTGAAGATCAGTTTTTTAGTTGATAGAAACTAAAATAAGAAAATACTTTTTTATTGTATCAAACTTCGAAATTATAGACCTTGTATATTTGGTCAATTAAAACAGCGTTTACTATAGAACTGTATGTTAAATTTCTATTAGAAACTGCCATAATATGCAATGTGATGTAGTGACACTGATGAAATCGATGTCTCTTACTTGTGAATGTCGATAAAAATGGTGCCACCTCTTCTATTATTAATCTGTATTATTTCTGTTGATGAATAATACGCTACTTGTTCTGTTGGATAATTACAATCCCTTTAAAGGACTTTAATGAATACATTCCGCTGTTTGAATCTATGTAATATTCAGTTGTCTATTGTATGGTGGAATGAGAAACTTCGGTCCTAAACAAAAGATTTTAGGCGATTCTTCTCAAATCATGCATACTCCACTTATAAATTACCTGATAAAGTACTGTGTGATAGTGATGGCGCATGTAAAAGTCGAACAAGTACAGTATACTTTAAAACGATACTTGGTGCGCTTAGGCCATTTTTTAAATTATTTTATTGATATGATCAATAAATAGAATTTACACTGTTCTATTGATTTAAAAAGGATAAATATTCAAAATCTCTGAAAAAGAGATGAGAACTACGCATTTAACACATACAAAGTGTGAATAATTATATCACTATTTTCTTTTTCTTCGTTTTTCTAGATAAATACGAAAAATGAGTGATTCATTTGCTGAACAATTATCTAATGTAAAATTAAAATCAAGTAAAAATAAAACAAAAGATTTCAGTGATCCAAAACTAGCAGGTGAATTTGAAGTTAATACTTACTTGATTAATATGATTAAAGTTGGTAATCTATAGTAAACAATAAATTTCTGAAACTTTTTCAAAGTTTTATCTTTCAACATTATTTTGAAATACTGTCTATGCTCTTAAAATAACAATTATTTATGAAAATTTGTTTCAAACATTTTTATTATGTAGAAATTTTGTATTTTAATGACACAGATCTTTAATGTAACTGTTCTACGTTATTATTCATATAGTAATAATCATAATAGTACTAAATTCATTCAGGTTTTATCACTAAAGATCAAATAAGTGCATATCAAAAAACTGCTTTGGAGGCTAATATGGAAGAATGGCAAATGTTACTTGCTGATGGTATGATAGAATAATAGAGAATTGTATACATTAGATTTTTATCATCAATAATTTTTAGAAACATTTCCAACTATTTATTGTCCAATAACATATTCGGATGCTAAACATTTCATACGAATATTCGAACGTTATTTTCAAAAGTTACATGAACATCAATTATTTGATCAAATAAGAGCACAAATGCATACTTGCTTTGATGACGATCAAGAAGAAAAACAATGGTATGAACAAATAAAAGAGCGTCTTCAAAAAACTATTGATCAAGCGTTTCCCGATACAAAGAATTTTTTTGCTAAAACATCATCACGAAGTGCAAAAGATACTTGCATATTTAAAGAAGATTTTCTTCAAATATACAGACGTGAATTATCTAAATTTCCAGATCCATTACAAGAAAATTCACGTATTACTGCACTTCTCACAGCTGCTTTTTTATCATTGTGTGTTACATCTGCTGCTGATGTTCTATCAATGTTTATCATTAGTGAACGTATCTATCAAGATATGTTATTAGCTACAGAAGCACAAAATACTGCTGACTCTTTATTCAAGGAAAATATAATTCTTCGTCCATTCATTCCCATTGATGTTGATATGGAATTTCGTGGTTTTGTTTTTCAACGACGTTTAACTTGCATATCACAATATAATTATTTAATTTATTCTCAACGTTTATGTGAATGGAAAGATAATATCCTTGAAAAAATTCTTTCTTTTTTTAATGATATTGTACGAATTAAATTGAATCAGTATAAATCAAATAGTTATGTCATCGATTTTGCATTGGCAAAAGGTGGTAAGTTAATGTGAGAAATAAAATTTAGTTTTTCTTTGGCTCTCGTTTTCGTATGCTTCTTAGATGATGAAAGTGTCAACTCAATGAAAGTTTGGGTCATTGAACTTAATCCATTCATGGAAACAACTGACGGAGCTTTATTCAGTTGGCAACACGAACGAGATGTGTTAGAAGGACAGGCAAATGAAAATAAAGATAAAACTCTTTTTCGTATAACTGAAAGAGTGCGTCCAGGTTCTTGGACCATGTTACCAATTTCAATTCGACAATGGATAAAAGATGAAAGTGGTTTATAACAAAAAATTTTTAAATATTTTCAATAAGTAATAAATCAAATTATTTTTTATAAATTGAAATTTCTTTATTTTTAAACTTTTTCAAACAAAACCGAAGAATTTGAATTTTTCATACACAAATAAACACGTGATTAATGCTCACAATTAAATTTAGATTGTCAGAATGATAGCAAAAAACAATAAATACAACGGTGAATTTAATCACGTATAATAAATATACATTAAAAAAAATCAATGTTATGAATTTTTAGCCGGAACGACTGTTCTATGTTGGTGTCTCATTTCAACTAATTCTTTTAATAAAACACGTTTTTCAGTTTCTAATTGTTTAATACGATTATCTTTTGCTTTCAATTGTTGTTGATATTGATTATTTATTCCATTTATTGATGATGAAGATAATGAACTCGATGAACGATCTGAGGACTTCTATCGAAAAATAAAACAAACAATCAACAATTTTTGTCATCAATAACTAAGAAAAGAAAAAAAATATATATTTTACTACCTTTGAATCATAATTAGCTTCGACAATAACTGTATTGGCTAATTTTAGTAGATCAGCTACTAGATCTCGATTGAACAGTGGTTCTGGTGCAATACCAGTTGTCTACAAAAACAAAAGGCATAAGCATAAAACGGAAATCATTTTATTGAATAGCACAAACTTCTGCTGCTGATAGATGAAGACAATATGAACGTTGTTTATCTTTCATTTCAAGAAGACGATCAGCTAGATAAGATTTAACACGTTCCAGTGTATCACATGTTTGAAGAAGAAGATCGCGTTCAATTTCAAATCGTTTCATCGCTCGAATCTAAATATTATCAATATATCAATACGAAAAACAAACAACCCTAATCAGTATTCATACCATAGAAAAGTCAATGTCATTCGTATGAATTGTATTTCTACGCGTCGACATTGATGGATTTTCACTATAAATATTTCTATTTTGTTTCGTTGCCTTTTGTACAAAAGTTTTTTTTCTATGACGTACAGGAATTGATGTGTTATCATGTGAATAATAATAATGATTATTTTCTGAACCATTATAACTTCTATAAATAACGGGAATTTGTTGTTCGACTTTTTTAGGCGTAGGAGTATTAACTACTACACTTGTTGAGCGATTCAATGGAAATGATATAGGTGGTGGTGGACGTGTTGCTTTTGGAATTATGATTGGTGGTGTTGATAATGATGATAACGATGAATCATATGTTGTTATTGGCGGGGACGAATGTTTGGTCGATGATAATGATCTTTCAATAACACTTAAAAGTAAATCAAATGTAATTAAATAATTATTTGGTTTTGATTCAATCTCTAGTTCATTTAAAATATCAGATGTTGATGATGAATTATCGAAAGAAAATGATGGTGTCCAATAACGTTTGAATAGATCAAATGGTACATAACCACTATTCGTTTTATCTAATATTGAAAACAATTGACGTAACGAAGATATAAATGTTCCAGGAAGTGAAGAAGATATTCCTGATTTCGAAGTATTATTATTTGTGGGTGGTGACACGGGTGGTGGAAGTGGTGCTCGACATTTCGCTGAAAAGGAACGTTGAGTAGCATGCATTTGCTGCTGCTGTTGTTGTTGTTGCCTATTCATTGTTTCGTGATCAATAGGTGAAACACATCTGCATTAAAAATATAATAAAAATTTATTTTACTAGTTATGAAATTATTTAGAAAAGAATATTATGAGACGAAGAGAAACGAGAAAAAATCGCATCCTTGAAAAGAACACAAAAATTACACCATGCCAATTCTGAAATAAGTAAGCATATTATTTGCGTTGGACTATTTGAATCGAAATTAGATGAATATTTTTAAATTTAAATTTTTAACTTAGAAGAATTCAGATTACTTTTTATTTATTCAAAAAATTTGTATTAACACATCCTATGTTGGTTTATGCATATAGTTTGAATGAATACACTTGAACAAAAATGACACATTAAATAAAAGATAGATACGATCTGACTACACATTCACTTTATATGTATTGACCATAAATAATGGTCACACACTTTTTATCATATCATCTAGATTTTTTTCTTACGTCGTATTAGCTGAAGTCGTACATCGTTGCAATTTGCCGATCATCTGGTCCAGTCGATCAAGATCAGGACGTACGATATGCGTTAGTGTCGACCCTTTCGACTGTTGCTGAAGCTGAGACTGAGATTGTTGTGGCATCTGCTCTTCGGGGGTCGCATGGATATTGAATTTCATATTTGTTTGAAAAATGGCCTGTTCCATGGCTTGCAAGGTTTTCGCTTATACAACAAGAAAGAGGGAGAGAAATAGAGACGCAAATAGTATGTATGTAGTGAGCTACATACACAATAGAAGAGAGAAAAAGTCCATTAATAATCGTTCTTCTCTTTCTTGTCGTTGTCGCCCTCCTGTTTACTATAGGAAACGAAAATGAAACGACATAAAATCTTTAAATTGATTCTGACACTGATGGCATAGAATAAACGACTGAACTTTATGAGACGTAACATACATATTCAACAAAATCATACTCTCATTTACCTTTCTAGAAAATGTTCCTGCAATGGCAAACAACAAGCCATCATGTTGTATGTTGAATGAAGGAAATCACCATATGTATCTGTGAGGATGAAGCAAAGGTCGATATTCGACAAGTAATAAGAAGAAAACAAAAAAGAAACGATGTTCATCGTATGTATGATGTTCAGTCAGTCGATTCAATTATAAGCACGCTCTATGCTCTAATATAATAATGATGATTCGACCAGTGAACAACAACAAGATAGGTCAAGTCAAGCGAGCCAACACTGTATGTCTGTCTGCCTACACGTCTATTTATCTCAAAGGATGCGCACATATCTCCCTCGTTGGAAGACAAACAATCAGAAAAAGTCATTCATTCAAAAAGAGAAAAAAGTAACAACCATAATGGGAAAACAATACAAGTATATTTCACACAAATTTTTTATCAGATTTAATAGGAAAAGGAGGAAAAACGAAAATTACTTGAAGTCTTATTTGTTTATTAACGAAACTATTGAAATAAATCTTAAGAGTGAAGTGATTTTTAAAAAAATGTCTATGAATCTACAATGATTATGATGCTTATCAGTTTTTTTTCTTCAATGAACTCTTCGCACATATAAATATATATATGTACTAAACTATATGTTATATTATTGTTGTTGCTCAGTATTGACAATAAAGTACACTTAAAACTTACAAGGTATCAGCAAACATTTGAATGGCAAGCTTTTGTCGATGATGATGATGCAAAATACTGTATTGTCGCCTTTTCTAACTAAATGAACTTATATATATTATATTTATATATGCTTCTTGTTGTCGATATATACGTTTTGATCGAAGAAGAGAAAAGTGAGCAAGGCAGAGAGAGAGAGAGAGAGAGAGACAGAGACAGAGACAGAGACAGAGGAAAATGTGAATAGCTCCTATATATATTAATGTATGAAATATGAATATATGCGTAGTACATGCATATGTATGTGTCTGAGTCGGGAGGAGTATTTGAGTCCTGTCGTTGTCGTCGTCGTCGTCGTTGTTGCTAATGAATGCTTCTTGTTCGATATGATACAAAGATGAAGCATGTGCAAAAATTAAACGAAAAAACAATAAATCACCATTCATCTTCTTGCCCATTCATATGTATGCATATACAGCTCTATTATGAATGAAGAGGACACATGATGAGATATCGGATAAAAGAAAAAAGATAATACCCATCGGAGACTGATGATGTGCCTATCGGCAATGCCGCCAAAATCCATTCATTCAGAAAAAGAAACAATCTTATCTCTTCTATGTCAATCTCTAAGGTATCATATACCAATACGCAACAAGTCGAATTAATTTTGTTCATATCTCAGTGATTGCTTTTTCTTCTATGCTCAATCATTAACAAAATATGGAATGCATTAGAATGAACAATGATGACAAGCAATAAATAAACGTCAATAGTTATCTATCGATATGTTACGTATTATTATTATTATTGAATTCACTTTGTCTGTTTTAATACGAGATTAAGACAACAATAACAATACTGTTTATATATGTAAAATAGGGCCAAGTTATAAATATCGGTGTGAAGCAAAGTAAGTATTGTAAACAGTAAAAATCTATTTGTTTCTTTTAATCATAATTTCTTTAATTTTGAGAGAGAAATCAATTTCTAAGTAATTTTCATCATGTATTTCGTTATATTAGTAATCACATTTTTATTAAGAAAGCATGAGTGATTGTTTATCTTGCTTGTAATAATTCAATGCCATATGAATCACTTCGTATCATTGAACGACAAATATAATAAAAGAAGTAGACATTTCTTTTTTAAACACGATCCCTTTTCCCAACATGATTAGCCCACAAGATATAAATGATGAGAAAATTTCGTTGTATTTCGTTATATTTATTGTTATTTGTAAATAGCTAGATCTTGATGTTACATTCTCGTTTAATAATATAACTAGATTTTATTGTAATGAAAATAGAAACACAATCATCTGCTCATAACTTTCGAGGAAAAAAATAGACTAAACATTATCATGTGTGATAATCAATAATACTGTTTATAAAGGCATGCATATAGTCACGAGAATGTAGAGAATTTTAAAAAAAATGTGTTAAATTATTTAATTTTTATGTTTGCGAATCGGTTTAACTTTGAAAGGTTCATATCTATCGAAGTACATTAAGAAAAAATACCATAGTTCTTTCTTGTTAAATGTTTGTTCGTGTTTTTTAATGCAAGTAATAGAAACATACACGGAGCGTTTTATGTGTGCAATCGATGAATTAACTATGACTAGTCGATTGTTTTGAATGATCAAGCAGAAACTAAAAGGTGACCTCACCAAAATTACCTTACGTAAAACTGAGCTTTTTATATGATTTATGTTTAAGATGAAAACAAAAGCACTCAAAAGTCAATAAGTTTTAGTTGACGCACTCATGTGGTTTTTTGAATTATTATTTTGTTTTTGTTTTTGAACCAAAAATACAAAAAAATTATTTGTCATAGAAAAAGATATACAGAATATTTGAAGATTTCATTTGAAATTCTTAACAAGCATCATCTTAGCTTACTATATAAGGATACAGTAATTATTATAAACTATCACTTTTTTACGATAACAAATCGATGTGAAGATGACAAAACTTTCCGTTAGGAAGATAATATTATGAATCTTTTTACTAAAATTAACGCTGTTGTAATCATGTTATCGTTTCTATTGAATATCAGCGAGAAAATATAGGCGATATTATTTCGAACGAATGAATAGTGTCATTAACCTAGATCAAAAGAAAAAGAGAAATAAGACTGAGAGAGTAGGTTTTTTGAAATATTGATTCGGACAAGAAAATGTAATATTGATCAATTGGCATGTAGCTTGCACTGATTGATTTAACAATATTCTATCGTTAATCGATAAAGAAATAATTTGAAGTATTAGTAAAACATATGGTTCTAAGCATTAAACACCACAAGAAAAAAATAATGTACAAAAAGTATAAAATTTGAGTGAATCAAATTTCTAAATATATTCTAATTTATGCTGTTTCAAATATTTGAAACATACCGTAGCTAATACAGATTAACATCTGAATGTTTATAGTACTGGAAATGCTCACTCGATTATTTCTTTCTATTTTTCACAAATTTTAAATATTATCTCTCATTATCACATTAAATTGAATTGGTATCACAGATAAACGAAAAATCAAAATTTAGTAACCCTTTGATTTTTATAGAAGTTGGAATAAACTGACTCACCGCGTAGAAATGAAGGCAGAAAAATTTAATCAATAAATTAGATAAAATCAATAGGTATTATAACTAGTTCTGTTCGTTAAAATCAAACAAATAGTTTCAACACATGTAAGACTTGTGATAATCTTCCATAATATTTATATTAATTCTTTTCCTTTCTTTTATATAACTATAAAGTTCTATTGTTCGTTTAGTTATTATTTTTTTGTGCTATAAATTAGACCAATCGTGTGTTTTTTAGTGGTAATGCATTGAAATTTTTAAAATTACATGTTTAAGAAGAAACAAAGCTATGTGGAAGACTCTATACAAGAAAAATGGCTGTTATTATGGTTTCCACTTAATTTTATATTTTATTTTAATAGAATAGAAAATTTCTCTAATGAATCTTATTGACATGAGCATTTTACCTATTCATCGTTGAATTTTTCAATGGGGACGTACACATTATTTTCGTGTAAAAATGAGCTTTGCAAAAACAAAGTATGTAAAGTAAAATGGGTAATAAAGAAATGATCTGTCAGCTTTCGAAGTCTATACATGTACTTCAGTGTGTATATGCGTTGCAATCGATATTATACTCATGATCCAAATAAAAATAGTAACCTTTTTAATATTATCAAGCATTTTATTGAACAGGCTTACGAAATGTCCTCTCATCATTGTCTCTATCGAATAAAAAATAAAGCAAATAGATAATTGATTTATTATATCTAGGAGATAAATTCTATAAATAATAACAAATCAAGATTTTGAATGTTTTTAAAAAATTCCAAGTGACAAAAGATCTTAGATGAAACGCTTTTTTTACTGTTAATTAATTTTATATTGATTGAGAATATGATGAAATTAGCTGTGATTCATCGAACTTAAGAATGAAACATAATTTTATAAGATTGGAAGAGAAACAGATCTTACATAGGAAGAAAGTTTCTATCGTTTGTTTTTCATATAAACATAAATCGGTGCATTAAAAGATTGCATGATATGATTTCAAATATTTCATTTTCAAGTGACGATGATTGTTTATTTTTCTAAGTTTCGCAAAAATTTATTGAGAGCATTTCTTTGTAACTCTCACCAAATCCGAGTCTGGCAAATAAAGAGAAACTGGTGTTTTCTTTTGCTTAAACGGCACATTCTCTCATATGTGAAGAAAAAATTATTATTTTAGAAGAAAAAGCGAGTTAATGAAAATTGAATTTTTCAAATTTATTTTATTCGGAGAATAATATCTCGTTTGACGTATGAGCATATGTACTTTTTACGCATAGAAAAAAATGGATCTGTTTTCATGGTTTATTTGTTCGAGTAGTTTCTCTTTGGGCAAAATTGAATACCATAATATTTATCGATTATAGTATTTCATAAAAGAAGAAACTTCATATGGGCAAAATAAAATATATGAATGCGTCTGGTTTCTTATTTTCGTATGCAATTATTTATTTCAGTTGGCTCGTTTTTGAGAACTAGATCATTTTTTGAAGAAAACAAAAACCCAGTATCTGTTGAAATATTCATTCTATTTATCAAAATTAATATTGACTAACAAGTTTGTGATTACCAATTGCTGCTGGAATTTCATTTTGTACCTTTATTGTATCTGCTTTAGCTACGTGAATAACTTCAGAACCAAATGAACCTCGTATTTCGATGTGTTTTTCTCCATTACAGCAACAGCCACAACATCCACAACATCCACCACATGAGCGAGAACAACAATCTTCAGTTTCAGTTGCTTCACGTACGACAGATATATCACGTAAAAATATTGAAGTATCTACATGGCCTGGTTCACAACAACAACTACAACATTTTGTATTCATGGTTCGTAGTAATAATCTTGTATCGGTAAGAGCTGTGTAATGTGAACCTGTGCATTCACAATTTTCTTCTTCTAATTTCCAAGCACGTAAGAAATGTTCATTTCCCATTAAAGCAAATGTATTGTTCATATCGTAATCACGAGGCTGTCTAGTAATGTACGCTGCTCCAACACTAGACATTGATATCTAAGAAGTTAGAAGTACAAGATTAAAGTTGGATACATTCCTACTATGTCAAAAAACGATTTTTTTACTTCTATGCAAAGTAAAACTCACATTGCTATTTTGTGTACTTCAAATGTTTGATTAAGTTTTTAGTTCTTTCTGCAGCTTACTTTTGCGTTTGAATTCAAATATTAAAACGAAATGTTGCATGGGGCATCTGTCATCTTTTTAGACACTATAAAAACATAAAAAGCCATGCTAAAAGGAAGAATCAAAATTGGTGTTGCCTACGTAAACAAAAGACAACAAGCCAAAAAAGAAACTCTTTAGTTAATTGCGCCTTATAATAAGACTTTTGAATCATAATATCATATTGAACACAAAAATTTTATAGACTTTGAGAATAGATATAATCAATGTTAAAGTTCGCTTGTTCTCTATTGAAATAATAATTATTCAAAATATTTTCTGTTATGTACAAACACAAAAATGGACGAGGATACTTTTGTTACTAGGGATATACAATGCATGGATTAGTCAAATAAAATATGTTAACGCGAAAAAAACAAAAATAGCAGCAAATAATCAAAATACTACTAGGTTTTCGATAAAATAATAATGATAAATATTTTTAAAAAAGACAAAGAAAATACCAATCCTCATTCGTGTTTTATGCTTTTCTTAGAGGTTAATTTTTTCTCCTTCTAATTTTTGTCCTGAACTTGAATAAACATCATAATTAGCCAATACATCTTTTAGCTCCGATGCTTTTATTTGTACGTATCTTTCTTCTGCATAACCAGATGCTGTTTCACCAGCTGATTCATAGCCTGTTTCTCCCTGATTAACTGTATAATAACGTGCTGTTGTCTGTCTAGTATTATTTGATAAATCAACTTGATCTGATGGCATATCGTAGATTTGCGAGCCAAGTTTTGTTAAAAGATGTGTTGGAAATTTACCATTATTGCTTGCATGAGATCGTAAAAGCATATCTTCAGTAAGAATAGGTATATTTGATGAACTTTTATCAAAATTATAATTGTTTCCATCGTAAACAACTGTTGCTGAATTATTTGGTGAACGATCATATAATACTTGCTGTTGGCCATATTCATCTAGAACACGAGAATGAGATGACGAACGAACAAGACGCATTGCAGTACCACCAGTATTTGTTGTATATGTTTGTCTTGACGATGTTGATGTTCCATAGCTCAAATAGAAAAATATCTTATTATTTCTTAAAGAATCATTGAAATAATGTTATTTTTACCCATTTAAGATCTGTTGAACATTATATTCGTCAGCTTTTTCCAAAGCGATTTCCTCGTTTGCAGCAGACTGGTGTTGTTGTTGTATTAAAGCAATTTCTTCTTGTAAACCTAATTCAGTTAATTTTTGTTGAACAAATTCTGTCGTATATAATTTATCTCCATGATGATTGGAATATCTCTGTGGATCAGTGTCTTGAACTCCGAGTTTTTTTAACCGTTTAACAACTTCTACTTCTGGTGGACGCCATTCGATAATAGTATTTTTTATACGACTCATTGGTTCTAATGGTTTCGCTTTTTCATGAATTACTTGACGTTTTTGTTTCTGATATGGAAGCCATCGTTCAATAATGACAGGACGTGGCTTCGGCGGAAGATTAGGTAGGCGCTCGATAATTAACTTGCGCGGTGGAGGTGGTGGTGGTGGAATAACCTCTAGAGAATAAAAACAATTTATTTTGAGTATGTATGACGACAATGATTTGATCATTTTCAATTACTTTTAATCACTGTTGTTGGTACAGATTTCGGACGTTGTGGTGGTTTTTCACGAATAATAACAGGTGAAGGTGTACGTGGCGGAGGAGGGCGTTGACGAAGAATCATTGGCGGAGCAGCTGGTGGCGGTGGTGCACGAATTTCACGAATAATAATGGGCTAAAAATGAAGACAAATTGCTATCATAAAATGTTCTTTTCTTTTCTGATGATTCTTATGTTCTTTAGTGAATTTTAAAATCTTACTCCTGGAGGCGGTGGTGTACCAGGTTTTAAATATCGAACAGCAATATCTTGTGTGTATGTTAATCGTTGAGTATTTGGTTTGACAATTAGATCAGGATTAGAATCAACATTTATCGGATAATTTTTGACATCAGGTGTTGCTTGTGCTGTAAGTGCTTGAACTTCTTGATCTTCAGCTATTGTACTTCTATAGTTTGTACCAGATTCAACTAGCTGTTTATAAGACGCATCTTCTAAATAACGGGTTACAGTAGCTGTTGATGATTCATTTCCACCATCTCGATAATAGTATTCGCGAGAGCCTGAACGTGATAATCGTTCGCCATTTTCATTATTAACATTTGCTAGACTTGTCGTCGTTGTCATATGATTTGTACGTACTGTACGACCTGTTGGTACATCCAACACATAACGACGAGGTGGAATCGATGTTGCACCTGCCGATGATGGTAATAATACACCAGTTGCATTAGTACTGCTTGTAGTAGTCGTAGCAGCATTACTTGCACCTCGGCGACCATATTGACGAGTTGAGATAGCCATCTATAAAATAATTTTATTTAAGCATAGTTTCGAATCGTTTCTAATCGAAACATATTTCAATAAAATGCAAAGTGAAATATATATATATATATATCAATTAATCCTCGATATGAACTTTAAATCCAAGAATATTTATTTATATATGCGTAAGACGCATGAAAAAGGAGTGGGCTTTCACAAAAGACAAATATTAGCCTTTCCTCTGTTTTTAATTCCTACATATAGGTATAGTAGTATAGAGTTTTTTTTTGACACTCTGTTGTATAGATAATCGACTATTTATTCTTGAAACTGAATTCTCTATTCTTAATCAAAACTACAAAATCAGTCTAACATTTTTCCGTCGTCATTTTCCTAGTAATGCAATCTAAGTATTCACTAGATAAATAGAAAGAACTTAAATAGTTAGGAAAAAAACTTTTTTTCAAGAAAGAGAAGCCGCAAAAATGTTATTCTAAATAATAACGGAAATGTGACACGTGTGGTGAACTTACCGCAGTTTTTCTGAGCTACGAAGAAAAAGAAGAATAACTGCAGTTATTATTATAGTTCTTTCTAACTGGGACAAAAGATTGCCTTGACTTCTACTTACATGAACGAGAAGAAAAGAAATAAAAAGAGGAAGGTAAAAACTCGTGACAAGAATATCAATAATAGCAGCAAAACCGCAATTTACTAACTTTCATCGCTTCACTAATGTCACCTAGAGTCAAGAAAGACCTGTCCCATTGATAAATTAGCCGTCTATCTTATATGCTTTATTAACATCTTCATACAGTAATATTTCTATAGTTGTAGTCATGCCGAAAAATATTGGTTGTATAACAATGAAGGCCAGCATGCTTCTATCCAATCCTAAAACATCTAATACAATGAATCATTTCATTTCTATTACAACTAGTATACATACTTGAAAAAAAGAAATAAAATTAAATAAATAGGTATTTTACTCAATATAATCTAAATATATTCGCATATATTCTAAAAGAAATTGCAGATAATAGTACGCTTCTCTATCTCTCCCTCTCGCTCATTTATAATTTACTATTGTGAAAGTATAATGATGCTAGTATGTGTATCAATTGGCAAAGTATTTTAGTTCGATTTCTTTGATTGACGGATCGAACCACCTAATTGCTTCTCTCACTTCCATAATAATGAATACCACTAAGAAAATATATGCGTATAGCCTGTATAATTTGTGAATATTCATTGGTGATCAGGTATTGCCACTAGAAAATCTTGATTATAAATACGTACGTATGTTTTTACCTTTTCTCGGTTTTTATGCTTCTTTTTCCACTAATGAAAATTCTTTTTCTTCCTTTTTTCTGTCTCGTTCTCCTCCTTTCTTAGTGTTGATCGAAAGATTTGACGGTTATGTTGGTGCGCGTCTAACAGAATAACAAATATTATTTGCCAAAGTTTGCTATTCAAGTATCGCTTGCTGGTATTTCAAGGACACCTGCTGCCGATACTACTACTACTAATACTAATACTAATAATAATATTTCTATATGAATGAATATAGAAAAATCTGAGTGATGCACACGTGCTATGATTTCGTAGTCGTGTGTGGTGAAAAATAAAGTTTCTTTGCTGTGCGACTGTTGCAGTTGTCAGTGAACGAGCAAAGAGAGGAAAGAATAAACAACTACTGAAAAAATTCAAATGTGTTAGTCATTTTTTTTCTTCTTTTGACAGAGAATAAATGATAGCGCTCCATGTTTTTCTCTTTTTAACCACATACTTAACCGTTATCGATAATAAAAAATAGTTTTCATGAAATCTATACTTTTTAATTCATGCCCAACTTTGTTATTGTTGTTCTGTTTAAAGTCAATCTCTATCCTTCGTGTCAGCTTTATCATTGATCAGAAAGAGAAAAGTAAAAAACATGAAAATAAAAAGAAAGATAAAGAAAAGAGCAAAACATATAAGCAGAGTAAATACACTTTTTTCTCTTGACGATGAAATTACAAGCATGAAGAGTCATTCATATTGAAAAACAAAATGCACATAAAATGAATACAACCTTTCTTATACTGTGTGTCAAGTGGATCAGTAAGAATATTGTTTCTAGTCTTCATTGATTAAATGTCAAAATCTTTGGTTAAGTTCAATATAGATATATGAAGAACTACGAAAATAGATACGTTTGTCTTGTTGTATCGGAAAATGATTCATCATTAACTTCATTAAAAAATTGTTTTTGTTATTGTGTCTTAGAAAACAATTTTATTTTCAATAATTTATGTTAAAAGAAATCATAGAAAGATATTTTTTGTGATTCTTTAGTGATTACAAGCATTCAATAAGAGCAATATGAAAACATTAAAACCTATGTTTAATATTTAACTTTTTAATCGCTACAATAAATATAGTTAAGAATGCTACTGTTCTTTATTTGTACAGGCAAGTTCACATTTCGCTGAAAAAGTAGATTCGATATTGTACTCTTTTTCTATGTAGAATGATGCTTAGTTTTCACGTTGTTAGATAAATTTTTAAGAAGGGAAATAGTAAATACAGTGTGATCTCTTGTGTTTTTTTTCAAATGCGCTACTTATCTTTTCTTTTGATTATTTTAGGAAAACAAAATACAAAAATGTTGACCAGCTTCTTTTTACACGAAACTATTTTATTCATGATTTCCATCGGAACTGCATACCTTGAAACATTTCTGTCATCCTCAAGTAATTAGAATCAACAATAGACGAATAAAGAAATAAATCAGCCAGAAGCACGTTCGATTTTTTGAATATTTTTATGCTATTGACTTTAGTATATCGTCGTAGATACGAGCAAATACAATTATAACAGCTGGTTTAGTTAATCAGAATCAGTTAATATGTACTTTCTAGATCATTCTCAATCGGATCTGCTAGTTTTATGAAAAATTCTTTTCAAAACGATAAAATTAATGTTTATAATATATAAAAAGCCTAACCTCTTAACATTTTAGATAATGAATAAATCTATGATAATTGAAGATGCAATATCTGAACTAAATTCTATTCTTTCTTCAGCTCAGACGCAATTTACCTCAGATCCTAAGAAGTTCTTTTCTCAGAATCATATTTCGTCGTTAGGCAAATATATATCGATCGTAGCGAATCTGTGTAATTTGCTCAATTTGTCTGGTTATGATGAATTGAAACAAACTCTAGAAAATTCATCTTTCGCTGATCTCCAAATTCGATGGAATAAATTTCTATCTGAAGTCGACGATCGATCTATACTCTCGAATTCGAATCCATCTACATTACCTTCCGACATACAACTATTAAGTGTTGATAATAATCAGCTGGTCAATTTGGAAAATATTTATACGAATCATGATCGAAATTTATTTGTTTTTCTTCGACATCTTGCTTGATTACCTTGACGAGAACATGTGCAACTGCTGACCACTCTTGATCGATGTCATATTGTCATTATTAGCTTTACATCATCAATTGACAGTGTTCGTCAATGGAAAAATGAAGTCGAATGTCCTTTTGAAATCTATTGTGATCGTGATCGTCGTCTCTACCATTATTTTGGATTTCCTGGCAAAGCTTACGCTCGGGTGTGGAATGTTCAAACTTTAGATTATTATGTTGAACAAAAATTAAATGGAAAAAAATTACCAACGGCGCTAGATAAGAACGATGATCCAAATCAGATGGGTGGCAATGTTATTATCGACCAAAGTGGTCGAGTTATTTGGGTTTACAAAAGTAAATCACCTACAGATCGACCAAGTGTTAGACAGTTGCAATGTATCTTAGAACGCTAGATCCATGACGATAGTTATCTCAACTTCAATACAACATGAAGCGGTGACTATAAGAGATCTTTGTTTAATTTCATGTGAATATATGTTTTATAACTATTTTTGATCTATAAATTTATCAACTAATAAATTCGTAATTTGTGAAATCAAGTAATGAGACAATTCAGAAATTCAAACAACTTCGTCTAGAAGTTGTCGATATTATTATTATTCACATATAATACTAAATACCGTAAATACATAATACATAGGCTATTTGTAAATGAAAAAATATACAATAATTATATTTTTTTATAAATTCAACTGGGTTCTTACGGGTGAAAATGAAATTTTAGGCAACCTCAAGTTATTCTCAAGTATAGATAGAGTACAATAATTCAGAGAATAATAAAGTTTGGTCTACTAAATCATGTTGTAGACACCAATATAACAAAGAGAAAATGTTTTTCAAAAACTGATTATTAGATAATTCTGACATATTGTCAATTGTGACCATATGACAATCATTTCTTTTGTTGAAATGGAAATACAAGAGTAGCAATTAAATCTAAAATTCTTCTTTTATCAGATTGAAAGATGAGCAAGTGTAAAATTGATTAACAATGCATTCACTACTTTTTTTACATCACAGTCATTCATATCTTCTTCAAATCGAACTAGCAAAGTTTCTCAAACAGATTCCATTGTTCACAGACTGTTTGTGTTCTTTTCGCAATTATTATGATAACAACACAACTCAATTATTTTTAACAGTTCGTTTTGATTCAATAGGGTTTTGCATCGGCAATGGCACTGATCTCTCTATCCGGTCGATATTTCTGACATGAATGATAATCATACTGACCATTAATTATGTTTAATTTTACGTTTATTGAAAATGAATTGGATCTCTATAAGAAATAACAAATTGTCATTAGAAGATTAGTACTATAGGAAACTTCATAGTGGTCAATCGTCTCCTTGCAGTAAAATGGAGTATAACGATGATATCTTAACAAGTAGAACTTTATTCTGTTAGAAGAGAACATAATTGATAATATTGATTAGCCCTAGTATTTCCAATAGGATACATGAGTCGTTTTAATCAACACGAATTCATCATAAGAGATTTTACTAGATAAGATTTATTTATTTTTAGTACAATTTTAACAGTAAGTATACATCATAGGCCATCATTTTTCAATAAACGAGCTTCGATAAAATTCCTAATATATCGAAGACAACAATTAATATATAAATCCATAAAATAACAATAATAAAATTATGCTTAGTTCTATTATAATTTTCTGGCTATCTCAAAGTCTACTCGATCATCTCAATTTTAATCAAAAGAATTTCATCCATGATCATGATCATAATTAATAAAATTTATTCGAAGTTTGATTAAATTTGCATCATTTCTGCTAGATTTTTAATAGATAACAATTAGATTAATTTTATAACGTTAAAAAAAACACTATATACTTGTAGTATAACTTATTCATAAACTGAATCGTATATATTATAATCCTAAAAACGTAGGATTGAAATCCAAGTTTCTTCCGTTGAATCGAAGCAATAAAATATGGATATCGTTTCGAAGAGAATTACATTTGAATTGAAAAATATCAATATTGCAATCATAACTTTGATGTCACCAATTTTTCTTTGTAATAGTTGTTGTACTATTTCGATTGTGCTAAATATCAATGTCAGTAGCTATGAAAGTCAAATCAAGAACAAGAAAATAATAGTCTCTATACGATGGCACGTTTTTCTAGATACATTCGATTTTCAGGTGATGTCATAGTAGATATCTTTTTAAATCAAATTTTTTAATCAGATCATGCACTCAAACTGTATATATATATATATGAGAAAATGGAAAGAATAATAGTTGGTTAGCATGAATTAGTTCAGTCAATGACCCTCTTGGTTAAGTGATTAGAAAAAGAAAGGATTGTGTTTATTCAACTGTGATACAGCTGTTGTTCTTAAAATAGTAACTATCTATATTTTGAAATTTGTGTCCAAGTATCTACTTCAAATTATTAGTCTTGTATTACTCTTTCAAAAGAACAAAAAACTGAAATCACTATTGATCTTATTACTTTGATCACAGCTCTGGTCTATTAGTTAGATGTTAAAATACGTTAGAAGAAAGCATCGTGCATCAAAACTATTGCTTTTAAAAATCATTGACTGACACAGAATAAATCTACCGTTGATTTTACATTTGAAAAATTACAGAAAGAATTAGTAACATTTGCATAATCTCTCTTATAGATCTGAATAACTGCATAGTATTTATTTAAGCAGCATCGTATAGTGTTGTCTAGGTTTATTCTCTTCAGTAGAACATCTATTAGGTATATTGAAAATTGATCTTTCATTCACGGCGATTATCTAATATACATAGAAGCAATCACTGTGTGCGAAATATTAACTGTTTGAAGAAAATTTTGAACAACTCTTGTTCTTTTTATAAATTTAGTAGGAAAAAATTGATGAAATAAATAATTGTATTTTCAAACAGAAAGTGTTCAGTTCATGATTCAATGACTTGCTTGTTCATCATTATCGTCGTCAATTGATATTTGATTAACATTCGACATAGCTTCTTTTAATTCTTGTAATTTTTCATTCAAGTTATCAATACAAGCAATAAATGATTGTTGAGGACGTATGGGTCGATGTTTCTCAACATATTTTAGAGCTTGCTAAACATAGAGAAGAACACAAAGAAACTTTTCAATGAATTATCTGTTTAGATGTCATTACTCACTTGTGAACTCATTCTCATTTGAAATGAAATAAATGCAACAATAACAGCTGCTGATCGACTAACACCACGATCGGAATAAACAAGTACTGGATCTCCACGATCATAAGCTACAGCTATCAAAATAAAGAAAAAGACAATCATCAAAATAATCTAAGCTAAAAACAACAATTCTACATATGAAATTAACTGCATCGTGCAACAATTCAAATATATTATCCGCATCGTGAACATCATCGATTGAAACACGACAATATTTTCGTGTGTCGCCGCCTTGTACTCTATGGCATTTAAAATAAAAATAGAAAAATAATGTAAACAATAAAGAAATGCGAACAAATAATCTTCGTGTTTTGTACAATTCACATAAGCACGGATTTTTAAATCTTTCACTATTTGTGAATTCACAGCATGTTGACGACGACCCAAATAAACCAAATTAGGACATATTTCATTTGGATACGTTTGTATTAATTCTAATTCCTGAAAAATATTGTCAAAACTTAGCAAGCAAATTAAATAAGTAAATTTTACTTTTGGTGAATACAAAGATTGTGAAGTACGTAGAAATGGATATAACTTTGAAAATAGTTGAAATCCTCCTTTAACAATTCTAATAGTTGTCAATGCAGTTACATGTTGCTGAAGTAAACTTGCGCATATATATATTTCATCTATATGAGTAAAATAACATTTGAGCAATCATTACTAATGCCAATATAGAAATAAAACGTTATCACAAACCTTGTTCTTTTAATGGTAAATTATTCGTTCGACTATCGTAGAGAACTATATGTTCACGTGTTTCAAGATCAGCACGCCATGGCATGTCATATTGGCCATCTTCATTCTTTAGAATATGCAAATGATTTTAATGAGATAAATCATAAGTTAACGTACTCGACGAATATGATTAGCACTTATTATATGACTTTCATCATATTCTTTGCGTGATCGGCAATCTAAGAAAAATTTCAATGAGATTATTGAGAAATTTTCAAAACAAACAAATAAAACCAAGTAAATAGAGATAGTTAGTATCACTAATACGTGCTAATCCATTAATTTCGGCATTGAGTATATTAAATAGATCAATACATTCAATCAATTCGAATGGCGGTGGAAACATTGTCCTCTTACTATTTTCAATAGATCAATTTTGTATTCAATTTTGAAAGAGGAGCTGTGCCATTACTGTCGTCATCTCCATAGACAACGAAACTATGTTCAACAGGCAGCGACACCTATGGGGAAATGCTTGTAAAAATATAGTATACCTATGACAATAAAATTCTAAAGAATTACACTTAAAATATAAAATTTTTTTTTTCTTCTTCATTTTCATACTAAAAAGAAAACAGTGAAGCATAGCATTTTAATAGGCTCGATAAATAATCAATAAACGGTTAGACATGCCATGACGAATGAGTCAACATTGTAATTTTTTTCTAGCAGTACTATTGAGTTGACTCGTTAGCAACTACGAGTTGTCAATTTAAAATAAGTATATTGCTTTCGTTCTAGAAAAAGGACTTATGCTTTTTATGACTAGAGTACTTTTAATTAGCATGAAGGTAGATTTTACCATTGATTTGTAGATCAAATGATATTATCTCGTCTTCGAAGTGAAGCCCGTGGCGGGCCATCATCTGGCTCATCGACCCGTTATAGTGGCAGTGTTTATAGTGGCAAAGTACATCATGGCCAACAAGCCAACGATCCTGACCTTAAACGAGCTCTTCAATATTCGTATACATTACAAGCTGTAAAAAAATGGGAAAAGCGCTGGGTAGTCATTCACGAAACATCTATGCGTGTTCACAAATGGATGATAGCACCAGTAGCAACGTCAATACTTGCTTCACAAACTATTGTTGACAATACAGCTGATATCACTAAAAATAATACTGAAAAACAACAAGAAGAAACTACAATACAACAGAATCAGCAAGAGTCTGTTACAGATGAAACACAAAATACACAAATAATGATGGATGAAGAGAGCATTAGTCAATCAAGCTAAGCTTAGTTAATATACATTGTTTAATGCCAATCTTTGTCTCTCATTTCAATCTGTAATACTTTATCGTTTTCTCTCAGTATATATGGAGTATTTGTTTGTTTATTCTTTCTTGCGCAATAATGCATCTGTACATGTGTCAATAGGTATAAAAATGGAAAGTAGAAATATACGGACATTCTATAGTTATCTTAGTTTATCACTCATTACAACAGACGTAGAATAATCGTGAATCAACACCGAGAAAAGAGAGCTTGATTTTTCTTAACATAACATAAAGAACAATTGAAGTAATATAAATCAGCTAATATTAAAATATTCTGTATAAAATCGCGATGGATGTCCAAGGACTGAGGATTAGGAATTCCTCATCAGTTCTCCTACAGTTCCTTGCATAATAAAGGTAAAAACACTTGTAAAATGGTGAGAATCAATAATTTCATACAAAAATTATTTTATCGCAACTTTCGTGAATGGTGGAACTGTGAGGGAACTGATAATTGATTCCCATTTCCTCTAGGAATTATCACAGCAACACTGACAATTCCTCGGCACATTAAGAATTCCTATTTTTCAGTCCTTGGACACTGCTGGAAAATTCACAGGACGGAAGGATTTCCGACTGATGACACCAGTCTTCTTCTAAAAGTTGACTCCTTAGTTTCTATTAGTCAACTCAGACGTCTCAAACGGATAGTCATTAGAAATGACCTATTAGACTTCGTTAGACTAGTTCCGATTGGGTCAAAACTTATCACAACTTATCGTTTCCAGATTCATGTTAAGCAAAATTTCTATAATCATTTTCCTACTCATGATGAACTCATGTCAGCTGAATTCGGAATTAGACGAAAGCTCTTTGTCTCTTTCATGAAATAGCATACACCAGTATGTCATCATTATATTCTTGTGTATTTACTTTTATGTAACATAACTCACTGATATGCACAATGTGACCATATCTAAGACAAAGTTCTTTTCCTATTGAACAGTCATATTTAGTTTGAACTTTGATTTATAAAGAAATTCGACAGAATTTTCTTAGAGCTCTCCACGATTCATATATATGATTCAAATTTCAAGACTTGAAGGTGAATAACTTTCAAAAGAAAAATTCATACCATAGAAATTAAGCAGATAAATTATGTTGAGTTCTGATTTAATCTTACTTCGTCAAATATGAACTCTAACGTTTAAGCCAGAAACACAATTGAATTCTGATCTCGGAGTAAATTATTGAAAAGTAGAAAACTTACGCTTAGACGATGATGGATTTCATTACTAGTCAAATCTCATAATTTTCGACTTGAATTTTTCTTGTGCATTGGAAGTACGTGTGTAAAAAAAAGTAGTTAAAATACTAAAACCTTTATGTAATATGTATATATCTTTTGACTAAATAAAAAAAATCATCATTGCAATCTTTGCTGATGCTTTGTTTTACACACATTCCATGATTGGAGAAATATCCTATTGTCTTAAAAACTTGAATTTTTTAAAAATTTCATCGAAGAAAACTTCTTTTTCTGCAACCGGTAACTATTTTATGGATGAAAAATATGCTTCTAAAATCATTGTGAAAACTATTCTTTAGTACTAACTTTTGCAAAATCAATCACTGCAAGGAGTAAAGAACTAATATCGATTCTTTTTTATAATCACTTTCTTATTATTAATTAATGCAAAAAGAAAACTAAATAAAATGTAACAAACCTGCAACTAACATTGGAATTTCTTGAGATAAAAACAATGTTGTTAAAAGGTTTCGTTTTTGACAATCACGAAATTAGTTGATATTTAAATCATCTGTTGGACCTTCAACATTACAATTCCATGAACGATTACGACTTTCGCTACCCAGACTATTTTCACCATTCATCTCGTTATGTTTTTCATTATATGAAACTAAATCATTCAAAGTAAAAACATCGTGAGCTGTTAAGAAATTAATTGAAGTTATAGGTCCTCATCGTTCCTCAAAGCATAAATCTGAACTTACCGCGAAACGTGCTGCAAATTCCGAAAGCATACTTGACTGGCCATGCCAATAATTTCTAACACAGTCATGATATTTTCCATTCCATTCAGCCCAACCCGGCGGGAATTTTCCAACTTGATAAACACCTTCACCTAGATCCTATGGTTCGGCAAGTAATTTCACTCTACCAGTAGCTGGGTCTTGATGAATAATATCAAAAAATGCACTTAAACGATCAACAGCATGTAATTCACGAGCAAGTGTAGCTGCCAAATCAAACCTAAATAATAAATAAATGAGGAAACATCGGATTCGTATCCGATTGTTATGTGTACTGCAAAAACTGAGTCGATTTATATATGTTTTGAATAATTCTGAGAAAAAAATTTTTTTTTTGAAAAAATCCCTGTACCCCCCTCAGGGATGGTCTGGTTAATAATGACAACTTTTTCGATAACTCAGCCATTTCTTCACAGATTGCTTTCATCTTCGAACGCGACTGAGATATTGATGAGATCATTCTGTGTACAAAATTTCATAACAATTGGATGAGGCTTTCAAAAGTTATCGTGTTAACGGCCGGACACACTGACCGAATCTAGAGTGTACTCATTTTTTTGGAGTACACAATAATCTAAATAATTTATGATCAATCAGCTAGCGACCATGTATGTTTGGCTATTAGATAATTGTGCTTAACTCCTTCATGTTTCATTTAAAGAATAGAGGATTATTTCGAAATGTCTCGATTCGTAGCTTCCAGTGAATTGAATTAATATTAGTGATTGCTATTTTAATTAATGAAAGTATTTAATAGAATATACTTACCTGGAACCGTCGACATGCATATCCAATAGCGGAGACTATCCATAATTAATCTGAGTATATATGGTAGTTGACAATTAAGTGTATTTCTCGTTCCAGTATAATCAAAGCAATATCTTTGATCCTGTTCAGTGAGACGATAATAACTTTTATTATCAATTCCTTTAAATGATAATGATGGTCCAAATTCATTGCCTTCACCGGTATGATTGTAAACAACAGCAAGATCACTTCAATGCCAGCTTTATGTAAAATTTTAACCATACGTTTAAATTCAAGAACTTGTTCTCCATAAGTTTCTGTCGATGAATAACGGACATCTGATGCAAAAAAATCCAATTGTATGAGAACCCCAGTAATTTGTTAAGTCACGTTCTTTTAAATAACGATCTGTGATAAAATGCTGTACGGGCATTAATTCAACCGCTGTTATTCCAATATTTTTTAAATATTCAATTGTTTTCGGATGTGCTATACCAGCATACGTTCCACGTATTTCTTCTGGAATCTTTTGATTTAATTTTGTAAAACCTTTTAAATGCAATTCATATATAATTGTTTCATGAAAAGGAGTGTTTGGCGGAATATCACCACCCGAATTGAAATTGCCCGAATCAATAACGACACATTTCGGCATAAACGCAGCACTGTTTACTGTATTGAATTTTAAATCTTTTCCTGAAGACGAATCATGAATGTCATAACCAAATAATGAATCGTCCCATTCTAATGTACCAATGATAGCTCGAGTATAGGGATCAATTAATAGTTTATTTACATTGAAACGATGGCCATTGCATGGGTCATATCGGCCATCAATGCGATAAGCATATATTTGACCAGGTTCAAAGTCTGGTAAATAAACATGCCATATATGATGCGTTTGTTCTAACAAAATATTCGGAGAATAATTAAAATCTAGAAAAGCAAATTATCTTTCATTTCAATTCGTGCGTATTCGATTAGTTCATATTTTTCATCATGCGTTGATCGAAAAAAAACATAGATAGGGTTTCGTAGCATGTTCAGAGTATAATGCAAAATTAATCCCATGATCATCATAAGAGGCGCCTAATGGAAATGGATTTCCTGGATAAGTTGTAATTTTTTGATCTTTCCAATTCGACTCACAACAGTGTGATCATACTCGTTAGAACGATATTATTCTAATAGAAAACCCCATTAAAGTATAAGTTGATATAGAGTAAACAATACAAGATTCTTTATGCTCGGATTTGACTAGTACATTTATGCTCAAGAGTGAGTGAGAAATTGTTTCATCTATCGGTTCATGTCATCATTTGGTATGGATATCAAACCTATCATTTTTCTTGATTTTAAACAACTTTACGCATAGATATAAATACCTTCATGTACTTTTTTTTAGTTCGATTTTATGTTTGAGCAATCAAAAAATTGAATATATTAATCGTGGATAAGTCATTGTAGGAAGATATTAGGTAACTGAAAATTTACTGTAAATCTGCAGTCAGTAGATCTCAATCAATTCACTTTTACTTATTTTTCTCCATAACTTGGATGTCTACAGCAAAAGAAATCAAAGTCATTCTTATAAACCATGAGTACTCTGGGTACATTATTACTTTTAGCGTAAGCCCTTCAAGCGAATGTGAAAGATATGTGGTATACGACATCGTACAGTTGGAGTCAGTTTCGACGAATGAACGTTGACAGAGCTGAATATTAATAATATTTAGTTACTTTTGTTGACATAGAAGTTGCATACATTAGTATGTGTGCTTCGAAATGTTCGTTGCAATAGAATGATAGGTAGTTCATGATTTCAAAACGAGGGCATTCAATATCAGAGTATTGGAAAGAAATGTACTTGTATATATCTTTTTTTTGTTTGAAAGAAAAGAAAGTATTTTGAATTGGTGAATTATTTTCATGCTAACTTAAAATCAGTTTAGATATGTCACATGAACTATTAGATCTTAGATATGAATGGAATGAATATAAATATAATCTTGTGTAGAAAAGTAGTTTCTATTGAAGTATGGCGCAGATTAGATAATGCAAAATTGATTGTGATGAAGCCAAAAAAGTAATAAATTATATGGATTTGTTATTGTCTTACAAATTAAAAAATCAGAATAGCATTTACTGAAAAGTATTATATTTGGAAAAATGGCATGACCTTGAATACAAAGTACGTACTGTTTGTTTCCACTTTTAATATGAAAAGATCTCTTTTGTAAAGATAAAATGCCTTATGAATTGCTTGAGAAATCAAATATTAAAAAGAAAAAAAAGAAAGCACCCTAATTAGGGTGGTGTTCACACTATCAAAATAAAATCGTTGTTTTAGATCGTTCAAGACAGGATTGTACATGGTTAATAGCAGAGTCTAAATAACATGAAGCAATGGATTTTAGTATTGATTAATTGATCAAGTGGTGTCACAAACACTAAAAAAAAGTACAAATTTGACTTTATTGAAGTTGAAAAGTTCAATTTTTTCATTTTCATGTTATCTGGGAAAAGTATCTTCATTCGGTAGTATTCCTAATTATTAGATGCAGATTTCATTCCATTACGGCAAGAAAATTTACAATAACTTATCTTTTCCAACGATATAAAACAAATCACTTGTACAAATTTTGTTCTATTAATTTTTTTCTCAAATTTATCTATTACAGAAGAGTTTTTATTTAAAAAAAGGACTAGATAACTGACTTGGATACTTTATCATAAAGAAAATAAATTATTGACCCGATGAATAAATGCCTATAGATATTCTGAAAAATAGCATCAGAACTCTACAATCAAACCATCTAATCTCTTGTGTTGGTGTCAACTGTTTCTTTGGTTTAGTTAACTAAAACAAAGTTTTGTTTTCCACATGAATACTAGCCTCTACGTTGAAAATATAAAAGCCTGACAATCAGTACTAGTTTCTTATTTTTTTTTCATCTTTATATATGAAACAATAGATTGAATTTTGACTTTGTCAATCAGTCATCAAAACAAGACACATCAATGTTGTATCGAATATGTGTGTAATTTTGGATGAATAATATTTTATAGAAAATTTACCAAGCTGAAAGTACCGAAGAGTGAATGATCGGTTACAACTTCTTGAATTTTCTCAATTGCTGACAAGTTTAAATCATTGTCTGATATTATTTAGCATCGTTATATAGCTATAAACATATATTTTCACATGAATGGAGCAATATTGTCATTTTTTTTCTCTGATCGAGCCCTGAATAGGAATGATTCAAATCAATCAATATTGATTTTAACGAGCATTGAGAAGTTAGCAAATATATTTTCTCACAGATACTTTTTCTTTGAGTTTTCTTTGAAGTAAGCTTTATTTATTTTAATGACTTCCTTTTATTAGCTGTACTACCAGTCTATTGAGGGAAAAAATAACAGACGAAAATATAAAATGGAATCCTATGAAATAAAAGAAGACAATATTTATGATTGTTTTCTGATATGTGAATATGAGGTGAAAATAAAAAGTCGTCTATTCAATTTCAATTCTATTAAAAATTTAATATATTTAAATAGAAAACAGTTCTCTCGAATTTTCGTTGCTACAATTCTTTTAAAATTTAATAGTACCTGTTTTCAGAAAACTTATTTAATGACCAAAATTCTCTTTAACTAATTGATCGAATATTTCGTTCTGTTATTTTTTCAAAATTTACATGTAGCAATATTAATACAGGTTGCATGTTCAGTTCCACTTTTAACTAATTGCAACAAATAGAGTTGACTAGACATACTTAGTACAATCAGTGTTATGGGTTCATTTTTGGAATTAAAATATGGCATTTTATTGTCACAATTCCATCGAATGAACCATCGAATGCATATAAACTAGTCAAATCGTTAGCACTTTTACGTATATATACACAAACATAAACTTTCAAAAACTGATACGCAACGAATGATGATTTTAAAATATGAGTGCTAGTAAGCGTCTTTTCTTTATAAGTAAGTACATCTCCATACACTCATATGAATATCGACCTAGTCAGTTGATTTAAGATTGCAAATTTTGATAAGAGATCATACTTAGCTAAGGCAAAATTCTTTTTTGCTTAGTCCAAAGCGATGCATCTTGCTTTTAGATTAAGACTTACATAGCATCTTTCGTTTGTTCTTCTTACAAAACAAAAATACAATCAAAGTAATCTATGNAAATGGAATTTGGCGGCGTGTTAACATATCTCGAACACCTTTTGCAATCTGACGTAAATAAGGAAGAGAAAAACGAACAAATAAATCATGACTTAAACATCCACAATGGGATTCAAATAATTGAAGAAGTTGAGCTCCAGCACAAACTTGTTCTACAAGATGATTAATAATAAAATGTGTTAAAAATTGAAGAAGATCATGAGATTCTTCGACATATGTATATAACCACTTTTTTGCTTTTGAATGAGTTTCACTACCTTTACCTAAATCAAAGGAAAAAAATAATAAGTAAGGAAAACGAAGAAAAATAGAATTTAACCTTCAATCATATAAGACATTAACGTCCACGGTGCTCCACTAAAACCAATTAATGGACATCGACCATCAAGTGCATGTCTTGTTAAAGTAATTGCATCATAAACATATTTTAATTCAACGCTTGCTTGTTTAGTTCGATCAATGGCTGTTTTTATATCAGCTGGTACATTAATAGGATGAGCAAAACGTGGTCCTTCCTTAGCAATCATATCAACTTGCATACCAAGTGCTTGTGGTACAACAAGAATATCACTAAAAATAATTGCAGCATCAAGATCAAAACGTCGTAATGGTTGAAGTGTCACTTCACAACAAATTGATGGCGTGCGACAAACATCAAAAAATGAATTTTGACTTCGAATAGATAAATATTCAGGTAGATAACGACCCGCTTGACGCATTATCCATATAGGTACACGTTCGACTGGTTCACCACGACATGCTCTTAATATTAAATTATTTTTTAATGAAGGAAATTCATCTTGATTTTGTTTCACTGTGGAATCAGACATATCTAGAATATGATTTTAAATTATACAATAATGTTGTCATATAATATATATAATCAAATAATCAATGAATTTCATTTTGTCAATAGAAGTGTACATCAATGTAGAAACAATTAGAAATATGATTAGAAAAATGTAAGTCTTTCAACATTAAATATAAAATTTTCGAAATCGATGTGAGAAAATGTCACCAATGTAGTCTGCAATTTAATCAATGTCTAAAATAATACTATTTCCATCTTGAATTACTTCTAGCAGAATAATAAAACCTGATTTATATTAATAAGATGAAATATATGCTAGATAATTATTCAATGCTATTTTCATCATATATCATGTTTTTAGTAAATTTCAAAATAGAATGAAAACGATAATATATACATGGTGCTGCATTTTACAATTGAAAGTTATTTCTCTACTCTTCATCATCTTCGAACATCATTATGAATGGCTTTGCTATATGTTGTGAACTTTTTGGTTTTATTATTATTATCTGACACAAAATATTTTCTAAAAATTTCTTTTGTGATAGGATATTGTAAAATCCCTCGAGTGAATGGTTTTATGAAAAAAAGGACTTCAGCAAGATTATTTTTTAATTTCTAATGTAGCAATAGCTAAAGTTTTACGAAGAGACTCAATCAGAATCTAACTCAGAAATTTTATTTAATACAGTGCATGACTACTGACTTTTACTTGTGAAAAATGTGTTGATACATGAATCTTCTTTTTTTAGTGTCATTCTTGGCTGATTGACATTTGTTTTAGAAAAAATAAGAAATTTAAAAGAGAAAAGTAACATTAAAAATAATACATAACCTTATTTAATAAGAAATCACTAATGAATTCATTTTCACGCCGGTCTAACTTGCAGAAGAAGTCAGTAATAAAAATCATTTACATTTTTGTTTTTCGAAACCGACCTGGACTATTATAGCCACCTACTGTTGACTCACTGTTTCGTGACACTTAAAGTCCTTAATGATATGTATACATGTAATGTAGAAAACTGCCTTTTCATTTCGACTTTATTTTAAATCTTTATTTTTAAGATGTATCACTACGAAAAGAGATCATATTAGGAATATAATCATGATTCTATAATATATGATATGGAAATCTATATTAACTTTTGTAAAAAAGTGAATCAATATCAAAATCACTGTTAGAAGTAACATATCAATTAGAAAAATCATCAAGAGGCAATCTTCGTAGAGAATCTACTATATTATATAATATAAAGACTTACATAATTTAGATCCAGACAAGATGTATTTCATACATTTGTCAACATTACACTCCAGGCATGTGTTTTAACGAGGCTTTTACACATTTTGCCTTGATTACAATGAAAACGCAAGCTATTACTAAATCAAACTTCTCGGTTTTAGTGAATCAGAGAAATTTAATATTATAAAAAATTCTAAATTCATCATGATTTTTAATATACTCTAAAATATCGGATTTCCAACATGAACTTCATCTACGGTAGACTGATAGATTTCCTGTGCGATCTTAACTTTATAATTTATGCATTCTTCATTGTTGAACAAGTCTTACCAAAAGCATTAATTCTACTATCTATTCCGAATGCAATGCCAGAGTGATCGTGCAAATCTGATTGGTAGTTATAGCAAACAAATCCAGTCCTCGTCTGTCGTATGTCACTATCTATGACATAATCGAAAAGTTCATATTCTTTATATCTAAACAGAATCTTTTTCCATTTTTTTCATTGCCATGGCTTGAATGGCCTCGTAAATTCTATCTTTGTTCAAGAAATCTCATATGTGATGAGTGACATCTATTCCAAGTTGAAAATTGATCGATGAAGATATTTTTGTTTTGTTTTTCAAGGTAAGCTAACTTAAAAAAATTAATAGAAACCAGAACATGAAAGTAATAAAGGCACATCTTAAATGCAAATGGCAATAATCTATATAATGGGTAAAACCTAAACGCACACGAGTGAGTGATTCATCTATCGATTTACACCCCTATTTTTCTTTGTCTTTCGCGAATGGAAGATTTACTTGTGTCTAGCAGAAATCGATTTCATCATTTGATTGATTCTTATTTAGATTAGTGTCAAATTAAAATTAAAACGTAGAATCAATAAAAGTTTGTATTTGATTTGATTTGATTTGTTATGAAATGGATCAACGAGAACCAGTGGAACAAACCAAAAACGAAACAATAAATAAAACTCCTTCCATATCTGATATCGATGAATTATGTAATTTAATTGATGAGAGTTCACTCGGTGGTTGTGTTCAAGGGTAAAAATATAATCTTGTTTTTTTTTCTATTGATTTATAAGACTAAATTAATTAGATCTCCGTGTAAATCATCTAATTTATCATTACGATTTCGCTCAATTCCTTCTTGTCAAGTGAAAGCATTTCGTTCATCGCGTCTTAAACGTTTACATTCATCATCGATACCAAAAGTTCAAGAAGAAGAGGAAGAAGAAAATTCCGAAAAACTTTCTTGTCGTTCATTAGTTCCATATACACGTCGAACATTTTCAATGCGTTTCTCTCTTTCATCTCCATCATTACTTAATCGATTTCGTTCTTTATCGACATGTCATTTTCCTCAATCTCGTCGTAATTCACATCTATGTTCAAATCTTCGATCACACCACGTTCGATATTCATCGCCAACAACGATAACTTTATTTCGTACAAAATCAATTTTACCATCTATTGTTGAAGAAGAATCAACTATCGATAATCGATCACCATCGCCAACCACATCAGCATCTCAGTTATCATGTACAATAGTTGATGCAAGACGGCCAACAGCGAACTCATGTAATGTTGAAGAATTAGCTGCTTATCTTGACAATTTCCTTTATTTACCGAAATCATTATCTGGTGCCGCTGAGCTTATGTATACATAATATTAAAAATTTTCATTTCAATTTATCAACATATTTATTTGATAATATTTATCATTCAAATATGTCTAACGAAAAAAGAACGAGCGAAGAGAGTGAACAGTTTGTACAGAGTCTTGTGTTCATTATCTATATATATATAAATATATATTGAATTGTATGCCATTGCTAATTAAGATCATATCAACCAATTAATAAACCAAAATATTCGAAAATTTTCTGTTTTATTCTTGATTTCAAAATGTTTAAAGTAATTTTTCAAATCACTGAAAAATATTTTGAAATAAGATCGTTTTCAAATCATACTATTGTTCTTATAGTTATATACAAAAATTATTCGTTATTCTGAACCCAAAAGTTGATAATTCACATATGACTGAGTGAATTCAATTCAATTGTGAAGATAATATTTTATCGAAGTATTATTTAAGTGAATATTTCTCTTGAGCATCGAACTTTTTATGAAAAGCAGTTTTTCGAATAAATTATTATATGATAGAAATCATAGACAATCTTGAAAAGATCTGAGAAATAGTATTTTCTCGTATCTCATGAATCTGATTATTCCTGTTGTGAAACTCATGTTGAAAAGTATATAATCTGGCACCCATTTCAGTCATACCAATCAATAAATTCAGATCTGTTTGTATCTCTCCTATAACTTTAATTATATTTGTTTTTGATTTCCTATAATTTAATGGAGACACATTTTTCATTTAGATCACTTTCATTTTTTACTTTTTTTGTTTGATCCAAAGAAAAAGAAATATGCGAATTAGTTGATGTCATTGAATGATTAAAAAAGAAAGGTTGCGTTCGTTTTGGTGTTATTCAAAAAAATAATTAATTTCATTGAAACCAGCTAATATCAAGGCAAATGTCTGCATTAAAAGTAAATTATTTCATGCTATTTACACTCACTGTTGATTTTCTCTCAAATTCACCCGAAAATTAAAAAAAGATATCAAAGTTCTGTCTTGTCGTTCTAACTTCGATGAATTTTTTTCCATAGTTAACCTACATTTTCTTTATACCAATACGGATGTTTGTTCATGATAGAAATTCCATTTGTAACTATTGTTTTCAATAGAAATCTTTATAAAAACTTTGTGAAATCAATCAATGAGAATGAATAGTTCAAGGTAGATAATCAAATTAGAAAGAAAAAATACGTCATTTTTTATTTTTATAATCTAAGATTTTACAGTTATCTGAAATACTATTCAACATATGAGTACTTTATATTTTAAAAAGTTATTATCAATATTCGTCATCTAAAATATTATACGTTCGTTTTTCTTCATACTCGTTGATATTTCAAGATTCATCTTTGATGAATGTATGTTTTATTAAATTCTCGGCAAGATAGTCAATGAAATTTCTTCTTTTAGTCTTGTGTTACTTCATGACATCACTATGTTTACGATTAAAAATAGTAAAAGTCATCTGGTCAAATAGTAAGAGTTATGCATGCTTTTTGTTATAGAAAGAGATTGACAAGAAATATTTATGTAATAGCATAAGGATACTGCTCTAGAATGTTGCCTTCGAAAATTTGAAATGTTACTTGACAAGTGTGCGTCTCCATGGAATTAGTACTTGACGTATACCTATATTCAGGGTTAGTAATGATTTATGAATTTTATCAATGAATATTACAACACAAACTATCATCTTGATTATAAAATTTTCTTAAATAAGTTATTGAATTGGAAAATTAAACTTAATTTAAAATATTCTTGAATGTTAAGTAGACAGATGAAATGATTTACATCAAGCAAATTTACCAAGATAACTACAGGCTATATTGAAAATTTTCATTTCTAACATTACAACAAATATTTTAAATTAAGAGATATTTTTTAAAAATCGAAATGTAGAATTGATAATTCTATGTAATAGTACTCTAATGAGGTGAAGTACTACATTTTGAAACTTATTTTTATCGCGAGAATTTTTCAGGATTTACAAGTTCCACAAGTTGCAACGAATATACTGAGATTATATTATTGAGACGTATCTGATTTTAAAACATCAGTTCACGATTAAGATAAAATTATTATTTAGTCAAAAAACAGAATTTTTATTTTCACTGTGATTCACTACAATTAAGTTAGTTGTTTTAAATCTGTATTACATACAATTTACGTATATCAATTTTATGTCATTGGATTAATTTGCAATAGAATCAATTGAATTTCTTTTCTATTACTTAAATTAGTTGTCTGGAAATTCCACCTCTTCGAAAGCGCTCTTATTACTTAACTTGCTTATTTTGTATTATATTCATCATAGTAAATATGAATATCTTGCAGAAAAGCCGAACTTCATGGTTTTTCGTATTCAACAGATGTCATACAAATACAATTGATATTACCTAATAACTTTATTATACGAAATCGATCGAGGCAATAATGATGTAATCGAAGTTTCATTGATGAAATGTTGTTGTTATTTATTGAAATCTTTATTTAATTGAAAATAAATATTCTAATGAAAATAAGATATTGCATTATAATTATATCTTTAAATGATTGGCTAATAATACTAGGACAAACAAAGGATTCTATTCTTTAATTGAAACTCTTTATAAGGATTCATTTGCGTGCCACATTCATCTAGTTAAATTCTTGTTTTCATATTATATTTTACTATATTAAGTACAATTCTAATTTAAATTGAACATATCACTATAAACTATATATTGCTTAGATCTTTTCACTTATTGATCATCTTCAATATTTATTTTCCATCAAAATGACAGCAACACCGAATACCAATTCAGACGAAGAACAATTGTTTCTTGCGACACTTCAAGAATGTTTACAGGCTGATAACGATAAACGTACCGCTGCCGAGGTTAATATTTAGTATATATATTTTAATTAATAGAAATTTGAAAATTTTATTTTCTTATTAGCAAATTTATCAAGATGTAGCCGATGAAAAGAAGGCTATTCTACTTTTGTCTACATTACGTAATACAACATTAAGTGGACCGGTAAGATAAAACATATCGAGATCTTTATCGGAGGCATTTTTATGATCGATGAGATATCTTTTAGTTTCTTGCACAAAAATTAGGTTGACGATCATATTGAATTTTTCAATATTGCGTATTACCTTTTCTTTTTTTTGTATTAATTATGCAAATTTATGTTTATGAAGATTGCTTTCAGGATTCTTGAGAGATGTAAAAAGGTTGAAGTTAATAATGATACGGACTTTTTCGTATGTGAGTAAATTTCAAAAAGAAAACTATCAAAATTCAAAAAACATTTTTTTGTTTGCACTATGATTATCAAAGAATAAAAATTGAATTTGAGAAAATAAATTTCTCACAGTTGATTTCATTGATTATTCCGACACTTATTTAACTCCAATACTGATTTCTATAAAAATAATTTCCTTTTGTTTATCAACAAAGATTCGTTCATTTGCTGCTGTCATGTTGAGACGTTTATTTCAAACACAATTTGAAAACTTTTGGCCAAAATATTCACCTGATCAACAAATGGCAGTGAAAAAAGAATTAATCGCTCGAATAACACAAGTAGATGATGATGAAACTATTCGAAAAAAAGTTTGTTACATTACTGCTGAATTAGCAAAAAATCTAATGGGTATAAAATAATATTTTATTTTTTTCTGAAATGAAAAAAAAACTAATTATCTTTTATCGAATTAAAGATGAAAATGATCAATCACAATGGCCGGAGGTTATGGAATTTCTTTTTCAATCTGCTAATTCATCACATAGTGCATTAAAAGAATCTGCTTTAATTATTTTTGAGTAAATTTATTTACTAACAAAAAGCGCTATTCTCTTATTTAAAAAAAATAATCTTTTTCAGAGCTTTTCCCGGCATATTTGGTAATCAAGCTGAACAATTAACGCAAATAATTCATCAAATATTTTTAAATTGTTTAAATGATCAAGATACAAAAGTTCGTTATACAGCAGCACAAGCGCTTGCTGCTTATCTTAAACATAATTGTGAAAATACACAATTACTTCATATCCATCGAGATTGTTTACCATTTCTTATTTCGGTATGTTCAAATCTGAAGAAAATTTTTAAAGAAATATATTAACAACATTTTAGTAATTTATTTGGAAATTTCTAATAGATCTTAATTATTTCTTTAGACAGTAACACATAGTTTGGCAAATTCGGATGATGATGCAGTTCTTAAAGCATTAATTGATATTGCTGAAAATGCTGCAAAATATCTTCGCCCTGGTATTGATGAAGTTTTCAATTTATGTCTTGAAGTTCGACTGATTTTTTTTTATGATTTACTTACTTTTTTACAACTTATTTACTTTAATAGACTATGCAACAAAAAGATGAATTTGAAGAATCACGTCGACATTTAGCTCTTGAAGTTCTTGTTACTTTATCAGAAACAGCAAGTGGAATGGTTCGAAAAGTTTCTAAGAAATATATGAACAGACTAGGTAAAAATAAAGTTAAAAAAGAAAAACACATAATAATTCACTTTTTCTTTTCAACAATAATAATTAAGTTCCTCAATTACTTGAAATGATGGTTGATTTGGAAGATGATTCAGAATGGTCAACTAAAGATACAATTGAAGACGAAGAAGACGATAGGTTAATATCTATTGAAAATATATTTTACTACAAACTTAAATATGTATGTGACATTTAGCAATGCTGTCGTTGGTGAAAGTTCATTGGATCGTCTTTCGTGTGCACTTGGTGGAAAAACCATGCTTAACTATATATTAGCAACAATTCAAACGATGCTGCAAAATCGTTAGTAATCAAAACTTTAAAAAAATAATAGAAATTACATTGAAATTTCTTATTCTAGCTGATTGGCGTTATCGTCATGCTGGTTTAATGGCAATATCAGCTACGGGTGAAGGTTGTCATAAAGAAATGTCTGTTTTACTTGATGATCTTGTTAATGGTATATTGGTTTTTCTCAAAGATTCGGTATTATTTCTTTCGTTTCTTTTCTGTTTCATATCAGTTTTTATTTTCATTTTAAATATTTTGTTAGCATCCACGCGTTCGATATGCTGCTTGTAATGCATTAGGACAAATGTCAACTGATTTTCAAGGAACATTTCAAAAAAAATTTCATTCTAAAGTCATTCCTGGTTTACTTTCAATACTTGATGATCATGAAAATCCACGAACACAAGCTCATGGTGGTGCTGCTTTGGTCAATTTTGCAGAAGACTGCCCAGCACGTATACTTGTCGAATATTTACCACAAATTATTGAAAAATTAGAACAAGTATTAAATAGAAAATATCAAGAAGTACTTCTTTTTGCTTTTTGTTTTATTGATTTCATTAAAATATTCTTTTATTAGCTTGTTCAACATAATCGTAAATTAGTTCTTGAACAAATTGTAACAACACTAGCAGCCATTGCTGATACAGTTGGACAAGAGTTTTCACCTTACTACGATCGGTTAGTTTGTATTTTCTCGTTTTGAAAGTAAAAGAAAAATATTGTTGTTTGCTTTCATTCATAAAAGTTTTATGCCGCAGTTGAAATATTTATTTAAAAATGCAATAACACCTGATTATCGAATGTTACGCGGTAAAACAATGGAATGTATTAGTTTGATTGGTTTAGCTGTTGGCAAAGAAAAAGTTTGTGCTAATTTAGATGTTTCGAAACAAAAAGTTTTTTTTTAAATTTTAGTTTATTAACGATTGCTATGAAATAATGCAAGAATTAGTTAAAAGTCAAGTTGATTTTGAAAATTTAGGAAACGATGATCCACAAGTTTCATATTTAATTGGTGCTTGGACACGTATATGTAAAATATTAGGCAAAGATTTTGAACAATATTTACCCATTGTTATGGGATCGGTTCTTAAAGCTGCTGCATTTAAACCTGAAGTAACTGTACTAGCTGATGGAGATAATGAAGTTGAAGAAGATGATAATTGGGAAGTACTGAATGTTGGTGATCAAGTACGAACAAGTTTTACTTTTGGAAAGATATCATCTGATAAGATTTGTTTTTGATTTTGATTTAAAGGCTTTTGGAATAAAAACAACAGGTCTTGAAGAAAAAGCAAGTGCTTGTTCAATGCTTGTTTGTTATGCTAAAGAATTAAAAGAAGGCTTTGTTAATTACGTTGAAGAAACAACAAAATTAATGGTTCCACTTCTTCGATTTTATTTTCATGAAGGTAAAATTTTATTTATTTATAAATTAAAATAAAATAAAATTTCACATTTCTATATATTCGTAGGTGTTCGTGCTGCAGCTGCTGAATCTTTACCACATTTACTTGATTGTGCAAAATTACGTGGCGATGATTATGTTCGTCAAATGTGGCAATATATGAATAAAGAATTATTTAAAGCAATTGAAATCGAACCTGATCATGAAGTACTCGGAGAATTATTTTCTTCGTTAGGCAAAGTAATAAAAGATAAAGAAAAACATTTTGCAAGATAAAATGTTTTTTCATATTTAATTAGTGTATTGAAACATTGGGTGTATCAAGTTTAGCAGCCGATGAACTAAAAGAATTAACAACAATTCTTGATAGTCATCTTAAAAAACATTTTGAACGTTCAAATGAACGTGTTGAAAAACGACGTGATGAAGATTACGATGAAGAAACTGAAGAAGAAATGGTTGAAGAAGATGATTTCGATTCATATATATTAAATCGTTTATCAGATATAATTCATTCACTATTAGTAACATATACTGATTCATATTTAGTTTATTTCGATACGTTGGTGCCTCATTTTTATGCTCTTATACAACCAACACGTTCAATATCCGATCGTCAATGGGCATTATGCGTATTTGATGATGTTATACAATTTACTGGTGCACATTCGCATCGTTATACACAATTCTTTCTTTCACCTATGGCTGAAAGTCTTGCTGACACAGCAGCTGAAGTAAATTTTGTATATATTTTAGAATTTTCAATTATTTTATGATTATTTATTTAAAGATTCGTCAAGCTGCCGCCTATGGATTTGGTGTAATGGGTATGAACGGTGGTCCTGTTTATGCACGCGCATGTGCTGAAGCATTGCCACGATTATTTACAATGATAGGGGCACCGACTAGTCGTGCACCTGAAAATAATACTGCAACTGAAAATGCAGTTAGTGCTGTTACTAAAATATTAAAATATAATAATTCGTGTCTCGATAATCTTGATAAAGTAAAAAAAAAGTTTTTCCATAAAAATAAATTACACTTTTTGCCTCTTTCTCTCTCTCTCTTTCTTTGTAGCTCCATCAAGTTTGGTTGTCTTGGCTTCCAATTTTTGAAGACACTGAAGAAACACCTTATGTTTATGGGTATTTATGTGATTTAATTGAATCGTATGTAGAATACATTGTTTAAGAAAAATCTTATGTTCGAGTTATTATTTTCTATAAGAAATAATCCAGTGATTATTGGCCAAGATAACGCTAATGTACCAAATGTAATTAAATTATTTGCAGATGCATTTGCTAAATCATCCATTGAAGTTGATTCAGTTGTTGGTCAACGTATGATACTTATTTTACGACATGTTCAAGTTAGTTATTTCTGTTTTTTTTAAACTATGGATAAATATAAAAGAAGTCTATTGAAATTTTAATTTTAGACCATACCAACTATTTTTCAAACGTGTATGAATGTATTAACTAATGAAGAACGTCAAGCACTAGCAAATGCATTAAATGCAAAAATATCTCCACAGAATCATCAAATTGGATCTTCAAATCATATAATGAATCATCATGCTAGTGTTTAACAATCAGCAATAGTTATCGATATATATTTTTTCTCTTCAATTTTGCTACGATCTCTTTATCTTTTCTCTTTCTTTATTCCTCTCTCGGTTAAACACAAGAGGAAAAGAAACAACATAAAAATATACAACCCAATCGATTCTATTCTTTATTTTGTTTTCTTATTATTTCTTTTTTTTTTCTATTTTGTGAAACGACAACATTTATGAATGTCATGTGTTTATGTTGAAGAGAAAAGAAAACACAAAAAAATAAATACCAAACCAGCGATATAAATCATCAAATGGACGTTCTAGTTTTATTTTTTGCAGTTGATTTTGATAAATATCATTCTTGTCGTGATAGTTACTATGAAGAAACCTAGTCGATGATCAGTATTTCAACTAGAGAAATGATATAACTATTGTGAAATATATATACAAAAACATTTTCTTTCGTATGTAGCTATCATATAGTTTTGAGAATTTTCGTTTTTGGAAGAACTTACTCAGTGATCATGTTTCAAATGTAAGTGCAAACGAAAATATGTGAACGGACCAAAACCACAGCTTGTGATCAAAAATAAAAAGCTCGCTAATTACCATGGTGCTTCATAGCACGTGGCATACAAAACACGTAAAGCGTTTTGAGAATGAATCGATTGAAAATTGACAGCTCCGTGAGGATCAAAGTGAATGCAACGAAACGATAAAGACTTGTAATATTACTTTTTTTCTGATTGCAACGATGTGATCAATTCGTGAAAGAGAATATTCTGCTACTATTCTATGCATTCCTATGAAAATACCGATTGGTTTTTAGAGACCTCTTTCGTATTTGCAAAAATAAACATATTATTGTGATGTATTCAAATATTCCTACACATGTATACAAATATGTATTAGTACGATTTACTTTGCTTTTGTTCATTCCTTTAATCAACAGACTATCTAAAAATATTTTAATTTCACTATTCTGTGAGTTGGAATTAACTGAGCGTCTGTGTGTATAGGTTATCTACTCGTGTAACTACTTTAATTTTAGGTTCTTTCCGATTTAGAACGTTGTTCCTATTTATTAAAATCTACTATATGGATTTATATATAAATATGTGCATGTAGACGAGATCAATGGTATATTTTTTAAGTGAAAAAGTTAAATTATTTGTTGAAGATCTGAAGGAAAAAGTACGATCAATAAAACTTGAAAGTTATGCATTGGCTTTCGTTTATCAACATCAAAGAACTCCATGGTATGCGAAGCTATCAATTTTAATAACTCTGGGTTATTTGTTAAGTCCAATCGATCTCATTCCAGATTTCATTCCTATTTTGGGCTATTTGGATGATCTTGTTCTTGTTCCATTATTAATCCTATTATCGATTAAGTTAATACCAACTGATGTTTTAAAAGAATGTCGGGACAAGGCTCAAAACAAACTAAATTCGACATGGAAATCGAAGAAAACAGCCTGGTGGTTTGCTGTTCTAATTGTACTCTTCTATGTAATCGTTATTTATTTTACAGTCAAGTGGTTAAAATGTAGATGGTTCGATTGATTTGTCACATGATTCTTTTCATTAACTAGAATTTCCATAAACGTAGCAGAGATGTTCGAAACTTTGTTAATAAGTAGATTAAGCTATGTATCTTCGTTTTTGTCATATCTACCATTGACGTTTTTATCATTCTAAGCACAACTATTAGAGTATATCCTTAAACGTCAATTCCAACATAGCATTTGTGAGCTATTATTTTATTTTACAATAAATTAATCGTCGAGTAATTATCAGTATTTTTGGAGTTGCTAGCGGCATTATTTATTTGTACGATTTATTATGATTTGTTTATTCAATGAAAATTTGCTTGTATTGATAGATTCTCGATAGTAATTTTGAAAATTATTATTCTTTGAAAGTAGAACATGAAGAAAACACGTACTACAAATAAATAAAAACGTAAGGCTCACCTAAGTTTCCTCAAAGATATATGGCTGATTTCAATATGCTTTTTCTTATTTTTGTAAGTTCAAACTAAATAATTATCCATATTTTTTTATAGTAATCATATCTATATAACTAATTGCATTCTGACAATACGTACACTTCATAACTGATTAGTGATGTATAAGATAATATTATTTTCAAATCGATACATTATATCGTGAAATTTTTGGTAATTTTTACCTCTAGACATCCTCTTATGATAATTAATTGAGTTTTGAGGCAAAATTCAATTTATATGACGCTTTCCTTGGTAGTACTTTAATAATTTTAAGTAATGCAACAAACCTTTTCATTTTTCTACTAGCAGTAATTTGTTTTTGCGGGATGATTGATCAGCGCTGCTCTACGAAATAACTCTAATAAACTTAATCGGTGAACACTCAAATGTGCACTTTGTGTATCTATACCATAGTATTTTTTAGAAAATAGTGTTTCCATCGTTAAATATCTTCATATGAGCTAAAATACAACATTGAAAATATGATGAAAGAANTAGTAGGCTTTTGATGTTGTTACGTGTTCTTCCTCTACCAAATATTGATTTTCTTTCTTTTGCGAGTGAAGGATTTGTGAAATATTCTTGTAAGTAAACGATTGATAGTTTGTGTTGTAAGAAATCTTCTAGAACACGAGGATTTGTTCTGAGTATTGCTGATGTCAGTTTATCCCAATGAGTATCTGCAAGTTCCTTAAACGATTTATATTTTGGTAGACTCTCAATTTCGATGTTTGTTGCATCAGACCACTGATGCACTTTTCGAAAAATTTGACGATTCATTGCTTCGAGTTGTTTTTGTTTATTTACGGTCAAAATCGGATAAATGTTAAAAAGCGACTGGTAGTACGGTCTAATGTAAGCATTGAAAAGTCTATAGTTGACTTTCTCACTCGTCATTCGACTAGATGTCAGTCGTTTGAGCACATGAAAGAATATTTAATTACAGAACATGTAACTAAATACGCGTACTAACTTATAAGTTGTTCATTTAAATCTTAATTAATTAAAATAAAACTGGTGTAAATATAATCTAGAAAGAATTAAGATGTCATTCTTGTTACAGTAAAACTCACACACGCAGGTGAGCTTCCCTATACAATGTGAAAACATGTTTGACTCAATAGTAACGCTGAATTCAATACTTTACATTTGAATAAACTGATAACTTAGTTCTTTATTGGCGTTAAATTTTATTGCAAAAAATGATTTTCTGGATATGAAACGTCAAAACTTCTTTCTCTTTTTATATATTTCAGCGTTGTTAACAGTGGTAACGTATTTTTAAAAGGTATGGCAGCTATTTTTGTTTATGCATGTACATATATTTTCGAGCAATTTTCAATGATAAATCGATTGGCTCTTATTGAAAAACACGTATCAGCAATCCATATGGTATGATAGATGATCGTACTTCTGAGAAGTATTCTACTTCATTATTTGGAATGATGGGACATATACGCCTACTACCAGCCCCAATGGTCTCAGCCTGCACCTTAAATGTTTCAGGTTGTTGACGACATTGAAGCACAACTTTAGCTTTATAAGATCGTCCGGACTTTGAACGAAATGGAATAGCTGGAGTGTAAATATCATCGCCTGAATATACAATGGTCGGAGATGTATATACTTGAAATTTATTTGGAATATGACCTTCACGTATTCGGATCACATGTCCACCCATACATTGATCTCCTGGAAGAAGAAATTGATGATGTTCAATGATAGATTTCGCTGATTGAGGACTTGTGCCGTGGTAGCTTACAACCCATTTGTTCCATATCCTTTCGACTTCTGCTTGCGCATCGTCAATATACAATCCAAAGCGAACCCAACCACGCGGAATAACATATTTGGCACCACCCTCTATAAAAACATCTTTGCACCTAGCCGGATAACATTCTTGACAATAGCATCGATTATGCTTTCTATTGAAAAGTCTTTTCGAATAGCCCACTGAAAGCATGAATTCGAGACATAGTTTGAAATAATCACAGTTTTGTAATGTTGATGTATTTGATAGACGAGCTATGTTATTAGTCGAAGATGCCACCGGTCCTAGTTTGCCTCGAAATCTTTCCATATTTGAAGGGTGTAATTTTTTGCCTTCGAAAGTATCTGACATTTCAGTGGTTCGTCTAGCCGAAGAAGCTGATGATGTATCAGGCAAAAACGATCTCACACGTTGGCATTTAACGCAATATCCACTTTCTGTTGGTGATATTTGGGCAAAGAATTTGCCTTCTTTGCAAATAATGCACTTGTAAAGCATACGATCAATCCTTAAATGCATGGAAATAGATAATGTGCATGTATACAATTATTGTTAAATAATATCTAGACGACTTTTTTGCATCTGTTTTTCAAAGAAAACTCTATGATACGATCCCAGAACTTTCTATTTCTCATAATACATTAGGAAACAGTAATACTTGTATAGATTATTTCATTTGTTCCATTTTAGCATTTCACAGTTGATGAATATCAGAGAGATACTAAAATCTAATACTTCAGAAACTCAATAGTTATTTTCTACACATAGCGATACTTGGAATATAGAAATTTTATTTATCATTATCATGAATCTCTGAGACATTTTTAAGAGTTTCAATTAAACGCAAACATTGTATCTTAGTAACATCTGTTTGGTAAACGATTCAATGATTCATACGCACCTTTTCGATATAACAAAAAAAATAAAAAACTTTTTAAAAGTTAAATAGTCTCAACTTGGAAATTTTTTCTTTTGCAACTGTTTGAAAATTCTCAATTACGTATATGCGAAAAACATGATATGAATATTACAGCCTTTCTTTTCATGCAACATCTGAGTGATACATTGCCGTTCTGTTTCTTTGATAAGGGAACAGACTAAAAAAAAGATATGACAGTATGTATCTTACATCAAGCGAATTTGATAAGATAAGAACAAAAATCTAAAACATATATTATAGTAGAAAAATTGAACATCAATCGTGCGTATGCCATCCATATATGGATCCGTTACATCGAACACTGTACATATTAATGAAGAAATTAATATACAATTTCACATTCAAGCAAACAGCAGTTTTTCAAGAATAATACATCATTACGATACCATAGGATCACAAGATCTACCACGGGCAACTGACAGTAAATTGTTTTTGAAAAAAACATTCCGCTTGTGAATGGAATTTTTTTCTTCTAATTAAGTCTCATCGACAATACCATCTAAACGATTGAGTACTGTTGCAACGGTTTTTATTGTTTTGGCTACTGTCGCAGGTTTTATTTTTCTATGTGGTTTACTCTGGTACATTTATCGAAGATGGAAACGGCGTAAGTTATTTCTTACTTGTTTTATGATATTTTAAAATGCATTTACATGTATGTTCATGCATATTCTAGTATAAACGAATTACACTGAAACATATTAATACATTGATAGATGCCGAGTAAAACAAACACTAGTAAACATTAGCCGATATCTTTTATAAAAAACAAAACATGTTTGACATTTAATAGTGGAGCCTATATCATATTTGTTGTTTATGTTGTATTAAGAGTTTCGTTTAATTTAGATGAATCATCATCAACACGTGCAAAAGCAAAACCCTCAACTACGCCTACTGTTCCAGTGTAAGTATTTAAGTGAGTGGACTGTGCTTTTTAATCGACAAGATATTTCATTTAATATCTCATGATCATTCTTATAGTGCTTTAGTTGCGCCAAAACTTCCACCAGTTGATGAATTACTTCAATGTCGAAAACCTCTCTGTGAAGATTACATTAGAAAATTAAGCCTTCCAAAGGGATATTTCGGAATGAAGTACGATAAATGCTTTTGCAAAAAGTGTCATAATAGGTCAAAAACAGATGATAGATGTGGAAATGATTGCATGGAATTTCATGGCTGGATTAAATTAGGTCTTCGTCCAAGTCAAGCTCATACGAAAGGGCTCCAAGTTTTTAGAGAATGGAAAACCAGCTATTATGGAACGACACCAAATCGATTATCATCTATTTTAGATAGTCGTTTCGTTCCATTGGATGGCGATACCCTCAAAGATGGAACTCAGTTTAAAAGTGGTCATCCAGATCCCAGTCATTGCACTACTTGTCCTTCACTGTCCCATGCCAGTGAATCTAAGTTTGCAGCAGGTTCAACGTTCAAAGCGATCGATGGTAATAATTATTACGTTCGAGTAGTGCTTCAATGCAAGCAACGTCCAGGTAGCTTCGTGGTCAAGAGAGATATAAATTCATTTCAAAAGATTGAATGGATAACAAAAGAACGATCTACTGTGCTCCCAATTGGATTACTTATAAGATTACAGAAAAGATGAGCAGTTATTTGCCGACTACTAAAGTTAATAGATGATTCAACTATTAATATTGATAGAACGTGCATCTACTTTATTTTTTGAAAAATTTGAATAGATTCTCAATAAAACGAGTTTAGTGAAACAAACCTGACCTGCTCTTCAATATTTTTGAAGGATCGATTAAAATATACATTATCAATGTTAGAAAAAAAAGAGTCTGCTTTACGAAAATGTTCTATAAATATTTTTCAAATGATATCATATGACAATCTTGATTTGTTTTCTTCATAAACGCTATTTAACTGATTTACTTCATTGTGCTATGAAAAATATCAAATGACAAAATGCAAATGGTTTAATCATTCATATTTGTATCATTTCAGTAAAAGCACATCGTGCAAATATGAGATATATTTTGTCAATACTTGCCACTGCTATCTTGCTTGTTATCGAATCAAGGGGGAATGATACAAGTGCAAGTAAGTCAAAAACAAATTTCATTGTACAGTCTATGAATTTTTTATTATAAGATGGATTTTCGGCCATGCGTCTAACGTCCACGTGTATCGATTTTACTTGTAACACTGGTCACTGTATTGATTCGACTACAGGTCCTAGTTGTATCTGTGATGAAGGCTTTACTGGTGTAAAGTGCGATCAGCAAACCTCAGATTTCTATCGTCGAATTCAACTTATACCGGGCCTTGCTGATCCAGATATTTTGGCAATTAACGATGACTTGTTTTATCTAACCGGTACTTTCGATGGCATGGTTTTACCAATGTTTCAATCTACTGATCTGATCAATTTTCAGCTAAAAACTACGTATAATCCTTCAATTTCCGATTCTTTATATAAGTACTGCTTAATTTGGGCGCCTGATCTCTCAAAACATGGTACTGGTTATGATCTATACTTTTCTGCTCAACGTGTATTAAAAAGTTCATCTTGTCCAGTAAACGAACAAGATGTTACTACATTCTATACAAAAGCATCGGATAATAATCTTATTTTTGGTGCACCAGTACTTGTAGATTTTGGAAATGGAGCTCCTAAAGGAAGAATTGCTAAAGGTTGTAATACTGATGGATGTTTGAAGACGGTTCGTATTGATTCTGCAATTGTTGGGCCAGAGGATAATCGTTGGTTTTTTTATGTATGGTTCTCAGGAGGAAATAATATAGCATCATTTCCATTGGCTTCACCAACAAGTCTAGTTGCTAATGCAGGACCGGCTTCCTTTTCTATTCCTTCCAGTGAAGAAATGATTAACGAAGCACCTGAAGTATTCTGGCGTGAAGGACAGTATTATTTCTTCATCAGTACAGCATTCTTCGATAGTCAATATTCAATGTCCTATATAATGGCACCGACTATTGCTGACCTCACACGGAAACGTGCGGTACGCATTCATTCAAATGCACAACGAAATTCAGCAGGAACACTAGTTCAAAGTCATGGGCATAATTCCATAGTTGAGAGACGTGGCCAATTCTTTAATATATTTCATCAAGGCACTTTTGATAGTACAGGACGTTTGATCGAAAGAAGCACATTTAAACAACGTCTCAGTTTTCGATCGGATGGATCAATACAGACATTGAACACAGTTAGTATTCGTTGGACCCAACTTCCTCTACATCAATACTCGATCGATATAGTTAAGAAGGATGGATCTGTGATAGGTCCATGTATAAATTTTGTTCGAATTGGAGCAAAACTCGAAGCATCATTTATTGGTATATGTCCTGATGGTGGTGATCAATTGGTGAACAAGGGTGATATTATTGCTTTCAGATTATTCTATACTAGAAACAGCATATGGAAAGATTTTGTTGAAGTAAAATACGATGGCGTATCCGACCAATTAGCCTTTTACTTATCAGGTGGCATTACAAAACATATAGTACTTCGTTGGAATGAACGTCTAACAGGCACAAAATACTCCATAGATGTTCGTCACAAAGATGGAACTTGGATAGCTCCGTGTGTTGGTGATCTCATTATTGGTAGCAACATTGAATACGTCTTCGATCGTAATTGTCACACAGCTAAGGTTTTTATTGAACCCAACGACATTTCATATATTCGTGTGTGCTCTGCTATAAACAATGATTGGGGAAAAGCAATCTGTGGTGGTCTACCTTACGATGGAAAGATGATATATGTATCCGTAACTATTCCCTAATTCCTAAAAAGAATGAAAGTCTTGATTTTAGAAATAAACACTGAGGTCAGTTGAGACTTAATTAAAATAATATTTCCAATACTCGAAGTGAATAATTTGTACTATGCTTTCATACTTCGTGGTTTGATTATATATCATGATAACAAAAATAATTATCAAAAAACAACTTCAAATTATATTTTGTGAAAGGAAAGAGACAAGATAGATTTTATTTTAAAAAGAATACAGATGTAAGCTTTAACACAATCAATTGCAGTAATTATTTTTGAAAAAAATGTAAAATAAACCAGTTACGGCATTGAAACGTATTCGTTCTTATCTTTCATCAATGGTGTTAATATGATTGCTCTTGATTTTCGTCGTAAGAAACAATGAACTAACAGAACAAGAATTACAATAGATAGGCCCAAGATAAGTGCCAAAAACATGATTGTTTCAAAACAGAATGTATCTGTTTTATTATCATTATTAGTAGATTGAACAATTTTATTAATGACTGTTCCTAATCTTAATCCACCTTGAATAAGTCGCTGTTCAAGAATAACCATTCGTGTATTATAGTATGTTTGACCTAGATTAAATTCTTTTGACACACTCATCGGTTGGTTATTTTCATCGCGATAAACAATATCACAATTAAATTGAGCATCTTCTACAATCCACGACGTGGAACAAGCCAGAAAACGCGATTCATCGGATGATGGACAATGTGTCCAATCGGAAATATTCTGTGCGTAACGAGTTTTCATTTGATCAAGTAGATAATCGAGATATAACAATGGTTGAGAATGAAAATCTTGAGAAATACGACGCTCAATCATTACAGTATCCCAAAGCGAGTGAAGATTTGTTTCTTTATCAAAAAAACGACCTAATGCAAATAAAAATAAACCCATACGTTTACACGTATTTGTTTTTTTATATCATAAAACGTTTACCTCGAATACTATTACCACCACGATCACCTTGAAAACCAGCATGTAAAGGTTGATGTGCATCACCAATAAAATGAATAATAAATTTCAGTGCTTCTTGTCGTTGTATATCATCTTGTTGGGCATCAGCTAGTCTTCCTGTATAATTTTGTATTGACCCGTCAACACATTGCTGTGCACCACTCCAATTACAATCTTGTTCTCGATCATAAACACATGACCAATCTTTTGTATCAACAAAATGTAATTCTTTTGACCATTGCCAATTAAGATAATCAACGGGATTTGTATCAGGATAAATTATATAGTCTGGCCATGATGCCATCATACTCATATTTCCTGATGCATACCAAGGTAAATGATTACGAACAAAATCGATTGATTCTGTAGTCAATATGGTTTGAGCGATGGCACCGATTAGAGAATGACCGTCTTGGCCCCATCCATGTACTGAACCACGAGAAATTAATAAACACATGATAAAGAAACATGCTATCGAAGGCATATGTAACGACATGCTTTTTGAAAAATGATAATATTAAAGATGAAGATATAGGTTGAATTCTGCACAATAGGCGTAGATAACATCACATAATCTAAGTGAGCTGTAGCGAAGCACAAAAAAAAACTTATTTCATGTCATTTTAATAATATTTTTTTTCTTTTTTTACCATCTATAATTTTATCTTTAGCAAACTTTTATCTATTCTTTAAAGACTGCCCATGTCACTCACAACATTTCAAACCCTACGGTTAACCGGGGCTCTTAAGAAAACCAACGATTCGAATCGGTTTCTCTTCGTTTATCAGTTTATTTATAATTTTATTCAAGGGGGAAAAAGCTGATTTAAATCACAGTAAAACTCAACTTACAATCAATATAAATTAACTGTATTGGAATGAGTTTGCGTGAGTTTCGGTGCCTTTGAATGATTTTCAGTAATAATTTATGAGTTGGAATAGTTTTTAGTTAGTTTAGCAAATTTTTCGTTTTCTCAAACTCATTTTAAATCAGCTAAACTCAGAAAAATCATGAAACTCATAAATCGCTTTTCCCCCTTGATTTTATTGCTAAATTTACGTTTTTGATCTGGAAAACGTCGATTCCGACTCAAAAAAGTCTATATATTGATACCAGAGCATATTATGTCAGATTGAAAACATTGATTAGGAGTATTTTATATTCTTTCCCTGATCGGTGGGTGGGTGAAAGATTCAACGCAATTGGATTGGTTGTTCGAATAGCTCCAACGAGATAACAACATTACATACAACGCTATCTATCGTATTTCGTTTATGATTGATCATCTATTTGTAAAAAGAGAAGTAGAGACGAATGAACTTAACTTAAAACTGGTTTTTCTATCTACCGAAAGCATTATGCATATGATGCACTTTTTATTATTCATATTAGAAATAGTCAGCATTGGCAGAGTTTTTACTTAAGTTCAACTAGATTAGCGTTCTCTTATAAGAATTTTATACGAAGAAAATATTTATGAATTTATTTTTATCTAAGCACATTATTGCATAGTTACGAACTATCAATCTATTTAAAATTGAGATGAACTTGTATTTAGCTGTAGTATTGATAAACTAATTTGAATGAGTTTTTTCGTGATATCTTTTTTAGTTAGTAAGTGCGAAAATTTGGCGTATTTATTTTATACAGATGAACGTACTAATTTCAAAATAAACACCAAAAGGATCACAAAATATATCTTTTGTTTATTTGTTTGAATACAATCTTATGAAAACATTCAATTGATACCTGAAACATAATGATATGCTTAGGTTAATTTTTTTTATCTTTACTTCTTTCTAGCTATATGAAAATACGATATCTATTATATTGACTTTTAAGAAATTTTATATCTTGAACATAAGATATAAAGAAATTATATTTAATAAGTTAATTTTTAATAGAATGTAAATATTTCGAAAAACTCATTATTCATAAACGATTTATTTCGAAAAATAAACATGATATGAACTTCATTTTTTGGAAGTATTTTATTAGGCGAAGTTCTTACAAGGAAGAATTTTATAATTAATTACTGTCCTGAAAATGACTCATTTGAGCACATAAGTTTTCATTAAGATTCTATTGTGACTCAATAAAACTTACCAAAAGAAGTCATTACAACTATGTAATTCCTTTGCTTTCTTTTCTTCCGTGAATTTGTTTTCAATTATTACATGTTAGTTATGCAATATTATGATTCAGATTTTTTGCTGTTGCTCGAACGTCATGCGTCTTTCACAACTATTATCTAATAAGACTGATCATGATGCGTTGGCATTATTATCCCAACATATGTATACTAAACATCGAAATATTTTTATTGGTATTGGTACTGTTATTGTCACTGGTTTAACAACATTTGTTATACTGCGTAATTATACATATAATCATCGAGATCGTTTAGTTACAATTCGTCGTGAAATTCAAGATGTAACACCAGGTTCAAATTCGGTATTTGAAGCCTATCATCAAAAATTAAAAAAAAGACAAGCTGAACAAGAACTTCGACAAAAACAAGAACTCCCTAAAAATTAACGTGTTGTTTTATTGTCGTTTTCTTTTCCTCAATTTAAATTAGAATGAGAATTCATTTCGATTTAAAAAAACTATCCTTTTAGATATATTTATTTTGTAATCTTTATTCAATATGACTCGAATTAAACATCCTTTATTTGGTGGTGCTATTCAAGCATTTATACCACATGGAGCAATTGATGCAAGGCACAAATATTTGAATTTATAATATAATTTTTTGTTAAAGTAATCATTGATCTGTTTAGTTCAATTCGACTTGTTCCAGATAATCAAGAAGTATTTACACATGCTGAATCAGATCAAAGTATAATTATTGAAATTCTTGAACGTGTCAATCAAGTATCTGATGAAAATGCTATTAAGTAAGAACATCTGTTCGTAATTTTTAGTGTAAATGTTTCTTTTTTCAATCAAGATATCATTTCGATGCATTAGTTGAAGCAAATGACGCTCAAAATATTCAGGATCATATCGTTGATAAAATTGAAGCGATTCCAATCAGTTCACTTATTGTTCAACGGTAGACATTAACTTTTTTTGCGTAAATTAAAAAATATTTATGAAATAATTTCTTTTTCCTTCCAAAAAGATTAAGTTCAGCTTGGTATTTATCTGGCCGACAGCAAGTATCAAAATATCATGAACAAGCAAAAAATTTAGTTCATATTCATGTTTGCCTTCTTCGTTTGGGCGGTGATCTTGCAACCGATATTCTTATTTCATTCAATGATCCAATTTTGATTAGGTACACTTATGAATTATTTTAATTTTACCAAAATATTGACAACAAAAACTTGTTTCAATTTTAGTGAACAAAGTAGTAGCAACAACGAACAAAATCACAATGCTTCCCAGTGGACATTAAATGATTTCGAACAGTTTTTTCGCTCATTTGAAATAGTCGATTACGGGTTGTTTGTGCCAGAATCTAATAATGAAACTTCACAGTCGAACAATATTGAAATGTCTTGAACTTTTATTTATTTTTATTGATTAAAAAATCGCAAACAAGAGATTAATTATCTATAAATATAGTCTCTGTTTGTTGTTCATGCATCCTAATAGTAAACCGAGTAATAACGATATAATGAAGAGAAAAATTTTAAATTTTCTGAATCTTCGATTGCAGCTACTACGAATGCAAAATAACAATTAAATAGCAACGAAGTATTTTTTAGATATATTTTTCTTTGTTAATTTTAACTATTTCAATGTTTCACGGATTCAAATTTTTTCTATGCTCTATATTGAACTAATAAACAGTTATAATTGATAAACATTTCATAAAAAGCTCATTTTTTGTGGAACTCACATATATTTTCGCAAAAAATAGTGAGTGTAAATTGAATTGTTAGATTTTTGCGGCTCCCCTGTACCCTACCCACCCCCTCCCCATTACAGGCATAAAATATTAAAAAAAACTAACACTTAGATGCACTAATTAGAAACTTTTTTTGGTACAGGTCGATTGCCTATGTTCACCACTACTCACATCAGTAATAAAAATCTAGTTTCACTAATTAGAAATCATTATAATTAGGATTTAATCTCTGATTAATCATCAAAATCTGT